TCCTGCCGCCATCTCTGATTTAACATTAATTAAAAAATTCATTTTCATCACTTATATTCTAATTTTTATTCTTACATAAATGAAACCGATTTTAAAAATAAATGGAACAGAGGAGGAAGAAATAAATGAAAGTGTTAATGTTCAACAAAAAATAAACGTTATTAAACCAATTACTGAAATAAAAATTTTTTCATCTGTTGAAGAATTTAATGACTATTATGCCAATAATAAAAAATTATTTGAAGAATTGACAACATGTAAATTGAATAAAATGTTTAAAGTTGATGGATTCAAAATTTCAAAAATAAAAGGGGTGGTTAGTTTGAAATCTATTCCTCAATCACGAATCACCTCATTAATGAAAATAGATGATTTAACAAAAAGAATAGAAGAGATTGAAGAAAGAATGAATCAAATAATTAATTTCATAAATTCATTTAATCATTAGTTTCAATTTCTTTCTTTTTCCCCGTTTATGAGGTCTTTGATTATGACTTCATTGATTCCATTCATGATTTAAACAATGTTTAATTAATCGCGGAATATCTGACATCATCTTTATATAGCTTCTTTTATAAAAGATAAAAAATAAATTATTTTAAAATTAATGTTAATTTCTTAATGATTTATTTTTTAAAAATTTCATTTCATTTCATTATGTATGGGCTGAGTGTAAATGTCTTACATTTTTGAAAATTTTTTAAATCTTGATTTATTCAAAAACGTAAGAATAAAAACCGTAAGAATCATACATTTTTTACTTCATATGTTAAAAAAAATGATACAAAATCGTTCAATATTGTATGAATTCTTACGTTTACAAAAAAAGTCACACAACCCGCTCTCATATACTACTTATTTTTATTATTCAACCACAAACTTGAAATTATCTTTTTCACTTATCAATGAATTGTATGTATAATCGTTATCAAAAATGCCCTAGCAAATCTGGGATTTTAACTCCATTTTAAAAATCAAATCGTAAATACAGATTTGAAACTTGTGCCATTTAAAATCGTAAATGCATTAATTGTTTTACTATAATTTCTGTTTCATTTTTAATAACTCCCTGTTCATCGAAATAAATAATTGACATTTAAACAAATAAAGCCCATTTCGTATTAGGATGAGTCTACAAATAAAAATTAAATTCAAATCTCTTAATTTATGAAAGGTTTCCAACATTGGTTATCATGTTGATGTATTAACAACTTAATCCTCCTGTTGGAATATGAAGATTGATGTCAATTTGCTTTGTCATGAACTATCTCCTAATAAAGGATGCTTATAATTAGATAATTTAAAAAATAAACTATAAATATTGAAGCAATTGAACATGTCTACTCTATATCAATCATGTGAGATCTGGTTTGGGTAAAAAATAACTTCGCTTCGCTTCTGGCAAATATGTTTCAAAAAAAAATTAGCATTGCCCAAGTATCATCAGTGTTTTCCTTTATAATAAATCTCTTGTTACAACAAAATTGTTTTGGAATGGATTGGTCTTTAATTATATTTTCCTGCAGTGATTTATAGTTGAAATATGATATTCACTACAAAGTTGCAGAAATTAGCATAATTAAGTCATTGGATTGAATTCAGTAATTCAATTGACAGCGGTATAAGTCTTTGCTGATGAAGCTTATCATTAATATACGAAAATATTGATTTAGATGACAGATTTCTGTCCAATTCTTGCAACATGGTATATTTGGTGCTTTTCAAGACTTGCATACAATGATTTTCAATGAATAAGATAGAAGAACCTTGATGTAATGTACAATACTCTTAAATATTGAAAGAAGTTTCAATATTTCAAATAATTTTATCTGATTGAATAAATGAACTAAGTACCTTGGAATTTCCGTGTCACAATATTTTGAGAGCCCTTTCAAAAATTCAATCCGGATTTTCAAAATTTTTATGTGGAAATATTAGATATCTCACCTGTTTTACCTCTTATCATTAGCATCGTGCTTCAGTTTTCAAGTTCAGCAAACAACTCTTTATATAGAAGGAACTGGCACACTTACAGGCAAAGAAGTAACTCAAAATTGCGATTCGTCTTCGATAACAGAAATTCATGTGGGTGAAGGATGTACAAAATTTGAACCGTTAGTCTTCTATAACTTTAAAGCTCTTGTTAATCTATATTTACCATCTACATTACAAACAACCAGTGGAATTGACACTCGATATTGCTATGCTTTAACAAATATTTACCTCCCGCAAGGAAGTGATTATCTCGAGCTTGATAGTTATGGAGCTCTATATACAAAAGGTAAAATAACATTGATCAGATTACCCCCAAAGAAAAGTAGTTATTCTTTTCCTCCTGAAACTACAGCTATAGACCAACAAGCATTTCATATCAACTATTATATCAATGAACTTGTTATATCTAAGAATATTACATCAATCGGAGTTGGATTTCTTTATACAACGAGATTCAAGCGTATTTTACTGCAAAAAGGGTCTCCAATTACAGAAATAAATGGATGGTCATATGCTAACTATAATTATGTTTACATTACTAAAGCCGTAACCAAGATTGCTTCTTTGGCATTCCAATATTGTACATCTTTGAGAACAATTGAATATGAAGAAGATTCAAATCTAACTTTTATAGGTAATAATGCATTTTTTTCGACATCAATGACAAATTTTTCTTTTCCACCAAATTGTGAAACAGTGCAATCATTATTATTCAATTCTAATAGTAATTTGAAGTCCATTTATATTCCAGCTTCATTAGTCAATATTGACCCTCAAGTATTCACTGGCGCTCCAAATATTGATTTGATTGAAATTGACCCCAATAATCCTGTATATACAGTGATAGCTCCTGCAACTCTTATGCTTAAGAATGGAACTAACTATATATATTTCCCTTCTACAATTACAAATTTTGAAATTTCAGGTAATGTAGTCGCTTTTGGTAAGACGTTATTTCAGTCCTGTGAGAAACTCACATCAGTAACAGTAGAATCAAATAACACAAAATTTTCTGCAGAAGGTGGAATAATTTATTCCAAAGATTATTCCACAGCCATTGCTTGCATTGGTGGAATTACAACTGTATCCATCAATTCTCAATGTAAAACAATAGGAGATTATTGTTTTTACCAAATTTCGAAATTGCAAACATTAACTTTAAATTCAGGGCTTCTCCTTCTCAACTCATATGCATTCGCATATGTAATTCTTGAAACTTTAAGTATTCCAGAAACTGTAACAATTATTGATTCAAATTGTTTTCATTATTCAGATGTTAAGACTGTGATAACGAACGGAGGTGGACCAAATACAATTGGTGTTAGAGCATTTTACCACTCTAACACAACAACCATAAATTTAGGGTCAAATTTAAATCTTCTCTCAAATCAAGCCTTTTCGACTTCAAAGATCACAACTATTACATTTGATCCTAGCTGTCCATTGTCAACTATATATTATCAAGCTTTTGTTGATTGTAAAAATCTTCTATCAATCGAGATTCCAAAGAATGTATTATCTATAGGGTGTCCAAAGGTGTGTTTAGCACAAACCTGAATACTGCGAATAGAAATAAACAAGTTACATATATATAAAGTTTATTTAAATATAATAACCATTGGATTCAATCACGCGTTCGCAGCGATCGATCCAGGCTTGAAAGACACGCTTTAAATCATCATGAGAAAATTGCTCAAATTGCTCTCTTACAAAATTTTCAAGATCATCTGGACTCGCGAATTCGCGTCCTTCAGCTCTCTTTTTAGCGTGCCGAATAAATAAAAGTCAGAGGGTGCAATATCAGGTGAATAAATTGGGTTTGGAACAACTTTGACATTGTTTTCCACCAAGTAATTCATTACCTTATGACTTTTGTGAACTCTTGAATTATCAAAATGAATTGCAAACTTTTGTTTTTGTTGTTTGGATTTCTCAAACTCATCAGAATTGATAATTTGAGTAAGAACATTGTCAATTAGATACTGAGCATTCATCGTATTAGGTTTTTGAAGAATATCAATTGCGATGATGCCATTCACGCCCCAAAAAACCGACAACATCATCATTGGTGTGTCAATTTTTTTCTTCGGGAATGTTTGCGGATTTTCATCCTTCGGGATCCACATGATTTTGGCTTCTGTTGCATATTGAAACCAAGACTCGTCCCCAGTTGCTAAAAAGCGAAACTTCTTGGATTGATACGCACCCAATATAGAGAGGAGCTCTTTCGAAGATTGTACTCTAGATTTTTTTTGAACTGAATTAAGGTTGTGCGGAACCCAACGTGTATACGCTAGTTTGTAGTTCAAATAATTGTGCAGATAATAACTGACTGTTGTACGTGGTATCTTTGTCATCTCCTCTATCCTTCTGAGTGATGCTCTTGGGTCTTCATCTAGCGCTTGAAGAATTGCTTTGATTTTTCTTTGATCCGGCGATTTTTTGTCAATTTTTATGATGGGCGCCTTTTTGTTCATGAAGTGATACATACTAACATGATACGTTACAGTGGAATAGCTAGGAGCATCCATACCGAAGCATTTTACCAATGTCTCGTAGATTTTTTTACAGTCTTTGCATTTTTTTGCAAGAGCGAGGATGTTTTCTTTATGATTCATTAAAAAAATGAAAAAAATCCCGCCAAAATTTCCCGCGAAACCGCCTCTTGTCTCAAAATTCATTTTATATCCCGGCATGGCGCCAAAATACAACATACTCATCATATACATATATTCATATTTTTTATTATATATTTATAATCAGCATATATCTCCTTTAATAGTCTCATATAGAGCGCTGTGCTAAACGCACCTTTGGACACCCTATATTTCAACCAATAAGAGATATAGTAATTATATATTATAAAAGCATATATTGGGGATATATGCTTTAGTGGTGCAACATCATTAAAGTCATTAACCTTCGCGGAAGGCTCAGTATTAAATTATATTGAAACACAAGCCTTTAAAGGTATTGCTATTACTTCATTAGTTCTTCCTGCAACAATGACATATATAGGAGCTAATGCATTTGCCTCTTGTACTAATCTTGAAACAATTTCATTTGCTACTGGATCAATCATTGAAACAATAGGAGGTGGTATCTTTAAAGATTGTATATCATTAGTGAATGTTACAATTCCATCCTCTGTTTCTAATTTTGACCCTTCGACTTTTAATGGATGCAAAAATCTTGTAAATATTACTGTTTCTGAAGAAAATAGTAATTATACAAGTTATGAAGGCATTGTTTACGTGAAAAGCAAGACAAAATTAGTTTGTTGTCCTGGAGGAAAAGTTTCTGCAAATATTAATAACAATATTATTGTTATTGGGTCAAATGCTTTCTATGGCTGTTCAAAACTTGAGAATCTTACATTTGAAATTGGCTGCCAACTTGAAGAAATTCAAGAAGGAACGTTTTATTCTTGCACTGCATTGAAAAGAGTTGATCTTCCAACATCACTACAAACTGTGCAACAAAATGCTTTTGCTGGTTGTACACTCTTAGCTATTATTACGTTCCCTGATTATTCGATGTGTAATCTTGATGCTGAATCAGTTTTCTCTGATTGTTCCAATCTAGAAACAATAACATTCGGACAATTTTGTGCTTTAACTGTTTTTGGAAAGAATATCTTTAGTAATTGTGTGAAATTGAGTTCAATAAATATCCCTGCAAACTGCACAACAATAAAAGAAGGTGCATTCCTTAATTGTCAAAATCTTTCAAATATAATATTTGAAAGTGGTTCACACATCACGACAATAGAGAATAATGTTTTTTCTGGTTGTTCTTCACTAACAGAATTCACTCTTCCTGATTCAATAACTGATATTACTTCTTCATGTTTTGGAAATTCTACATATATAAAAATAGTTAATGTACCTGCAAATTGTGCAATTTCTAAAATAGGATCAAATGCATTTAGTTCTTTTCCTTTAGAAACAATTAATTTTGGATCTGGAACGACGGTTTCTCTTCTTGAAGATTCTGCATTTCTGAATAAAAATATTGTAACATTTAAAATGAATTCGCCTTTAATTATTTCAAGTAATGCTTTTAAAGGCTGTAAGAAATTAACAACTATTTCAATTGATGGAGTTACATCTATTGGAAACTTTGCATTTTCTGGGTGTACTTCATTAAGATCATTTTCTGTTCCTCAAAAATGCAAATCTTTAGGAGATAATTGTTTCCAAGGTTGTTCTTTAATAACCTCAATTACTTTTGTTTCGACACCAACAATCATAACAATAAGGAGCAATTGTATGGCTGGATTAACAATAGCATCAATAACGATACCACAGAGTGTAACAACAATAGGAAATGGTTGTTTCTCAGGTTGCACTATTTTATCATCGATTATTTTCGAAGCAAATTCTAATTTGGCATCAATTGGTTCGAACTGTTTTTCAGGCTGTACTTCATTGATGAGTTTCACTACTCCAGATTCATTTACTGTAATTAGTGCTTCAACATTTGGATCAGCCCCAAGTATTACTGATGTGTTTATTCCTGCAGGGTTGACAATTACGAAAATTTCTAATGGAGCTTTCGAATCATTTCCACTCAAATCAATAACATTTGGAAGTGGAACAATTGTTAATTATCTCGAGGATTCCGCCTTCGAAAACAAAAAACTTGAATCATTTACACTTGATTGTCCTGTAATTGTTGGTTCAAATGTTTTTAAAGGATGTACAAATCTGAAGACAGTTAGTATTCCTCATATTACATCTTCAATAAATGTTCTAAATTCAAAAAGATTATCATTATCAGCAGAAAGCTTGTATACTATTCCTATTGGATTATTTGATGGCTGTTCTTCTTTGACAAATATTGATATTAATACGAACATTGTTAATATCTCTGATTATGCATTTAATGATTGTAAATTGCTGAACTTTAGAATTCCTGAAACAACACAATATATAGGAGATTACTCTTTCTATAATTGCAAGCAAATATCATATATTCCTAATAGTGTTGTTCATCTTGGAAACAGTTCCTTTTCTGGAACAAATATAGGTAGAACACTTATTGTTAGTAGCTTGATAAATTATATCGGAAAATCGTGTTTTTCGAACACCTTAGTAAGAAAAATTTATTATTGCAGTAATTTTGATTTTTCTGGTTTCGCTCTCGCTTTTGAACCAGATGCGAGAGCATTTGTAACATTCCAATATCCTGAAAACACATTTTGTGGAATTCTTGCAAGACATTTGCCAGGAACTACTTGTAAGGATATAATGGAAACCAATCTGGATGGTTATAGAAATGAACTTGGTTTAACAAATGGTGGAAGGTATGTATATGCTGTATTCCTTGCAGGAATCGAATAAATTGTTACTATTTTTTTATTTGTTTGTTGTAATATAAATGTCCATGTTTAGATTATATGATTTTGATCTATTTACTGCTTTGCAATCAAATACATTATCAAGTGATTGTAGTTTCTGCATTTTATATCATGAATTTACATGAAAAATGCAACAAATTAAATTCATTATTGATAATATCTTAATCAAGAAGGATAAATCATGCGATTTTCCATATTTGTACAATGGAATAATGGATAGTTGTGTTTCATAGATATTTATCATATTTGATCAAATTTGATTTTTCAAAGGTTGGATATTTTGATTCTTCCTTGATAAGGATGTCAATTCGGAAAATTGTTTTCATTTTAGGAGAATATAATTTTCCTTTTGGAAAATTTAAAAAGTGAGACGCGCAGGATTCGAACTTTTTTAAAAGTTGATTTAAATATATTCTAGTGTGGATTCTAAGGATAATATCATATTTAAAATAAGAATATACTAGTTTAGGTGGTATAATTTTTTTCGATAAATTTGAGAGTATGTACGTTTAGGGCATCAAAAGTGTCAATTCGCTCAGCGAAAGCTGAGCTAGCTTCGTTCTCGAAAAAATAGGGAAGGAGTGAAAGAGAGTGATACAGATGTTGACACATTCATATCATTTCAACAAATTTTGATCAAATTGAAATTCAATGAAATTCAATTCACTTCATATCCTTCAGTCAGTACATTGACATCCTTCTACATCACAATGATAACTCGTGCATCAATAGTTCTACAACTAACTCAGAAAAAACAAGATTTTTACTTCCAGCTTACAGCTTTTAAAAAGTTTCGATGATAAAAATCACTCTACTCTTGTTTATCGATATGTTGTGATAGTAGGTAAACGTATTCTTATCGATATTAATAAAAATATTTTTACGAAAATCTGAACCAATTACAGAGTTATTCATAAAGTTTATGATAACTGTAATTACTTCATCTTTGTTTAATATTTGAATAAACAATTTAATTTAATTTGCATAATTTTTTTTAGTTGAAAGACAGGAAACTTAGTTGAGTTTGTATTATTTTTATCGTTCAATTCATTGTATCAGTGAGTGATCCAGATATTTAAGATATTTAGAAAAAATTTATTAATTTGATTAACAAATTTTAATCAAAATAGCAAAAATCTATTTGATAGCTGTAAGCAAACAATAATTTTTATTTCAAGCAAAATCAATTATTTTCATCTAAACGTATAAAATTGTCAATTTTATGAGAATAAATTTAAAATCTCATGAAATATAAAGGAGAGTAATATTTTTCAATTTTCTTTTTTTCTTTGTCTCAAATATTTTCTGTTGGGAATTTTCTTGTTATCAAAAAATAATTTTAATATTTGTTTATTTCATTACATACAATAAAATTTTAAAAACTCTATTTGTTCACAAGAAAATTTTTTCCCTTCATATGAAGAAACATTTTGTTCTCCATTTGATGCTGAGTCTAAATCTCGATTTTTGATTTTTCTTCTTTCCAAATTTCTTTTTTCCAAATTAGAAGTTTAATTCAAATTTTCAATAGTTTATATATTTTCTCAAACCGTCTTAGATTTTCTCACTTTTTAGGGATTTTCTCTCAAAATATACAAAAATAGTAATATCAATACATGTGTCTAATATACTTTAAAACCATCGTGATAAAATTCAAAAACGAAGAGTTCTTCTCTCCAAATTTTTTTCAAAATCAAAAAAATGAGATAAAAAAGCACGTTTGGAAAATTCATTTTTAGCATTTTAGGAATTTTCTCACTTTTCTTCCAAATTGACATCCTTATCCTTGATTATTATATTAGACTAGTTTAGTGTATAATAAATTACTGATTGATATTCGTCATACGTTGAAATTTTGTATCATCATTTCATTGTATACTAGAAATTGAAATGTTTTAATTATATCGCACTATTTATTTTTGTGTATAAATGTAAAAATAACAAGAAGTAATAGGTGTTGTATTAATAAGGTAGTCACAAAATCTAAGTAGTGAGGCTCTCAAAAATTGAACCGTACTCCATACAAAATTTGTGTACCCTCACTACTTAGATTTTGTGGCCTTCAATTGAGAGGTTAGTTTTGATAGAGCACGTTATAAAATTGAAAGGAAAAATAAATAAAATTTAAACATTTAATTATATATAATGTAAGGAGTGTAATTCCAAATTTTCTAAAAAGTATTCAAATTTGAGCATTTTTTTGGAAATAGTAAATCTAATATGTACATCTAATAACAACATGATTCATCACCTTTTCAAGCTCTGCAGTCAATTTTTTGAAATTTGATTGAAAAAAATGTAGCAAAAATTACATTTCATTAGGGAATATATGAGTTTCTCTGGAAACAGGCTGATAAATTTTAAATTTTGTCCAATCAACATGAATGCATTGAGAAATTTGGATTGATTTTCTGGTAGAATCTGGAACAATTCAACCATGGATAAATGGATCATGTAATCATCATGAAATGTTAGTGTTAGAGTTCAAAAGAAACAGAATGAGTGGAAATCAAACACAATCTGAATAATTTTAAACGTATACAATCTTTAAGTTTGTATTTTGAATTCTACATATATGATTGTGTAATTCGTTCTTTCAAATTTTCGGATTCAGGCATGTTTTGATAAAATTCATTCCCAAAAACGTCAATTAACAATTAAATTTAGTGTATTTTAAATATATATACGTATTATATTTTATAAATTATATTAAATTCGCAAAATTTTAAGTTTTAAACAAAAATAAAAAATGTTCAAAATATGAAATTATGCATAGGATATTAAAATTTACATGTTAGCAATTTTTTGAATTGCTTTCAATTTTCATATTGAAATTTTTAAGATTTTTTTCTGAAATAATAAGCAAGAATATCAACCTAAATAATATTAAATTCCATGCGTTAATTTCCCCTCAAAAGTCATTGACCGCCTCTCAATCTAGATTTTGTGAGTACTTTATTAAATAAATCTGAAATGACACGGATTTGCCGTGAAGTTTTTCTCATGAAATCGTACTCCCAAAGCTTCAAAAAGTAATGTTTGATATATAAAGCGAGCAAAAAATACTTTTCAACAAAAACAGCAGATGATTGTTGTCGTAAACAACTTCAAATGTAAATGAAATATAAATATTAGCAATACATTACATGGTTTTATTCGGCAAAAGTATCCAACAAGCGGGAAACTGATGACGATGAAATTGACTGAGGTTCCGGAAGTTTTGCAGAATTTCTATAACTGTTAATACGGCTAATGCGTTTTGATCCTACAATTGAATTCCTGTTAAGTAATAAAACCGAAGTAGAGTTATGAGAGGAGATTTTTGTTTCCTGGAAGCACTTAAGATGAGCAACGATTTCAGTCATATCCCATCTCTCTTCTGGATTTAACAAAAGCGTATTTTTGATAATTGTTCTAATTTCGGGAGATACGTTGCGTGGCATTATATAGCATCCATTGCAGATAAGCTGCTTCATTTCTGTCTGGTTATTGCCTGTAAATGGAACTGTGCCACTTGCCATAAAGTAGACTGTAGCTCCAAAGCTCCAAACGTCGGACTTGAATGGGTCATATGGTTGTCTAAGGAATACCTCTGGTGCTAAATATGCAACAGTGCCTCCGTATTTGTCGCATTGTGTAGCCCCGATTTCAGCCATGCCGAAATCTGAGAGTTTAATATTGAAATTCTCATCAATAAGTAAGTTGGCAGGTTTAATATCATGATGAGCGAATTTCTTGGAATGGCAGTACTGTAAGGCAGATGCGGCCTGATAAATGTACTGAAGAAGTCGTTTGTGATCAATCCTTCCCTCGTGTTTGATCAGGTCTTGGATGGATCCGTTAGGGCAATATTCAAGAATTAAGAAAAACATGTTCTCTTCAATGAAATAGTTGTAAATTCTCATAATGTAGGTTTGGAATATCTTGCAGAGGGCATCAATTTCATGGGAAAATTGATTCATTTGGGTGTTTACTTTATCCTTTTCTACTTCATCTTGTGATTTATAGACTTTGCAGACAAAAACTTGTTGATATTTCTGGTCGAAAACCTTATAGCATGTTGCAAACCCTCCTGCGCCTATCTGCTCTAGGAGTACGTAGCCGTTCCTTAATAATATTTCTTTGAGCTTGGATGTATCTTGACTCATTGTGAACTTTTTTTTTGCTTTAATGGTTTTTGTTTGAGAAACTCGGATTATTTATTCGAACATTCAATTTTGAATAGTTGACAAAAACGTAAACTCTAATAACATGTTAATATTGTAATGTCTATTATAATCTATATTTTTCTCAATTGATTTTTTAATTCCATTCAATTATTTCAATAACTTCAATAATCGGACAGCTTGCCAATAAGAAAAAATTGTGAATATCGATGATTTTTTAAGACTCAATTTTTTATTTCTTAATCATAAGAAGCAAGAGATAGGCTGTCATTTTAACTAGACATTTTCAAATTTCTCAATAAATTTTTTAGATTTCATGAAGAATTGAGTCTGTATGGAATTTAACATCCTAAATATATTCTACTTATTCCAACTAGTAGTTCGATGACAAATGAACCCCTAATTTACTGGAAGATGGCAATTTTTTGGGTAATATTAAAATCTTGTCACTTTTTTATCCATTGAGAGCAAAATCGTCTCTTTCATGGACACTTTTTGAGTAGAATTTATATAAGAGGATGCGAAAATCTATCTCATTGTATGGAAGGTGAAAGAGTTACGGTTAATTCTAAAATTAATATGTCAAAGTCAAAATCTTCAAAATTCCCTTATACAATGATTCCAAATGATGTGATTATTAATTTTTATTAATCGTTGACATAAAAACCCCAAATTTTTGAATATTTTTTTTTCAGCTCGGGTTATTTTTCAATTTTCTTTTTCCCATATGATTCTCATAGGGACTGTATCATGAAAAGTTTAGAAAGCATTTAATTGACTGCGATATCGCATGTTGGAAATCCCAAACATAAAGTTTGGATTCTTACTGTAAGCATTAATGTTTTCTATTACAAACAAATTAACTTTTAGCGCAAACAAAGATAGTTTAACTTACATCAAAAAAATATAGAATTACAAATAAAGATATTAAAAAAGCTTTTGGGTAAGCATTAGTTGAGTAGTACTGTATAAACATTTATATTTCTACCGATTTCCATTCTTAAAAAAAAATAGAAACATCATGGTAATTCGGCAATAGGAACTATAGCGTTTAAAGCTATATCTATTGCTCTGTAATTGATTGTAATTGCTGTACTTTTGGTTTAACTATTGCAAGCGTTTTCCTTAGAGCCAAGAAACTTCCAGAACTTCGAACCGAACGTAATGGTTTAACACCCGTTGAAATCGTGATCTGTGACTGTTTGAAATATGGAGAAGATCCATTAGTCATAATGGACTTCAAAGTCATATGTTTTTCTTCTGTGTTATTTGTTGGAACTACTACGTCGAAAAATGAGCTTTCTTCCTTTTTATTGTAATGTGATAATGGAAGTTTCTTGGTTTGGACTTCTAAATCTTCAGCTATATATGCAATGCCGCCATGATACGCTGAGTAGCCTGATGTTGAGAAAACAGTAATCAAGGTATTGTTAAAGCTCTTTGAAATACCATCAACTGCTTCATGACCTCGAATCATCTTTTCATAGTTATATTGTCTTAGAAAGGCAGTAAGGGCGACTTGGCCGAAAACAACTCCACGGCCACGTTGATTTGATCCATAGGTTGTTATCACATTTGATGGGTCAGACCATACAATATCTTCAATCATAGATTCCGCTTTAGAGGAATACTTAAAGCCGTTTTTGAGACTTGTAAATACTTCCGAATCCATGCACTTTTCGCTAATGCCTCCATGTAAGCACACAATGTGTGTGTTAACTGTACAAATAATTGGTAAGTATTCGAAGGCATTATTGAAAAGCTCCCAGAAATTCTCTGATTCAAATTCGTCTAGTATTTGCTTTTTGAATTCATAATTGCAATTAACATTTCTATATTCGTGATTGCCGCGAAGTAAAACAATAGAGTATGGATACATTATGTAAAGAGCAAATAATAGGATTACGATCTCTGCTGAGTATTCGCCTCTGTCAACATAGTCACCCAAAAATACATATCTAGTATTTGGTGGCATGCCGCAAAGTATAAATATTCGAATTTAATCATGTAAATTTCCATGCAAATCACCAACAATAACGCAAGGACCAGAAAAATGAACAACTGGGGATCCTAGGGAAAGTAATTTTCTTGCTTGTTGTATAACTTGTTGAATATGTGGTTCTCCAAAGCGTGGAATTGGAATTGTGTCACCTATTTCGGATACATCCTTTGCTTCAAGAAGAGTTTTGAAAGAGGAAACTATAAGTTCTGCCATTATTCTTTTTTAACCTAAAAAAAATTGATCCCTTTTACAATATTTAAAAAATAAGAATTTATATTGTATTAATGATATATGTAGTAAATATTAAAAAGGAGTTTTCAATGGGTTATTTTAGATTGTGAATAAAACTGATTATATATTCTAAGAATTTTTGATTCGGCTCAGAAATCTTTTGAAGTAAATAGTGAGCGTTTGCATAATAATAATGTATAAATATAATTGGGATAAAAAGATAATTTAAGGAATAGAAATATTTATTTTCAATTTTTTTATAAATTCTGTAATTGAAAGGAGATTTATTTATTCACTGTTTGTCAAACAAATAAGGCATTGATAATTTTCAATAAAAAATAACTTCAAAGTCTCATCACACTTTTCAATGCTCGATTTTTAAAAACTGTTTAAAAATGGAGCTTATATTGAAATAGTGTAGAGACTAAAAATTACCACAGACTATTTCAGAGGATTGAGTTGCCACTCAATCCTCTGAAAAGTCTGAGGTAATTTGCAAACTTATCAAACCATAAACATTGGATAAGATATATAGGAAAATCTCATGCTATCATACGATCGAATTATTTCCGATAATAATTGAATTCAATTGAATGCTGTTATGACCATTCAAAATTTAAAAACTGACAAAAACAATGGTATTTGAGGTATTCAATTTCGAAATATTTTCTCATTAGAATAATGAATAAAGGTTGAAATTATAAGGAAAATAATTTTCTAAATATCTCTTAGAAAAAAAATTTAATCGCTCAACGTTATGATTGATGAAATTAATACATAAGTTATGTCTCAGATAACTCACTCATGGTGTATTATTTAGTTCAATATTTTTTCCAATCATTTGAGGAATTCGCTCTTTATTCTCTTTTCTATTACATAAAAATGCTTACTTCTATGAATTATTGTTATTCCTCAAAGAAATAAATCAATTTTCCATATCCAAAATAAATCTATGTAATAATGTGATCCTATATCAAAAAGCTCATGTTCTTTAAAGATGCAGTAGAATAAGTGTAAGCTATCTCGCGATGTGTGATATGCATAGATATCAATCAATGCAAAAATATTTACATTTTATTGTTTTAGTATACAAATTTACTTCGAATTATCATTTGCCTAAAAGTCATACATATTTAAATCATGTTTTTTACTTTTGTTTATTTCGTATTTTGGTATTTAGTGAATCTGAATCGTTAACTAGTAGATGAGATCAAAACTTTCATTATGCATATTGTAAATACGATGTACTTAATCATTTGCTAAAACTTTGCTACTTGATTCATCAATTTATGCAATTATAGGTGCAATATTTGATCGCTGAATGTATTTTAGATCAAAACTCATTTTTGAAAGAATAAATAGCTCTTTTGATGTTTACAATAATGGGTGAGTTAGATTGTGAGACCAAGAAATGTCGAAAATAAAAATTAATTTTATGATAATTTGCTTAAGCAATCTACTTACCTTAATAGATGCATAGACGCAATATCTTCATGCTTTAGAATTGAAATAATGTTGTTGTAATTGCTGAAATTTGATAAGGATAAGGAAAAGATTCGTATTTTTATACCTCTAAAACTGTTGTTGAAAAAAAAATATCTTGCCATTATTGTACGCTTCTTTTCTGCTAGAAGCACCAGAAATAAAAGTATTTATTAGTACGACCTAATTCATTACTCCAATTGCCAACTATTTGATATAATACATTTAGTTGTATCGCCAGTTATTCGACAGAATTATTCAATTGAAAACTATCTTAGTTAAATCTAATAATATTACAACAATATTCATACGTCATGATAATATCAAGATCATGCATGCCAAATACCCCGCATTCAAAGTCCATTTTTTGCACTATAAAATACAACAATTAAATTCCTTTGGAATCTGATATTTTGCATACCTTAAGATGGATATTCAAATAACTTGTAAATAGAAAAAGGTACTAGAATCTGAGAAATTTAATTCAATTATGTGAAAAAAAAAGCCACTTTGCTATAGAAATTAGTTACGAATTACAAAGACTTATATGATCAATGCACAGTGCTCCATAGAATCTTTGGATGTTTCTGATTTCAAAAAATTATATTTTGATCTCAATATGAAAATTCTAAGCTTACACGTTAATTACTGATGTTGCGCAAATGTAGTACATTTTTATTCATTCGTTCGCTTGTTGTTGTTTTAAATAAAAACATTATTATTTAGCTATCCCAAAATAAGAATTTAGTCATGAAGATAACATTTCCACCAAGAACTAAGACATCAAATCAACTCAAAAATGAAGGTCTTTAATATATCAATTCAAAATCAAAAAAATATAAGTCTTTTATGTGTTAAAACACTCTAATTTAGCTTTTTAACAAATTATAATGTGCTTGATTTTTCCAAATTTTTTTTAAAATCGATCTTTTAATAAGAAAATTCTAATTTTTTAATTTCATTTTTGATTTTTTGATTTTTTTTGGAATTTGGAAAAGATCGAACAAGCAGAAAGGGCAACGAGGAAGCTTTAGACATCTCATTTAATGATGAATTAAAGGCGAATCTTAAAAAATCAACTCAAATAACAAATATCAACCTCAGTATCATAAATTCTAAAAAAAACTGTACTAAGAATTGATAATACATGATCAATACTAGTAAAATATTCGGATGAAAGGAGTAAAAATAAAGTTTTATAGAGGTCTATAAGAAAAATTGCTTCGAATTAATATTCTAGTTAAAAATAACATTTTACAGCTGAGTACAGTCATTTCACTGGCACTCTAATCTTGAATTTTTCTTCAAAGTTTGTATATGTTAATAAACAAGTTGAATTGTTTCGATTGATTATTAATTTTATCAAAGGATCAAGTTAGAAATCTTGAACGGGCTTGTTTCTGAAGAAATTTTAAGATTTATAAGAGCCTTTTTGAGGAGAATGCTATTAGAACTGTCATTCACCTAAAATGATTCATTTTTAGACCACCACACTTATGTCCCCATCATATTACTGAGTTTTATTTTTTTTTTGAAGGGATATTGCTTGTAGTAAAAAATTTCAATGGATAGTACTAAATTTTTATAATATATTAAAAACATAACATAATTAAAAGAAAAATCTATGGGCGTCCAAGCAGGTACAAATATCATCAACAATAGAATTAAATTTGTCGTAAGCACCCGACTTTATCGACATCGAAATAACAGATGTTTCGTCAGTATCAGGAATAAGATTAATAGAAACAATTGTATTGTCTAACTTAGCGAAAATTTGTTGATCTTGTGGGAAGAGCCAGTCGATTTGCTTATCCGATAGATGCTTTTGGATATTGGCAACAGCAGAATCTAATTGGTATCTAACGTTCACAACAACTTCGCTCTCTTTTTGATTTTGGTTTGTTTGGGAATTTGCAGACCAAAGAACAACGTCAGCCATTGATTGAATAGGAGATTCAATCGACCAAGCAATGTTAGAGTTCGACCTCTGGAATTTGTAAAATTGTTCTTTGGATAGTGGATTATCAGTATTGGAGAAGTTAGTACCATTAGAGAGCGATATATTGTTTTCATCTGTAATGCAAACCCTTGTTGTCCATGGGAAAGATTCGATGGCTTGTGTCTGTGTTAAGATGGAATAGAAGCTTTTCGCTGTGTTGCAACCAGTTAACGAAAGTTGTTCATTCAACTCTTCGGGTGTAAATCCTATTGTTATCATTGTTTCCTTAACTTCTGGGGTAAGATCGTCAATGGAGACAGGTTGGCTCATATCTGGCATAGGGAATGGTAATGGTGGAGTATAGAATTGCGGCAAGCCAATTCTGAATGCTTTATGATGCTTGATTTGCTCAATCGTAATACGACATTCAGGATTGACGCAGAGCATTTTCGCTACAAGATCTTTGATAACAGCCGGGAAGTCAGGCATTCTATATTGACCATTCTTGATTTTCGAAACTAAGTCTTTGAAATTCGGCTCATTGAAGGGAAGTCTGCCTGCCAGCAATGCATAGAGTATTACTCCACAACTCCAGATATCAGCTTTCTGTCCGTTATAAGGAATTCCGCGGATGACTTCAGGGGCAGCGTAATGGGGACTTCCGCAGCTGGTTTGTGTTGTTGAGTACTTTAACCAACGGGCGAATCCAAAGTCAGCTATTTTAACGTTATTATGAGAGTCGAGTAAGAGGTTTTCTGGTTTTAAGTCTCTGTGACAAATTCCTCTTGAATGCAGATAATCAAGACCGTAAATTATTTGACGAAAGATCCTCATTGATTCTTCTACACTTAGATATCTTCGAGCAACAAGATAGTCAAAGAGCTCACCATTTTCAGCGTATTCTTGAATGATGAATAAATGTCGAGGGCTTTCGGCTATCTCAATAAGTTTAATGATATGAGTATGATCTAGTATCTTCATTAATGCAATCTCGCGTTGAATCTTGGATGAAAGTTCGGGGTTTTCTTCTAATTTTGATTTTTTAATGATCTTAACAGCATATCTTTGATGCGTTTCTTTGTGCTCGGCAAGTTTTACCTTTGAGAAGTTCCCCTGCCCAATTATTTGCAATAAGATATAGCTACCAAGATCAACATTCGATTCCATTATTTGAATACTATTAATCGGTTTATCCACAAAAAAATTTTTTTTGATGTACGATAGAAACAGATGAAGGAGTTTTTCACAAATATTTTTGTGAGTGCAATTGATTTTTTGGTAATTATTATTGTTATGGAATAAGAAATGATTTCATTAAATTTGAGGTGATGAAAAATTTGTGAAGAAAGGTTAAATACAAAGTCAAAATAGGGAATATGCATGGATGTTTATCATGAAACTTTTCATTTTTCAATTTTTCTATATGATTTTTTTTGATAGCGAAAAATTTAGACAATGATAATAAAATCAGTAACTCTACTTATATTAAAAATTTTGTAAACACCATCGGCTTGGAGAAAAAAAATTTATTGGATAAATGTTGAAATTAGTTGTATGGCGGATCTATCATGGGAGTGTAAAAAATCTAGAGAGCTAATTTTCATAATCGCATTGAAATATTACAAAAATTTGAATTGAGACGGAAAAATTTGAGATGATTATAAAATCTTCTTTTTCCTCTTCAATTGAAAAAGTTACATTATTCGGTCCCAGACTTAACGGAAACTTTTTTCTCACTCTGGAACCCATTTTTTAAATATATTTATCATAAATCGAAACTAATTTCACTTTTCAAAACCCTAAACAGTCACAAAATTCAATTCGGTTCCGTAGAATGGATAACAATGCAACAACAACCTTTATCATGTATTCGAAACTTTGCGCTTTAGTACGTTATTTCACCATAAAATTTGTTGTTTTAGTATCTCTTGTATTATATTTAACATATAAGAGTGGAGCATCCATATTCATTGAGGGAATACAATTATTACAAATCAATTAAATTCTTTTCAAATCAATAAGTTATCCATTAACCATAATGCTTCTGTTACTTACATACAACACGATACTATGCCAAAAACATTGCTTTAAAAGATTATCTCACCATATCTTCCTCTGATTGATTTGATAAATTTGATCCAATTTGATTTACGATCTTTGAGCTTCAACTTCACTTTATAAATTTCACATTTTGCTTATGTACAATTCGTACTTCATGGGCACTTTCGAAATTGAATGAAATCAATTAATTAGAATGTTTTAGATAATAAGAGTCTAGATTTAATCACAAATCATATCAATCTGGTATAAAACCAATACATTTACTTCCTATTTTAAAACTTTTTGAATTTTTGGAACTAAAATTGTCCTTTCGGAATGACGTGCTTCATTTTATACGCCACATATATACTTGTTATTATGCAGGGCAATTTGATAATATATATTCACCTTTTTTCATGAGATAATCAATGATCAATGTTTTTATTTGATATACAATCATTTGTTAGATTGTATTTGTGCCACATTAAGTATTTATATATGAATAAATGCATTAAGCGCAATCAATAATCCCATTCTCAATTAAAGGGTCTGTTATATGTTTTTTTATCCTTAAATAGTTTTCCTCAAGAAGTACACCCGAACAATCATACTTCAATCCTTCCAGAAAAAGTTTATCAATTTCATTAACTCGAAAATTCCATACAAATCCAATTCCATTTCTTTAAATGAATATATCTATCTTACACACCATTGTATTACAGATAAAATATTGATTTGTCAAAATTAATTAATGGATTTTATACGAACATTTTTTCAAACACAACATCACCCAATTTCCGAGCTTCTTCTTCTATGGGCTAATCGATCAAGTTTTATCGATAGCACAGCAAAAGATTTAGATCAGGTTTCTCCATTTCAATTTCCAGCTTTGGATAAGACAAAAATCTTTGCAATTGATATGAATTTGATTTCAGGACAGACGATTTCAGATAGTTTGGCTTCATTAAAAGATAAAACCGAATGGAATCCAGATTCGGAAACTATATATTTGAATTTTTTGAAGTCTCAAACAAAACAATCGCAGTATTTCATTGTAGTATCATTACTCAACATCATATGCTTTCTTATTCATACAGAATTACCGGCAAATTTTGAAACATTTGATTTAATTCTCAGTACTTTAATCGAAATACACGTTACAGATTACGAAAACCACATTAAAATCATATTTAAAGAACTTTATGCGAGAGTATCAAAAGAAAATACCTCTTTTTGGCCACACGATTCAATAATTCTTCTTATTAAATTTATTGGAATTCATACAGCATCAATGTTTAACGAGGAAACAATCTTTAGTGACCTTTCATACCATTTACCAGATACTTTTAATAATACGACATCAAAATCAATAATTGACGAACTATTATTACTGATAAAGAACATACAGATATCAAACGAAAGAATATTTACAAGTCCAAAGCTCGTGAGAGCAATAGAAACCTGCGTTTCCAAAATTTATCTGCCAGCTTTAGAAATATTAACTCATTTATCTAAAAATCTTCCGGAAAATGGACAAATTGATCAATTCATTGCACTCCCTGCCATTGTCTGCAACTACTCACGCAATTTTAAACAAAAATTCGATACTAATTTTGAAATAAAACAATATCCAAAGCTAAAGAACCCAACAGACTACGATTATTACAAAGGAAAGAGCGAATACTTTGTTAATGGCTTTACTTTTAGAAAAACAAAGACTTTAATCGATGTAGAACCATTATTAAATTTAATTGACGATCAATTAGCGACAACACTTATAGATATGATCGGATTAATCGAAGATGTCAATAAGAACTGCATAAAAATCTTTCTCGACGCATTTTCAACTTTAATTAAAAATCAAAAATCTCATGACGGATTTTTGAACTATTATATATGCTTTTTATACTGCGTGTCACATCTATCACGTATTATTTCAATCAATGATTACACATCTGCCATGTTTCATCCAATAATCTTTGAACAAACAATAACAATTTTTAATGAAATTCCAGATTTCGTTGATACAATTCGTTGTCACGTTTTTGAAGTAATGTTAACAGTAGATCCACAAAAAATCGTTAATATAATGACAAACAAAGTCAATGGTGAATTATTCGTTGCTGAATGTTTATGTAGAATCATGTCTCATGTTCCTCAAATTGATTTGAATTTTTTCACGGAGAATTCCATTTTAAGAGCGATTTCTTCAAATTTGAGGTCGACACAGTTCTTAAGACGCGAGTATCCTGATTTATTTATTGATCCTTTGATGTCTTATCTTTGTTTCATTTCGAAATTGTTGTCAGAAAAAGAATTTGCAACAATTTGTTTTACAAACACTCATTTTTCAAGAATTTTGTTCGGATTGATATATGATGAAGACATTTCCGAACGTGTTATAACTTGTTTGACTGATTACTTGATATATTCCAATGAAATAACATCAACTTATTTCGTTGGTTCTGTTTTTGAGAAAATTCCGAAAAATTTGGGTGAATTTTTCGTGAAAATGATCAAAAGATCTGTTGAAAGCAATCCTTCGATTTCTTTCATTGTCGATGATTGGATTGACTCGATGTTGGACTTTACTATTACTAACCATTCCCAGAAAGCTCTTCTCAACACTATAAACGTGATTTTGTTCGTTGTTAGACATCTTGGAAATGATTATAAATTTTCAAGTTTAAGGTTAAGTAAAATGATCACTTCTATCAACGAAAACGAAGGAAATGAGCCAACAGAACAAACACTGAGTCTTCTTTGGAGTATCGCTAGTCAAACAAAATCAATTATACCTGATTCGATGTTTTTGATCAAAATTCCTTCAATTTTAGTTCCAATTTTCGCAATTTGCCACAAAAGTCAAACAAAACAGATGCAGTTTTTAGAGAAAATCAAGGAATTATGTATGAGTTCTCCTTCGAATTGTGTTTCATGTCATGTTGGACAATTTGATTTGGCTTTAATCGATTTCTTGACGAAAGGTGAAATAAATTACAGAGGAATCGTGTTTAAACCAGAATTAATTACAGATAATGATATAGAAAACACAGTTCTTCCTTTGTTGTTCGCAATCATTCAAGAGAAATCATCAAATTGCGAAATTTCAAAAATTATTGACAAAATTGTAAAAAGTGACATCAGATTGGCAGAATTTTTAACGAAATATCTGTCACAGTCCATCAATATAATGAAGCCAACATTTAATCTATGTGATAAGCAACAGACAATCAAATTCTCTGGTTTCGATCCTCAAAAATTGAATGATTCATTTTCTGTCACTTTTTATTTGAAGTTTGATCAACAAATTTCATCTCTTTTACCAACAATTAACATATTTTCATTGAATAGCAAAACCACACAGATTTCTCTAATATTAAATCATGCAAGTTTGTTCTTTAGTTGCACATCAAATGTGAAATATTCTTATCAATGTTCCAGTGCTTTGAGTCCAAATAAATGGGTTTTTGTGACATTTGCCGCCAAAAGAATTACACCAAACAAGATGGCTTGGGGATTATATACTAATACTACTTCATCAATGATGTCTGAATCAATTAATACATTAAGTTTTGATGCAGAAACTGTTTGTGAATTTGGACAAATTTGTGAATTAAATCCAGGATTGATTGGAAGATTTGCAATGACATATAAAGTTCTCAGCTTAGATGATATAATATACTTGATGAGTGACGGTGAATCATTTAAGAATGATCAGTTTATTTTCACTCATTTCGATACAAATGTCAATTTATTTGACAACGACAAATCATTTGATAAAACTCTTGGAAGAAATGGAAACTTACAAAAATTATTCAGTAGATTTGATTTGTTGGATGAAAAGATTGGTGATTTGGCAATTGGAATTGTTAAATTGACTTTCTCTGCTTCTTTAGAAAGCCAAAAGAATTTTGCTTCTTTCATTTACACGGCAGGAAGTTTGGAAACAATTGACAGCAAGAGATTGACTTATCAGTTGTATTTGGCTTTTTATTCGATTGGAGATGTGATTTCTGATGATCATTTGATGGAAGATTTCCTCGATTTGATTGTATTGAATACAAACATTTGGGGACGTGCGAATCCATCTACATTGATGAGAATCTGCAATCACTGGTCACATACAGTTTTAGAACAATATTCAGTTCTTTTCCAGAGAAGTGGAATGTTCCAGAGATTGATCAAATCATTTAGAATATTGTTCATTAATTACGGAGAAGAATTTGAAATGAATATAATGGCAAGTTCTCCAGCACAAAACAAAGATGAAAGTATATTAACAACTCCTAATAAAGACGACACATCATCTCCTTTAATCAACAGTGAAAGTCCTTCTCTTCTTTCTCAAATGAACAACGAAAATGATTCTCCTCTTTCTAAGAATCAAAATGAAAGTGATAGTCTAATTTCTGATGAGAAAAGTGAAGAAAATTATCAAAATCTTAATAAAGAAACCAAAGAAAATGAAGATCCTAGAATAGATCAAAATGATTCTTTAGAACCTAAAGTGAATGAAGTTTCAGAAACAACTTCTCAAGATCAAATGAAACAAAAGGAAAATTCGGATATAAATGATGAAGAAATTTCTTCTCCAAAACAAAATGAAATTTATTCTCCTGATCATAATAATGAATTATCAACTCCAAGTAAAGGAGTAAATATATCTCCAATGCAGAGTTCTAATGAATCTCCACAAAGAAATGAAGAATTATTCCAAGAAATTTCATCAGATAATGAATCATCATCAGAAGAAAACGATGGAGAAGAAAAGCCTCAAAAAGAAAGAAGAAGAACAAAGAGAAGACAGACATTTTCTTCTTATGATGAATTACCAAAAGACAGTTCATTGTTGACACCTCAAAAGAGAGAAAAAATCACAAGAATTGGAAGAATCAGTTCTACAAACATAAAAATAGATTCTCCAATCAAAATTTCCGAAAGTTACGAAAGACTTGATGAAGACATTTCCAGAGCAAGAGTTTCTTATTCAAAGATATTAATGAACACACCAATAACTGCTAAAGTTGAAGCCGAATTCCTTCTTTCTTTAGCATCATTCAACAACCCAGCATTGAAAGAAGTTTTGAAGATAATAACTGTTCATGCGAAAGAAATTGCATCATTTGATGTTTCTAAACCAAAAGTTCCTGACTTTTTGCTGCCAATTATTAATGAATCGAATGACATTGAGATAATAACAAACGCTGTTATCGCAATGGCTTTCTTGAAACCTTCAGACATTTCTCTTTTAATTGCAGCAAAAATGATTTCAACAAAAACTGTTGCAACAGATATTTTGAACAATTTATTGACAAAGTTACCGAATATTCCAGGAATTGCGGAGTTCTTGAGTTCATTGTGTCTTTCTTTAGCACCAGACAAAGTCAAAGAAGATGAAACAGAATTGACACAAACAGACGAAATAGAAATCCAAAGAAAAGTAACAATGACAGAGAAAATTAAGAATAGTTTGAGAATAGGAAGAAGTCGTAAAGTCTCTGATATCACAGGTACATCACCAAGAAGATTCTCTTTCCTTTCATCAGGAAACACAACGAATACGAATCAATTTGCTAATCTATTTTCTGCTTCTTACAGAATTATGACATCTAATGAAGATGTCAACTTTCTTCTGCAATCAAAAGGTGTTTCATGGCCATTCTTACCTTTGGCGATGCTAACGAGAATTGCAGATAATGTCGCAGGACAATTAATCGAAGCTGTTTCTTTTGTCATCAAAAAATGTCAAAATCCATCAAAAGAATTAAATGATGCAATAATTACAATAAAAATCTTGGAATTCATCACGAAGAAAGATTTGTCAAGGTTCTGTTGCAATCTAGTTTTGTTATGTAAAGACATTGTCGATGATTTCTCAGCGGATATGGCTTTGTTCATCAGAATTCTCGACAAAAACATAACTTTGTCAAATTATTTCGATGATTCTCCTTTCAAAGAAACCATTGAAAAAGTGACACAAACAATCATCAGAAGCATGAGTGACATCAAAATCAAAGACTCTGTGATGGTATACATTGGTTGTTCGTTGACAGAATCAAGAGATGTTTATGATCAGCTTTGTTATTTGTGTCATGACAGATTCCGCCAAATTTGCAGAGAAATCGCAAACGGAGCTGATCAAATGACAGAATTAACAGATGAAAACATTGCCCAGTTGAAAGATAAGGCGTTGACAAAAATAGCTTCACTTTTGGTTATTGTTGACGGTTTTTCATCAAAAATTACTACACTTTATGATGATAATTTGTCGAGCAATGATATCCAGAACAAAAAATTCTCATGGACAATAGAATTCCGTTTACTCCATAAAGTTCAAGTTGATTCTTCAATTTTCAAGAATTTGATTCTGAAAAATTTGCCTCAAAAAGTGACAGAAAAATGTGATTCCAAGAAATATTTCATTGGAAATTGCATTCCACACATGAAGAAATATATAATCAATCATGATATCGATCTCATCAAGTCCAAGAATGTTTTGTTGCAACAAACAATTGACAATCCAACAATTTCTTCTCCTTGTTTATTACTTGAAAAAAATAAAATGAAAAGTGCTGCTTTTGTCATTGTTCATGGCGAAAATTTAGTAATACAGATCGATGACTATTACAGGATTGATATACATTTCTCTAACATCATTTTAGTTCTTAGAAGAAGTGATTTGATTTTCGAAATTTTCTCGAGAAATGATTCATTTTTAGTCGAATTTTCTAATAACGAAATTTCGGATTCATTCTACGAAATCTTCCAAAAATTCACAGAGAAAACAAAAGACATCGTTTGCCCTGATAACTTTGAAAAACATGTCTTTGATTTAATCATTCAAAACTCATCAATTCATTCCGAAGACTTTAGAATTGATGGTTTGGAAGTTGATGAATTTTCAGGTAAAAAAGATTTGAAGAAATCGATGCTTTTGAGGCAGAAATATTCTTCTTCTGATAATATACAGAACTACTTCCCATCCACTAAGCAAATCCCTGAGAATATAAGATTCACACCATTGACAATGAAAATTGTTGACGAAAAAGTTTTTTATTTGGTTGAAAAAACAGTTTCTTCATTCGATTTGTTTTCGAGTGAAATAAACAAATACAACTTCGAAGAAGAGTCAACATTCTTCGTATTCGATAACCAAATATTTAAACGCAATTACGACGAAAATCACGTTGTTTTATTCTCAAATAACAACGTGATTTTGTTAGTTGAAGATGATACAAAATTATCAATTTTGTACAAAAACTGCAATAATCATTTTAATGAAGTAATTAGCCTTCCAGAACGCATTGTTTGTGCAAGCTATTGCGGGAGAACAAGTACAATATCCATTGGTTTAAGTTCATGCCACATCATGATGATGAGTTCTGATGGAACAGACATTTTCAATGTCATTCATTTTGATGAAGAACCTTTGAACGTTTTTTCAACAGAAGTTTTTAGTTTGCTTTGCGTACAGACTTCTGAGAGATTCTACGCATTCGATTGCAACGGGAACGAGGTTTATCAAATGAGTGTTAAGTCAACATTTGCTAGACCTTTCTCCGTCAATTCGTGTGACTTCGTATTGATATGCGAACGTGGAAGAATTTTCTCTGTGAATTTGATTGATCATAAAATCATCGAAATTGCTCGAGAAAGAGATGTTATTGACATCTCGTTTAACATTGATAAGATGCTTATTATTATTGTTAACAGTTCTGGACTCATTCACGAAGTTCCTTTCATTCCTTCACTTGAATAATTACTTCTATTATATATTATTTTTTTATATTTGTTTGTATTACGACATTTTATTTCATAGTTAAAATTATTATTTGTTAAATTTATCTCTCGTTTGGTTTTTAGCCTTGAAAGAAGATCCGTGTTGGAATTTGATTTCTTCAGGTCATCCATTTCGCGAATATTCTATGGTTGTTCGCGTTTTGTCTTCCGATTTCTAAAGTTTCTGTAAATTCATTTCTCGTTTTTTGAACTTAAGGATTAAATCTCAACATCGCGTTCATAAATTTTAATATAATTTAAAAATTATTTGCAATTTGGACGGGGCTTGCCTACGGCCAAATTGCAAATAATTTCTTTAATCGTTTGCAGATTCTAATTTTCATGAACGTTAAAAGTTCTGAAAATTTGAATGCTTGCAAACAATTTTGATTTTGTTTGTTTTATGATAATCTTCAATTAATGATTTAAGAAATATCGAAGGTAGTTTATCACTTATAGTAGAAAAAATATTGAGATGTATAAATAAAAAAATAAAAATAAAAAGTTTAAAAAATTAATTAAATCATTTTTGTGGAAGTTAATGAAGCTTAATTAGGAGAAGGAAAAACGGATAAGCAAAAACCTTAGCCTAATATTATTCCAATTCGAATAGTGAATCATCAAAATTAAAGGACTCATTATCCAAAAAGGGCGGGCCAGCATCTGCGCTTGCTTGGTGCGGTGGTCCTCCACCGCCTGGATTAGGTGTGGATGTGTTTCTTTGAGGCAAAGCAGGTCGAATAACTCTACGATTGCCAATGGAAAGGTCGACTTGCTTTTTCAAAATGGACAAAGGTATGTATTGGAAGCATCCATATAGACCAATTTTGCTATTGTGGGCCATATAATGACACGTCCTTCCTCCCCTTTGTCCATCAATGAAAAACAAGAAAAAGTAGTGAATTACAAAAGTATCGTACGATCCATTGTATTCGAATAGTTCATTAATCTGCCTTGTCTCTCCATTTCTAAGGTCGTTCACCAACCCTTGATACTCTGGAGCACGTATGTTTCTTCTTTGAATCTTTTCCAAGATCTTTTTGAAAGTATCCCAATAATCGAAGATAAACCTATTGAAGCAAAATGATCTGATATTATTAGGAATCGAAACATTTTGAAGCATTTCGTGCTGTTTGAGAATTCTTAAGATTGTAAGAAACTGAGGAATTTTGACATGAAACTGGTGAAACTCAATCCTCACATCATCACAACTTAGCTCTGCTACGTTTGGCCCTGCGATGTTTTGAATGTTCGCTCTAGCTGATAACATTTTTAGTTTGTGATGACGGTTTTTTTCCCAATAGAATTATTCAACCAAATTAAATAGTCGGTTGATAAAAACACAAATTATAGTATTTATTAAAATCATCAAACAATATCACAGTTGTCAAATTTGTCAAAATGACTCATTCAAAAAGAACTTCAGGTTTTCAGAGCTATTACAATTTATACAAATTTCATAAACAATTATATCATGTTTTCTAGTTCTGTTTATTCCAAATTTCATAAATTTGGTTTAAATGTGATCCACGATGTTAACGTTCAATGTTTTTATTAATAAAATCTAAAACCCAAATCATACATAGTATATATTTTTTTCAAAAAAGGCGGAATCATTTTCAAAACTTTGCTATCGTAAAATTTTCATTCAAATTTTTCTCGGGTAAATTTAGGTTTTATATCGAAATGAATAATATTATATATTAAATATTTTTAACTAAAAAAATCGAAAATTTATTTTGTATTGCTATAATTATTTTTCTGATATATTTTATATTTTGAGACAGTAATCAATAAAACGAGAAATGATTTTAATAATCATCTATGGAATTCATAAACCAATATTGAAGTTCAACTATCGATTTGAAAACCAATCAGAAATTTAATGATTATCTGATGTAAAAACATAAACCAATTCAATAAAACTTTTCCATTAGCTATTCTAAAACTAAAAATGATTTATTGTAAATTTCATTTTCAAATAATTGAACGAATTATTCATTGTTAAAGCGATAATTGAATCATTAATATATAGTGTAATATTTATGAGATATTAAAAATAAAAAATAAAATTAGGTAAGTAAAATCTTTCAGAAAATTACAACTCTTTAGAAAAGACTCCATTTGCCTCTTCATCATACGGTATCCACTCTGGGATCGTTTCTTTAGCATATTCAAGTTTTCCAACTTTAGTTCGTGGATTATTGCACAGATCAATAGTTTTCGCTTTCTTCATCGTTTCATCACTGCACCATGATCCACACCACAACCATTCTTGTGGTAACGAGAAGATAGGTGCACCTCTATTCTGCATCATGTTTGGAAGGTCTTGATCCAAGTTACTCAAACTCTCTTTGTCGTTGTGAAGATCCATGTATCCTTTCCTCATCATTCCGCCAACATCGAGAGATCTATACTCCGGAAGGTCAACGGCAAACAAAGCGGAGATGTGGTATGGCTTTCCGTTCAGCAAGTTCTGCCAATATCCGATTTCCCAGAACCTGTATTCTTGCATTTCTGGTCGGTCGTTGCAGAATGGTGTGAATGCGTATGGCTTACCTTCAAAGTCCATCGTCATAAGCTCGCGCATGTCTGTTCTGATGATTTGGTCACTATCAATATAAATGACGCGGCGCAAATCATTAGGAAACATGACATCCAAGAACAAGATTTTATAACCCCAGAATGTTCTTTGTCTCGCTTCTTCGCGTGGTAACCATCGTGGCCATTTGTATGAGCAGAACTCGTATTCGAATTTGTATTTCTCAGAGAATTCTTTCAGTGAGTTTCTGAAGTTTGGTGATGCGAAATTCTCAAGTAACCACAATTTAACTGGAGATTTCGTGTGTTTAACAACTGACAAAATAGAAATTCGCATCAATCGCTCATACAAATGTCCGGATGCAACATAGAAGATGTGGATCTTGCCATCATCAATCTTAGATCTGTTCGTAGCAACATATGGATCTGGCTTAGATTCTCTGAACTCGAATTTATGAATGAATGAATCAACGACAACTTTAAATTCATCATCAGCATTAGTTCTAACTCTGTACATTCCTGGAACTGCCATCAATTGCCAGTAGCCATTAGATTGGATAACTCTTGTCTCATCAACAAACTCGTTCTTACTGTTGTACAATGAGTATTCAACGGCAGGAACAATTCGTCCGTTTTTGTCCGATTCGCAGCCTTCAACAACTAATGATTTCAAATCAAATCGAACTTTGTGAGTTCCTTTCTCGAAATCATCTGCGACAATGTTGTCGATATCGAAGTTGCTGACTGTTCGAATAGTTTGCCATGACGATGGGACATCATCAACTAATGAATATGTCGTAGAACTGTTCATGTATTCAAAAGAAAATCCTTTAGAATCTGTTGAAAATCGATAGAAACAACTCAACGATTCTAAATGTTCTTTCTCAATAGAAGGAGGAGGATTGACAATGAAACTGAAAGAAAGATTTCCGAGCAAAGAAGACAAACTTGCCAATCTTTGTCCATCAAACGAGAAAGGATCAATCGATGCGTATATCGACAACTCTGTGTTTTGTTTCAGTTTAGATCGAAATACATTTAAAGGTCCAGGTTCGAAAGCAGAAATCGGAGAACCAGTGTGTAACATGTTGTTATGTGCCAAATGAGATACATGCAACAACATGTATAACAATGAATCACTGAGTTCTCTGTGTGTCCTTGATTGTCCTAATGATCGAGAATTCTGTGATAATTTCAAGTATTTCATTGCGAAACTCGTTGAATAACTTTGTTCGCACATCTCCAAAAGTTGTAAATCATATCTTGTGAATTGGTCTGGATCGAAACGGACAATCCTTCCATTGAAAACGACGGTGATCTTGTTAGGAGGAATACCAATGATGTTCTGGATGATTTCATTAGGTAATTCATCTTTCTTGAAAACAGAAATTCTTGAGCTTTCTTTGTTCATTATTTCTGCTGTGTACATTTCTAATTCGTTGAGACATTGTTCGTCATCTGTATTCAAGAACAGCCAACTCGTTTGGTTCTTCACATTGAAAGAAGATCCATGTTGATATTTGATCTCTGTCATCCATTTCGCGAATATCCTTTGGTTGTTCGCGTTTTGTCTTCCGATATCTAAAGTTTCTGTAAATTCATTTCTCGTTTTTTGAACTAAAGGATTAAATCTCAACATCGCGTTCCTTGCCTTTAATATTGCATTATGGATATCTACTGTATCTTCATAGATCTTTTGGTTGCCCATTAATTCACGGACTTGCTTCAGTTCTTCCTTCAAAAATGAGTTCAAATATGTCTCAGGATGTGGAGCTTCAACAATCATTCCATTCAAGATGATTGCAGGAGCGGAAACACCAACTCTACTGATGTGTTTCTTGAGACGAGAAAGGAAAATCGATTCAGCGGATGATGGTTTGTAGAAATCAGTCATTTTGTCGAAAGATGGGGAACTTCTTTGTGTCGCAACAGCTGAAAAAGCTGTTTTCCAAAATGATGATTTAATCGGACCGCGTTTCCTTGTTTTCTCATCTAAATATGAGCGCTGATCATTAACACGCAACAAAAACTTGTGGGCAACATGGATTCCGTATTTTTGAGCTAAATGGGCGTAGGCATAGTAGATTTTCTTCGACATCGCGGAATTGTGCTTCGGAACAATGATGTAGCCGAATCTGACTGGGTATTGGACTTCAACAAGGTCATCTATGAATGCTATTACATCCATATCTTCTGTTTCGGCTGGATCAAGTAAAAATATAACATTCGCAACATTTCTTGCGACTTGTGGCCAGTTTTCACTGTCGCTTACAAATGTTATGAGGGACTTTGAATATTTCTCTACGTATTTCTCGTCTTTTTCAAGGTCATTCACCCAATATAAGAAATCTGGATGTCTCAAGTCAATAATTGCTTGCTGTGCAGGTTTAGGAGTATGTCCTGCGCGCTCATAATTATTTAACGACTCTTCATTTACGTCAAAAACGCGTTTGAGAGTTGTATGAAAATTATATTCGTCAAGAAGTGTTTGGTAGACAGTAAAAGCGTTAAGATCGTAACCGGTAAGTTTGCGGCCATTGACAAATAATGCTGTTGCTCCTGGTCCGATGAACTGAACCATTCTTTGAATTTGTTTTGCATCATCTTCTGTAGCTGTGATGTTTTTGAGCTGAGGAAGAAGGACTGGATAATTCTGGGTTAATTCTGATATGGCCTTCAGAGGATCTTTCGATTCTTTAATAAATTTTATTATTTGTGTTGAAATCCTGGTCTTTTTGCTTCTTTTGACATCATTTAAGTTGACTTTTAGACCGATATCTTCAAATGTTTTTGCTGGTTTCGCTTTTGTTGTTGCTTTTATCTTCTTTCTTTGATCTCCAACTTTAAACTCCATTGAATACTTAAATGGTTTGAGTTGAGCACCATACCCGGAAAGAACCATTTGTTCTGTGGAGTGTCCATATGCTCTAAGAACAAATTTCAATTGAGAATCTTTTGATAAAAGATTTGTGTAAAGATTAATCCAATCATTCGAATCAACATCGGCATATAAGATATATTTTGACTTGCCAGATCCATATACTGGTTCATATTCGAAAAATTCTGAGTTACATTCAGGTAATTCATCGATATTTTGTATAATAGCATTATTGCAACGAACGTTTGAGCCACGAGAATCTTCACCAAGCGCTCTATTGTTTTGAACTCGTGGACTGTAGTAATGAATTTGAAGTGATATATTTAAAAGTTGGAATTGTTCATAATCTAAGAAGTCTTTCATTGTAGATAATACATCATCAATCGTTTTTGGTTGTTTTTTAAGTTGCTGTATTTGTTCTAAGTAATCCCAATAAAGTGAGTGATCAATATCTTGCAAGAAAGATAGAGTTTCCGCAATTATTGAAGTTTTATTCCATGGGGCAACAATATCACCTTTAATTTGGGCGTGATTTAGAAACTGCGAAAAAGATAATGTAAATAAGTAAGAAAACATTGAATAATAATGAAAATTAGTTTGAGATTTTCAATTTTTATACTTAGATATAGTTCTGCATTTGTTAAATTAGCTCAGAATCATTTGCTTTTACATTTCATATTCATATTCTACAAAAATTATCGAACAATTGATAGAACAATCAAAAATAGGGAAGTTATGATTAAATATAACAAAAAATCTTTATGCTTTAGGCTTCAAAACAATATCCATTGAATCTAATTCATCTTGGTCAGATAAAAGTTGGTTAGAAGCTACCAGACTTGATGATGCTAATACTTTACTACCATCAAGTTGACTATCATTTTGAATATCAGAAGATCCAATAAATTTCTTTGAATTTGCTTCAGATACGACATCCTCTTCCTCATTGTCTTCTTCGTTTTGTTCTGAAATTTCATTTTTCTCTATTTGATCTGATCCAACAAAATCTTGCTCATTTTGAGTATTCTGTGTTTGATTGTATTGATCATCCTCTTCTTCATCATTCTCATTTGCAATAATTTCTGTATTTTGCTCCTCTTCTTCCTGATGTAAAAACTCTTCTTCTTCATTTTCCTCTTCAGGCTCGTTTTCTTCTTCATTAACATAAGAATATGTATCTTCTTGGTCTTCCTCTTCTCCTGATTCAACAGCCTTTTCAACTTCTAATTCAACAACGTTATCTGCGATTTCTTCTTCCTCTTCCTCTTCATCATCTGAAATGGCTATCATTGAAATAATTAATTCAGAAAGCCTCGTGTAATCGAATTCTAAATTTTCAACCTCAATAAGATTTATAATTTTTTCGTATTCTTCGGATGTAAATGGTAAGCCATAGTTCGATACGATGCTGTTATATTCATCTATTGAAATCTTTCCATCCTGGTTTGAATCAAAAATCATAAATGAATCTACAAGCATTTGAACATCTGCTTCATCGCATTTTCTTACACGGAAGATCTTCATAAATTGTTTGATATCAATGGCTGCTTCACTTTCAAGACCTTCTTCTTTGAGTAAATCTTTAATATATTTCTTAGAGAATGGACGCTGTAAACTTGAAAATAGGCGAGGAAGCTTCCTAATTGAAACTTTTTCATTTGGGGAGTCAATGAAATTTTCAAAACAGTCTTCAACGTAATCCTGAATTTCACTCATTGTTTTTTTCAAAACGTTTGCTTTGGCACGTTTTGGAATGAATGGGTCGTGGGAATTTCGTTTTCATATATGTCACGTACATTTGATACACAACTATATTAACGTGGTTTTCAGCATGAAATATTGACTTTTGATAAAGTTTATCTTCATTGCAGGATAATTAGATAGGATTCAATTACATCAATCAGCATTGAGACTAAAAATCATTAGGTATATATATAACTATTATTTCTCAACCAAACAATAAAAAAAAATTATGGCTTCACGTATAGAAAAGATAATCATTAATTAAGATATTCCATAGAATTTCTGGCTAATTTGCATAGTAAAAAATTAAATATCTCTCATAAATATTAAAAATCGTTAGTTTTTATACCATATTAGCCAGTAATCCCTTGATTCTTCAATCAACATTCATCAGTTATGTAATGTTCATGGTATCATCATTCATGTTTATTATAATAATTATAACAAGAACAATTTATAAAAAGCTCAGGTCAGAATACACTTCATCTATAGAAGAAAATAGCTTAGAGCTATCAACAATCTCAGAAACTTTCATTTCTGAGTTTCTATTTTCTTCTTGAGTTTCCTTTTCTTTGATCATATCAGGCTTACTGTTTTCAAGAAGTTCAATGGTTTCTCCATGCCTGATTAACAGTTTATATCTTGATTTTATGCTTGTATCTGTTCTTCCTTTCATTAATTTAGATAAATCTTTCCATTTTCCTCCATAAATGGAATAATATTTCAATATCTTGATGTCATCATCAATTGTGAAAGGAGAATTGTCTACGTCAGGGCTTAAATACTTCTCCCAGCGATCTTTGCACTGTCTCATATTTCGACCAGGCATCAAACTAGAAACGGCTTTCCAGTTTGAAGTACCGAACTTTCGAACGCATTCACGTAGCTTTCGATCTTCGCCCTTGGTAAACTTGTTACGGGGCATGCTCTGCTTCGCTGCTCTGACACTCATTACTTTGAGAACAATTTCAAATATCATTCAAATAAACAAATAAACCTCACAAAATTACAGTTTTGAATGGTTTGCAATGTTGTACCGAAAGAAGTTATTGTAAATATTGTATAGATTAAAAATACTTAAAATTTCCAAATTCAAAAACTGTCTCGATCGGTAAAGAATTATTACTTAACAATGCTTAAGAAATATTTTGACCATAAATAATTGGATAGAAAAAATTGTGAAGAATTTTTCATTGAAATTAATAACCGGCATAATGATAAATTTTTAATATATACAAACTGCCTAATCATTAATGTATAAATTTTCCTGTGGGATTAAATCACATTCAAAAAGTCAAGATTGTAATTTACACTTCAAGGCAATGAGAAATTTAAGTTAATTCAATTATTTCTTATTGAGTTTTAGGGGATATTTACGTATCTCATTCCAATTTTTTAACTTTCTGCCTTTACGTTTTTTAGGCATTTGATATCTTATCAATTTTCTAAATTTAAGAATTTATTATCGTTAGTATAGATTGCATATACCAAGAATAATATAACAAACCACTTTGTTCGCTCTGAAACTTCTTAAATTTATTTGAACGATGCGATTTTACATTTCTTGTCAACTCTAAATTTCTGAGATATTTAATTGAGAATACTCAACGGAAAGATATAATGCCCATGGTGCGGATAGTTATATTTCATTGATAGCCTCAACGTTGAAGATATGAAAAAGTTAATTTGAATGCCAGAAATTATGAATGAAGAAATCTTATTCACGTCAAAATTTGATACAGGCAAAATACACTATCACGGTCTTTAGGAATTGAAATCATTATTATTTGGTAATGCATACATTTTGAATGCTAGTAATAATTCCATATTCATGTCATCAATATTCGAAATTTTTTATCATTTCTGTATTGAAGAGTTTTCTCTCTAATTATCATAACTATGAATGATGTTATTAGAAACAGAGATGTTAGTAAGCCAATAACAAAAAAATTTTGATCTGTTAATTAATTTTATATTTTTATATGGATTCTTTTTGTACAATAAATGAACAGAAAGTATAAGACATATTTTGGAATTAACAAACGGCAACACGAGAAATAAGTTATTTCAAATTTTGAAAAAAACACATTCTTATTTAATAGATTGTGTTCAAACATCATTGCTATGATTATAGTTGGATTCGCAATATGATATTTCAGTTGATTATAGCTTAGTATTGATATTTGATCATAAAAGAGTATCTTATGCATGCACATCCATAGTGTTAATGCATAGCATATGGTAGTTATTCTGAGTTTCGTGTAGATCATTTTAAGGTAATTTCTTATATCATTTGTTAATAACAGTTTAATGGCAGGTGATATTTCTGACCAATCTGAGATAAAGCAAATACGATCATGTGTGAACCAAAATTTGATATTGGGAAATTTATCAATTGATTTCAATAAAAGTATCATATTTTTCAAAATTACCTTGTCTAATGGATGTATCATGTATAATAGCATATAAAAATGCGATAATGTTATACAAATAAATGGGAAAAGCCTCATAACATCTGAGATAGGATTTGGGAATCCGAAATGCATGAAACAAGAGAACCTTTCAATATTGTATGCTAATTAGCTCTTAAAAGCTCGTGTCAGAAATTTAAGTAACTTAATATTTTATATATAAATTTATAATCTGAAATATAAATAAAATATAGTTTACACTCTGTATTTCAACAAAATATAATTGTGTTGAGGAATGAATTATGAAATCCCGATGTGTTTTAAACACCTGCTTCAGTTAAAATTTTTGCAACATTAAGAACTTGATTTTTGGCATCGTTCTGTGGCTTGTCACCACCACAAAGACCAACGACAACCACACTAGCAGTCTTTTTCATGTAGATGTTTAATTCATCTTGCATCGCGTGAATGTAATCTGTAGTATATTCTAGTGGGAATAGTTTTTGCTTATCATAAGGAATTCCGTGTTGACGAGCCAGTGATGGATCTTTAAGCATTTTTGACCAGTGGATTAAATTCGTTGGAGTTGCTGGGAAATTTTCTGTTTTAGCGCATAAGGCTCCTTCTACTGAGAAAATAGCAGCAGCATTGGTTTGCCCTTGAAGCATATCAACGTAAGCGTCCCAAGACATTTCGAAATTTTGATTGTCAAATCGGAATATTTTGAGAACTCTTATAAAAGTTTTATAGTTTGGGATGGTTAGCATTTCCGTAAATTCTAATGGGGATATTTTTATTGCACTACACAACTACATGCTATTGCTATTGATTTTAGGCCAGAATCAGACTGTTCGAAAATTCGAAATTTTTACAATTCGTTCCCATAATCAAAAAAATTAGACGTGACAATTGTACCATACCATAAAAGTAAGAAAACAATGTTCCCTCCTCAAAAGAAACATTCCGATATTTTCTTTTCTAATTGACAGTCAAGCAGTTAGTTATGAGCATACCCTGGTACAACAAAAGCAATTTATTGATTAATTTCTCAAATTTAAGTAATTATGAAATATTTCCGAAATAATTTATTGACAATACATAGAATTCACTATTATTTTTTGTTTTACAAAAAAGATAGTTCATTCTATAAGTCCAGACACATTGTTGCAATATTCTTCATATTCATATCATATTGGACCCAATATTGGCCAATATCTTTGTTGTCATTGAGGTTATTCCATTTAACAAAACCATATAATATGCTTTGTTAAGTTAATTAAAAAAAATATTAAAAATAATTTTGAAAATATTTGTTATTTTTTAAAAAATACATACATTTTAATATAAAATAATTAGTGCCCGCGAGATTTCCATGTATTGATTGCATACAATCTTTCCTGGTCTGTGCAGTCCAAGAGCGACAAAATTCCAGGCAACATTTGTTCTCTGTGTTGCCAATCCTGAGCAACAAACATCAAGAAAGATCTTCTCAACACTTCGCTTATTCCATTTTCGTTTTGCTTCTTTTGGTCACTTTTAATCTTAGAAATTGCTATTTTCAGCTTATGATTTAATTCCGAAATCTTCTTATCTTTTTCATCATTTTGTTTCTTGAGATTTTCATTTTCATTTTTAACATTTTGAGCTTGTTCAACAACATTTAGTTTAGATTTAACTTGATCCATCATTTGAACAATTTCCTTTTCTTTATTACTCATTTGCAGACTCTTTTCTTCAAGGTCTTTCTTCATTCTTAAAATTTTCTCAACTTCTGACATTTTTTGTTCAATTTCTTTTTCTTTCTTTTCATTCATAGCCAATTTATCTTCAGCTTTATGCATTATATCATTTGCCTTTTGTGTATTGAATTCCGCATCTTTCGACAGATTAGAAATTCTTTCTTCTTCTTGTTTCAAGAATTTTTCTCTTTCATCAGCATTTTGTTTAATTTTTTCTGCATCTAACATTGTTTGTTTTGCTTCTGAAACATTTTGAGCAATTTCCTTTAGTTTGTTTTCATTTTCTTGCTTCAATAATTCTGCTTTTTGCAATTTCTTTGTTGCCTTTTCATTCATTTGTTCAATATCTTTCTTCTTTTCATTGAATTCTTCATATTCAATTCTATGTTGAGCAACTTCCAAAGCGAATTGATGTCTTCTCTTTTCCAATTCGTTCTTTGCTCTTCTTATATTCTCTCCTTCCATGTCATATTGTGTTCTATCCATTTCAATAGTCCTTTGCAACATCAAAGCTTTCTTTTCTGCAACACTTAATTCTGTCAATTTTTCATCATTTATTTTTTCTTTTTCACTTAATTCTTTTTCTTTTTGTTCGATTTCGGATTTCTTTGCATTCAGAGAACTCATTAATGACTCGTAATCTCTTTTAATAGATTCGTAATCCCTTAATTTAATGTTTAGTTCTTGTAATGTCTTTTCATTTTCTTCTTTCATTTGATTTAGTTTTATTGATTCATTTCTAATTTCTTCTTTTTTGTCTGCAATCTTGTCGAACTCTTCTTCTCTCGCGGAAACAGAGTTTGCCATGATCTCCATCACTGCGCGCTTTTGATCAGCGATTTCATTAACTTTTGTTTTTAATTTCGAAATTAATTTCATAATATTTGAATTTAATTTCACCAAAGAGTTCTCAAACGACAAAGAAATAGTTTCTAATAACTTGTTGTTCTTGGAAACAATTGAATTTAAGGTTTTGTCATAATTCAAATTATTTTGTTTTAATTTGAGAATTTCTTCATTTAATTTGGAATTCTCTGATTGACAAGTAGATAATGATTGTGATAAAGTTGTTTTCTCTTCATTTAATTCAGAAATTCTCGAATTTAGATTTTGAATTTCGGAATTTAATTTTTGCTGAAGATTTAGAGAGTTTTCATCCTTTTCTTTGATTTGTGATGAAAGATTCTCTATTGTTTTGTTGCTTTCTTCAAGTTTTGATTGAAGATTTTGAATATTTTCCAAAGATTTCTTTGTTTGTTCATCAGATTTAGCTTGAACAAGGTTTTTAAGCTTTTCAATCTCTTCTTCATGTTTCTTTCGTTCTGATTCCACTAAATTGATGCATTTTTGCTTCATTTCTTGGATTTTTTCTTGAGAAACTTTTTCCAAGTTTTGTTTTTGCTGTTCCAACAAGGAAATTGTGTCTTGTGATGCGGCCATTTGTTCTGCATAGTCTTGGAGCTTCTTCTCCATAGATTTGGACAATTTATTCTTCTCTTCTTCGAGATTCGTGAATTTCTTAATTAATTCTTCTTTTTCTGACTGTAGTTGTTTCACATTTTCGTTATTTTCCATCTGTTTACCTTCTTTTTCACTTTTTAGAGCAGAAATTTGATTTTGATATTCAATGACAGAATTATTGTATTCGTTTCTTAATTTGGTAAGTTCTTCTGATGACTGATTCAATTTTTCTTTCATTTCTGTCAAATTTTGACTCAAAACCAAATTTTCATTTTCAATTTTTTGAATTTCTTTCTCTTTCAAAGAAATTTGGTCATCTTTATTGGCAATATCATGCTTAAGTTCATTAATTTCATTGGAAAATGTTTCTTTCTCTGAATTTAATTTTGATAATTGGATTTTCAGAGAAGAAAGTTCCTCTTCGTAAGATTTCTGATTGCCATCAAGACTGTTTTGTAATTCTTCGTTCTTCTGCTTATATTCGGAGATTTCCCGGTCCAAATTATTTATTTTCTCATTTTGAGATTTAATTTGATCAATATAAGTCTGAACTTGTTGGTTTGATTGAGCGCTCATAGAATCCAGTTGTTCTTCCAACTGTTTCTTGACTTGAGAAACAGAAATTTGAAGATTTTCTTTTTCTTTCTCCAAATTGTTTATTTTCTCAAGTTGAGTCCTGTTTTCATCCTTCAGTTTCGTTATTTCATTGTTTTCTTCACTGTCTTTCTGTGAAATTTGATTTTGGATTTCATTTAGTTTTGTATTAAGATTATTGATGTCTTCTTCTTTCTCATTGATCGAATTGCCTAGTTCTTCGTTTGCTGACTCGAGTTCTTCGATCTTTTGCTCTAATTCGGAAATAATTTGTTCTTTTTCTTCTAAAATCTGTTTGTTCGTTGCATCATCATTTTCTACAATCTGGTTAAGTTCCTTCACCTTCTGTTGGACTATATCAAGTTGAGATGTGACTTCATCTTTGAGTTTCTCTGTTTCTATGGAATATTCTTGTAATCTCCTAACAAGTATTAGCTTTTTCGCCATTTGCTCGGACATTTGGCCAAGTTTCTGCTCTTTTTCTGAAATTATATTTAATATTTGATCAAATTGTTGCTTTTCATTCTTAAAGAACTCTACAGCACGGGTCTTAAGAGCTTGCTTATCATTATTCCTCTGTTGGTTTAGAGAATTGACCTTGTTTTGAAGCTCTTGAATTTGTTTATTCTTTTCGTTGGTCAATTGCTCAATGATTTGCTTTGATTTCTCTTCACCACTTAATTGGCTATTGATTTGGCTCATCAATTCTTTGTTTTCATTAGATATCTGTTGGAGTCTCTGATTAATTGAAGAATTTTCTTCTTTGAGTGAAGATATTAGAGCTTCCTTTTCATTTAACTCATTATGGTACTCATCTTTTGATGTTTCATGGTCTTTCTGAAGCTTTTCAAGATTATTATTTGTTTTATCAAGCTTTTGTTGAATGTCAAGGATCTTTTGTTCGGATTGAGACTTGTATGATTGATATTCTGAGGTAATGGCCGATAAATTAGCTTCTAATTCTTGATTTCGCTTTTCAAAGTTTTGTTTCTCATAATATTCAACTTTATTTGATAATTCTTCAACTTGATTCATCAGTGAAGTATTTGCTTCAAGTTTTTCTTTAAGTTGCACCTCAATATCATTATATCTTTTCTGAATTTCAGAAATTTGTGAATCAAATTGAATCTGGCTTCCTTCTTTTTCTTTCAACATGACATTAGTTTGGTTTAACTGGCTTTGGATACTTTCAATTTCTGATTTTAATTTTTCTTCTGTTTCCTTTGACATCTGTTGGAGCTCACTCAGATCAGATACTAGTTTATTGTTAGTTTCTGTCAATTCATTGATCTTTGACTTTAATTTGTCGTTCAATTTTTGCAAATCTTCAAGTTCTTGTTTGGTCTTTGTAATTTCAGTATCCTTTTGTTGGATTAGTTCATTGTTTCTCAAAACTATGCCATTTAATCTTTCAAGTTCAGATGAAATTTGAGTAGTTGCGTTAGAACTTTCAGAAATTGCGTTTTCTTTGAGCTGAAGTTGTGATTGTAAGTCACTTACTTCTTTTGTCTTGGAATCCATTGAAATTTGAAGTTCAGATAATTTTGACTCCAAATTTTGAAGTTTTGACTCGTAATCCTTCTTGGTTGTTGATAATTCTTCTGACTTTAGCCCAATTTCCTTTTGAAGTTCATCAGTTTTGCGAATTAAATCTTCAATCATTGAATCTTTTTCTGAATCATTTGAACTCTGTAAATTGGCATTATTTTCTTGTAATTGTTGTAACTCCTTTTGTTTAGAATCTAATTCGCTTTGAATTGATTCAATTTTTTGTAAAAGTTCTTCAATTGTTGCATCTCTTTCTGTAATTTGATTACTTAGCGAGATATTTTCATTTGAAAGTGTTGTAATTGCAGCTTCATCATTTGTTGACGATTTTGAGTTAAATTCTTGGATTTGTTTCTGAAGTTGTTCATTTTTACTTGTTAATTCTTCATTCATTGAAATAAGCTCATCCATTGCATTTTGTAGATCTGAATTGTTTTTAGAATTTGATAATTGTTGTTTTAGATTATTTGTTTCATTTTCCAAAAGTTGGTTCTTTTCACCTTCCTCTAGTATCACTTTCTCGCTTTCTTCTAATTGCTTCTTTAATGTTTCGAGTTCTTTGACTTTTTCTTGCAAATCCTCAATTTTCTCTGATTCATCATGAGTATTCTCTATCAAAGTTGAAAGATCGTTTGATAAATCCATGTTGTTTTTCTCTGCCTTCTTTAATTGTGTAGTTAATTCTGCATTTTCTTTTTTCATTTTCATTCTCTCTTCATTGAATGCTTGTACTAACTCGGCGTTAGAATGTTGAAGATTTTTAAGATCTGTTTCGGCTTGAGCATATAATTGATTAATTTGTACGATCTGATTTTCTTTAAGAGCCAAACGTTCCTTACATTCAGTGAGTTGATCATGTAAAGATTGCTTTTCTGTGTTAACTTTGTTTAATTCATTTGTTAAGATTTGTGTATTTGTGATTGACTGCTTAAGTTGCGCTTTGTGTTTATCATTCTTTTCTTTTAGCACTCTAAGCATCTTTCTCATAGTATCTATATCAGCTTTGGCTGGAGAGGCTTGCAGGGTGCTCGCAGGAGATTCCATTTTCCAAAGTTTTTTTTTATCTCAGTGTTCAATTTTATACACTACATATGATGTTCGATTTAAAGGTATACACAAATATTTCCCTTATAAAATCTTTGTTTATAAGAATCGAAGATGAATCAACTCAAAAATAGGTTTTGAGAGATGTGCATATATAAAATCAATTATATATCAAGAATTATGAATTTCTTGCTAGAGAAATACCCAGATTATATGTATTCAATAGCCAGATTATCAATAACAAGTGAATATCAGTAGCAAAAATCAATACGCTGCATCAGTTGTCATCTTAATAGACAACCAACTAAGAATTAATGCAAAATTTTGAGTTCCAGCAATTCCATAACTACGATACTAAAGACAAAGCTTTAGATATATTGCTCATAAAGAAAAATATCAATTTTTAAAATGTGTTTTATCCAACAAGCCAAGTCAACGAGTAAAAAAATTTTTTTGAAAGTTTATCCCATATTTTCCAAAACGTTATTGAACAAAATTGCTAGAATGGTTTGTTGATTCCGGCCAAAGATCAATTTCCGATTTTCCTAAAAATAATCGGACTGTATTCAATTTTCTGATTTACAAAATAGGCCAAAATGTTTTTACTACTTTTTGTCGCTCTTCGTGCTACAGAAATAAGAGCCAACTCAAAGGATCCAAAGCCAATAGATGCCTTGAACAAGCCAGCTCCTTCAACAGGAAATGGCAAAGAAATCCAAGCACCCTTGACTAAATCAAATACTACTAAAGTAGGCAATACAAATGCAACATTACCAACAAATACTAATCCCAACCCATTGCCAACCAAAAATGCTACAGTAAATAAGAATGTTAACATCCCTGGTAAAAATTTAACACAGAAGCTTAATAAAACAGCTGCTATCCCATCTGAAGGAGTAGCTAAGGTAAATACAACTGCCCCTGCAGTTGCAAAACCAATTAACTCTTCAAAGGTTCCACAGATTAATCAAACAGTCAAACCAAAGGTAGTTGTTCCAAACCCAGCATTACCAGCTCCAATGAAGGAAGTAGTTAACACAACAACTAAGATTGCCAATACTACAGCCAAGCCTCAATTAAAGACCGGAAATCAGACAGCAAAAGTTAACTCTACAAATGCCAGTACTACAGTTCCTTCCGGAGAAAAGCCAAAGACATCTCCAATTTCAAGAAACACCGTAGAAAAGAAGGACAATGAAACAAAGAAGAAGGACAATGAAACAAAGAAGAAGGACAATGAAACAAAGAAGAAGGACAATGAAACAGAGAAGAAGGACAATGAAACAGAGAAGAAGGACAATGAAACAAAGAAGAAGGACAATGAAACAGAGAAGAAGGACAATGAAACAGAGAAGAAGGACAATGAAACAGAGAAGAAGGACAATGAAACAGAGAAGAAGGACAATGAAACAGAGAAGAAGGACAATGAAACAAAGAAGAAGGACAATGAAACAGAGAAGAAGGACAATGAAACAGAGAAGAAGGACAATGAAACAGAGAAGAAGGACAATGAAACAGAGAAGAAGGACAATGAAACAAAGAAGAAGGACAATGAAACAAAGAAGAAGGACAATGAAACAAAGAAGAAGGACAATGAAACAGAGAAGAAGGACAATGAAACAAAGAAGAAGGACAATGAAACAGAGAAGAAGGACAATGAAACAGAGAAGAAGGACAATGAAACAAAGAAGAAGGACAATGAAACAGAGAAGAAGGACAATGAAACAGAGAAGAAGGACAATGAAACAGAGAAGAAGGACAATGAAACAGAGAAGAAGGACAATGAAACAGAGAAGAAGGACAATGAAACAGAGAAGAAGGACAATGAAACAGAGAAGAAGGACAATGAAACAGAGAAGAAGGACAATGAAACAGAGAAGAAGGACAATGAAACAGAGAAGAAGGACAATGAAACAGAGAAGAAGGACAATGAAACAGAGAAGAAGGACAATGAAACAGAGAAGAAGGACAATGAAACAGAGAAGAAGGACAATGAAACAGAGAAGAAGGACAATGAAACAAAGAAGAAGGACAATGAAACAGAGAAGAAGGACAATGAAACAGAGAAGAAGGACAATGAAACAGAGAAGAAGGACAATGAAACAGAGAAGAAGGACAATGAAACAGAGAAGAAGGACAATGAAACAGAGAAGAAGGACAATGAAACAGAGAAGAAGGACAATGAAACAGAGAAGAAGGACAATGAAACAGAGAAGAAGGACAATGAAACAGAGAAGAAGGACAATGAAACAAAGAAGAAGGACAATGAAACAGAGAAGAAGGACAATGAAACAGAGAAGAAGGACAATGAAACAGAGAAGAAGGACAATGAAACAGAGAAGAAGGACAATGAAACAAAGAAGAAGGACAATGAAACAGAGAAGAAGGACAATGAAACAGAGAAGAAGGACAATGAAACAGAGAAGAAGGACAATGAAACAGAGAAGAAGGACAATGAAACAGAGAAGAAGGACAATGAAACAGAGAAGAAGGACAATGAAACAGAGAAGAAGGACAATGAAACAGAGAAGAAGGACAATGAAACAGAGAAGAAGGACAATGAAACAAAGAAGAAGGACAATGAAACAAAGAAGAAGGACAATGAAACAAAGAAGAAGGACAATGAAACAGAGAAGAAGGACAATGAAACAAAGAAGAAGGACAATGAAACAGAGAAGAAGGACAATGAAACAAAGAAGAAGGACAATGAAACAAAGAAGAAGGACAATGAAACAAAGAAGAAGGACAATGAAACAAAGAAGAAGGACAATGAAACAAAGAAGAAGGACAATGAAACAGAGAAGAAGGACAATGAAACAGAGAAGAAGGACAATGAAACAAAGAAGAAGGACAATGAAACAAAGAAGAAGGACAATGAAACAGAGAAGAAGGACAATGAAACAGAGAAGAAGGACAATGAAACAGAGAAGAAGGACAATGAAACAGAGAAGAAGGACAATGAAACAAAGAAGAAGGACAATGAAACAGAGAAGAAGGACAATGAAACAGAGAAGAAGGACAATGAAACAGAGAAGAAGGACAATGAAACAGAGAAGAAGGACAATGAAACAGAGAAGAAGGACAATGAAACAGAGAAGAAGGACAATGAAACAGAGAAGAAGGACAATGAAACAGAGAAGAAGGACAATGAAACAGAGAAGAAGGACAATGAAACAGAGAAGAAGGACAATGAAACAAAGAAGAAGGACAATGAAACAAAGAAGAAGGACAATGAAACAAAGAAGAAGGACAATGAAACAGAGAAGAAGGACAATGAAACAAAGAAGAAGGACAATGAAACAGAGAAGAAGGACAATGAAACAAAGAAGAAGGACAATGAAACAAAGAAGAAGGACAATGAAACAAAGAAGAAGGACAATGAAACAAAGAAGAAGGACAATGAAACAAAGAAGAAGGACAATGAAACAAAGAAGAAGGACAATGAAACAAAGAAGAAGGACAATGAAACAAAGAAGAAGGACAATGAAACAAAGAAGAAGGACAATGAAACAAAGAAGAAGGACAATGAAACAGAGAAGAAGGACAATGAAACAGAGAAGAAGGACAATGAAACAAAGAAGAAGGACAATGAAACAAAGAAGAAGGACAATGAAACAAAGAAGAAGGACAATGAAACAAAGAAGAAGGACAATGAAACAGAGAAGAAGGACAATGAAACAGAGAAGAAGGACAATGAAACAGAGAAGAAGGACAATGAAACAGAGAAGAAGGACAATGAAACAGAGAAGAAGGACAATGAAACAAAGAAGAAGGACAATGAAACAAAGAAGAAGGACAATGAAACAGAGAAGAAGGACAATGAAACAAAGAAGAAGGACAATGAAACAGAGAAGAAGGACAATGAAACAGAGAAGAAGGACAATGAAACAGAGAAGAAGGACAATGAAACAGAGAAGAAGGACAATGAAACAGAGAAGAAGGACAATGAAACAGAGAAGAAGGACAATGAAACAAAGAAGAAGGACAATGAAACAAAGAAGAAGGACAATGAAACAGAGAAGAAGGACAATGAAACAGAGAAGAAGGACAATGAAACAGAGAAGAAGGACAATGAAACAGAGAAGAAGGACAATGAAACAAAGAAGAAGGACAATGAAACAGAGAAGAAGGACAATGAAACAGAGAAGAAGGACAATGAAACAGAGAAGAAGGACAATGAAACAAAGAAGAAGGACAATGAAACAGAGAAGAAGGACAATGAAACAGAGAAGAAGGACAATGAAACAGAGAAGAAGGACAATGAAACAGAGAAGAAGGACAATGAAACAGAGAAGAAGGACAATGAAACAAAGAAGAAGGACAATGAAACAAAGAAGAAGGACAATGAAACAGAGAAGAAGGACAATGAAACAGAGAAGAAGGACAATGAAACAGAGAAGAAGGACAATGAAACAGAGAAGAAGGACAATGAAACAGAGAAGAAGGACAATGAAACAGAGAAGAAGGACAATGAAACAGAGAAGAAGGACAATGAAACAAAGAAGAAGGATAATGAAACAAAGAAGAAGGATAATGAAACAAAGAAGAAGGATAATGAAACAGAGAAGAAGTCTGAGGAAAAGGACGGAGAAGAGAAGAAGGGAGAAACATCAAATACTCCAATTAAACCAGCAAACCAGACAACTAAGACAAATACAACTGCCAAACCAGTATTGAAACCAGGATTAAATCAGACAACAAAAGTCAACACATCTATACCAGAAAAGAAGGAAGAGAATAAGGAAGAAGAGAAGGAAATCCAAAGTTCAGAAGTTTCATCAGAGTCAGAGTCAGAGTTAGATTCTGAATCTCCAATTGGTTCAGAGTCATCATGCAGCTCTGAAATGAGTGAAGAATCTGCAATCAGTGCTGAATCAGAGATCCCAGTTGAACCATCAATTTCCGCTTCAAGTGAATCATCTTCATCCTCATCCTCATCATCAAGTGAATCTTCTGAAATGTCAGAAGTCGAAGAAGACAAGGACACAGAGCCAAAACCAACACCATCCCCAGAAAAGAAGGACGAAAAGGAAGATGATGATAAGAAGGAAAAAAAGAAGGAAGAAGAAGAAAAGAAGGAAGAAAAGAAGGAAGAAGATGATAAGAAGGATGAAAAGAAGGACAAAGATGATGATGAAAAGGAAGAAGAAAAGAAGAAGGAAAAAGAAGACAAGAAGGATGACGATGAAAAAGATGACGATGAAAAGATAGAAGAGAAGAAGGAAGAGAAGAAGGAAGAAAAGAAGGAAGATAAACCAAAGGAAGAAGAGAAGAAAGAAGAAAAGAAGGAAGATAAACCAAAGAAGGAAAAGAAGGAAGATAAACCAAAGGAAGAAGAGAAGAAAGAAGAAAAGAAGGAAGATAAACCAAAGAAGGAAAAGAAGGAAGATAAACCAAAGGAAGAAGAAAAGAAGGAAGAGAAGAACGAAGAAAAGAAGGAAGAGAAGAAGGAAGATAAACCAAAGGAAGAGAAGAAGGAAAAAAAGAAGGATGATGACGAAGATGAAGAGGATGCCAAACAGCAAAATAACCCTGCAAATAAGGGCAAAAATGAAATAGTCACAGAATCCTATATCTCATCCAAGGGATTCTTCTTCCTTGTTTCTATTATTGTTGGTGTCGTTGCAGTGGCCGGTGCTGCTTATTACTTCATCCGCATGCGTCGTAGACCAGATGAACAACAAGAAGAGCCACTTCTTATTACAGATGAATTTTATTAACTATATTTTTTTTTATTTTGAGAATAAATAATTTGAAATATCAATGAAATCCCTTCAATTCAAAAATGTTTTAAGAAAATTCAATACTTTACAGAAAAGTGTCAATTCTTTATAAGACTTCATGGAAATGTCTTTTGTTGAAACAATTGGAAAGAAATATCAAAAAATTACAAACATTTAAATAAAAAAGAAATAAAACAAAATAATAAAATATAAAAGAAATTAATATTCATCAACGTTCTCGAATACTATATCACTTTTATCCAGTTCATACTCATCTTCATCTGAAATATTGTACTTTGACCTTGGCTTCTTTCTTATTAATATTTCGATCGTCATCTGAATGAATAAAGTCAAAACAAAGGAAATAATGATAAACGAGACACAAGGGATCGATGTAAGTACGTTTTGGACGGCTCTGTATGAAGATCCACTTCCTTCGAAATAATTCGATGAAAGATAGATCAAAACGCAACAAATCATTGATCCAAAGATAAACAAATTCTGTTGGACCGACCACGAACTTGTTTTGCTTATGATTATTGCATTTGTTATTACAACAATGGACAATGACATCAAGAAGCTGAATGTCTTTAATGATATTGTCGAATTAAAGCCATTCATGCTGTTCATTGTCACATTCTTTGCAATTAACAAATATAAAAAGGAAAATGAGGACAAAACAAACAAAATGACAACTAACTTCGTCTTAGTAAGTGGCTCCTTGTTAGTTCTTCTATAAAACTTTGCATCAGCCATTAAATCATCTGCAGAATAAGTTCTGTTCATTACTGCATGGCTGAACAAAGGTAAGAACGTAAATACATAAAGAACACTTATAATTACAGGTTCAGAAAACAATGGCGTAGAACTACAACCGTTGTAAAGGTTGAACCAAAATTGAATGAATGTAAACAAAATGTTTCTCTCAAAAACTGACATGACGATAGATTTGAACCGATCTCTGAAATAAGAAGCGTGAACGAACAAAATCTCTGCGAAATCAGTAAAGCTTCCAGAAATAATGTCCGCTGAAATATCTGCAACATGGATGTCTCCGTAACCGATTGATACTGAACAATCGCACTCCTTCATGTAGTTGCAGTCATAAACTGTTGATCCGATACCGAGAATCGACCTTCCAAGAATGATTTGAAGGTCTCTGACGAAATTACAAATTTCAGTCGGATCTGCTTTTTGAAGTACGATCGTTTTGGTCTGTTGTATCATCTGAGCCATCTTTATAGCATACTGTGATTGTGTCAAATATTGGATAGCGCCTCCATCAATGATCAAAACATCGTATGATGGATTTTCCAACAGGTAAGTTATGGATATTTCTACATCATCGAGGATATCACCTTTAACCAATCCAACAACAGGGTTGTTTTTGATGATTCCTAAAGAAATTCCGGTAATTACGGTTGAATTTCCTTTGGAATTGCTTGTTAAGACAATCTGTTTGAAGGATTGCTTCGCACTATCAAGGAATGATAATGTTCCTTCGCGTGGCTGGTCTTCAAAACCTATTATCGACAAAAATGTGGAATGCATCTCAAGATTATCGACAATAGAGAACGTAAAGTCGGCATTTTCGGTTCCAAACTCCGATATTTTCTCTTCGAAACGTTTATATTGTTTCTGTGACAAATATCGATACGAACAACATTCTACGTGAAGTCCGTCATCGTGGAATGAATCGTATATCGTTTGGTACTTCTCGATGCCGTCAACAATCAATTCCATAACTTTGTAAACTCCACGAGTGAACAAAATTATTGAACCTTCTGCATCTTCGACAATGATGGAAATACGTGGATGGTTTGAGGACGAATGAATGATCTTTTTCGTCTTGAAGTTGTACGTAGTATTTCCAATGAGAATTACTGATTCGTCCGGAGTTCTGCCAATTAACATGTATCCGGAGCTCGCTGCGAGTCGGAGAAGCTGCTCATCATCAGGGAATCGCGATACATATGAGAATTTGCCCTTGGAACCAACCAATGAGGCTGAATGGCAGAGAGATAAATGCAAAAACAGGATTTTCGCTTGCTCGCTGCTGATTTCAAGGTCCGGATCTGTGAATTGGTAAAATCCGGATTTATTTTCAAGCAGATCGAGTTGTTTCGTCTCACATAATTTTCTGATTGTCGGTTCTTTGCCGTAAACCTGTTCGTTGATGAAAATTCTCTTCAAATATGGCTTTGGTTCTAGTAAATTGTTCTTAGAAGTCATCAAAACGTCAGCATGAGCCAATTCATATAAACTATTTGGATTTGGAACGCTTGATTTCCTAAAAAGATGTCTGATAACGTTAGAGTTGAACAGATAGATGAGATCGATGAAACTGTAAAGCTCCAACGGAGTCAATGGCAACAATAAAATTAAATAATTTCTTAAATTATGCATAAAATACGGATAAACCGAAATTGTACTATTAAATGGCCAATTTTGCGTCATGTTATAATAGTACAAACTTCTTATTGCTATAATTCCAGCGTAAATTAGAATAGCTGTGACCTGTATTAGGTTCAATGCGTTCAAGGATCTCTCGAGCTTGTTTGGCTTTGTCCTAAAAAGGTGTTGATTCACAGTCAAACAATCATGTCCTGTATATACAACGCCGCCGATGACAAATTTGCTATGGTGTATGATAGAATAGCGTTCTATGTAATTTGAGTTTGTTAATTCTACGGAACGTCCATTGAAATCCAAATATCCAGAAAATATTATTGGATTTGTCAAAGGATTTTTAATGTTAACATTATCATTGTATACTTCTCGTTTCATATCTGCTATTTCAAAGGGAGTATTAAACAATGCGCCTTCATAAGTAATATCAATTAAATTTGGAACGGAACGAGGTGTCAGCTGCGAAGAGCCATCAAGTAGAAGTGTTTCTACGGAAGTAGGTTGTAAGTCAGATGTTTGTAAAAGTATGATGTCTGCTGGAGAAATGTCGCCATTATTCAATTTAATTAAATCTCCAACGCGAAGATTGTTCCAATTGATGGTAATCCATTGTTTGTTCCTCATAACTTCAACTGTCTGACTATTAATTTTTTGTATCGACTTTTTTCGCCTTTTTTTAATTGTAAAATATGTTAATGTTGATGTAGAAAGAGAGATAATGATTGGAATTAATGTGACAAGTATGTTAAGACAAACTTCGCATTTTAACTGAACTATAAGCATCAATAGATAGTACAAAAACGAAATTCGCGAAAAACATATTTTAATGAAAGAAGGCGGATCATCGATTATCGAATCATATTGACGAAATGGCTCGTTCGAGAGTGTGTTTACATTTGTATTGGTTGTACCTCTATGGGATGTAAAATAAACAGATCTCGTTGCCATTTTCCTCAAAAATTTGTCATTGAGAGGAAAAGTGAAAAATTTATTTCAATGAGAATTTGATAGATTTGCATATATGATGAAAATATAACATTTGACTTTGTTTCATCAATCGTAAAGTTCTCAAAATTTTAAAAGCCTGTCAATAATTGAATAGAGCTAGAGTTAAATTAATCGGAGAATGTCGATAGTTTTAATTGATCTAGTTTTGTATTTTTCAATTACAAAGGTACATTCACTATTTTTGACAAAATTTTAAATTTTCATGGGGTTGTAAATCTTATAATAACTAGATGAATAAGGAATGAATCCCAGTATAATGTGCATCATTATATTAAACACTATATGTAAGGCTAATGATTCTATTAACACTTATGAAGATCTATAGTATTTGAGCAGATAAATTTGATAATTTCCAAAACTCTTATATTTCAAAATTAAAGTGTGCGAATGCATTTAAATGTGAGCAAAAAGAGATTGATGCTGTTAAAACTAGGTGTTAATTTGCAATTATTTCGCATCACAAGAACTACCAAGTAAATTCGGCTATCTTTCTTTGCAATTATTCTCCATTATACCTATAATATAATGGTTAGGGTTTGAAGAAAAGTTACTAGAGAATTATTGACTTTTGAAATAATGCAGAATTTTACTTGAAGAAATCATTAATTTATGAGTTCCAAATTGCTAAGCATGACGAAGGATCATTAAATTTGCTACAATTAAATACATTTATTGCAGAATTAAGATTTTTGAAATTAAAAGTTTGAAATATTGCCTTTTTGAATAAAAATTTAAATTTTATTATATAATCATGATAATATCTTATAGAAATTAAAAGAAAATATTTTAAACCATTCAAATATTTTGAATGTCTTATCAATTTAAAATATTAAAAGATAGCTTGATTTTATCATCTTTAGTTGTTATCAAAGTTTTCTTCTTTTGATGAACAACAGTAAATGATTTGTTAATTACTTGTCTTCCTTTTTCGCAGCAAAATCGAAAGTTATGATGATAATCTTGCTCTCAATTTTGAAACTCTCTGATTTACAAGTAAGCATTCCTTTGGAAAAGCAGTCCTATTCTGTTTTCAAGATATTTTAAAGCCTCCATTTCATACAATGCGCAGATCTATTCGAAATTGCAAGAACTCTCAATAAAAATGCAGCAGCAAAGAAGATTCCATAGTTTCTAGCATCAAAAATTTACAACCTTAATACAACAGTTAAAGAGAAGCTCGAAAAGAAAATATTTAACCATAAAGCTGGAAACCATTCGATATCTACTATTGGATCTAATAAAAAGTTAATTATAACATATTTTACATGCTATTTGTTGACTCTGTTCCATTATATTACCATATATATCTTTTTGAAATCTAAAATATTTTTACGATTTTAACCATGTGTTGTTGAAACCATATATCAATCTTAGCTAAAGTATAGTTTATGAATTTGTCACCATCTAACGTATGAATTTTCAAAAATGTCAAATATGTTCATTTTTTCTGTAGATTCAGCCATAATTTCACGTTGTTATACTATTCAACTATTATTTAATATTTTTATCGATTTAAATATATGATGAGATGCTTAGTTCTCCTGGAAATCGATTTTTAATCGCAATTTTAACTTTCCAAAAAAATTCAAAAATAAAAATCCCTCTCAATTTTCTAAGTTTTCTAACTCGCCAAATCTCTAGCCAAATTTTTTTTGGCCCGTATAAATATTGTTAGGCACTATATAGGGATGCTATTTATCCTATTTTCATCCCATTTTACTGTTATCGCCTAGTGAATGTACCTTTTCAATTACAACATAGAAAATTTTATTGAAATTTGTTTCAGATTCTGGCTGTCAACTACTACCCTTAAATTTAACATCTTCTAATATTAGTGGTTTGATCCAGGATGGTCGTAATTTTAGGTCGACGAAATTTGAAGATTATTGATGAGAAATCAATTAATGTTTGATTGATATTAGAATGTACTACAGATATTTGTTATGTGCACTAAAGATCTTTTGACACGGTCAACATTTTTGTAATTTCGGAAATATTTATTTGATAATAAAGCATTTTCGAACGATATTTGCAATTGCTGGATGGAATTAAATGTAATAATTCAATTATGATGAGTTTAATCGTTATCAAATATCTTTTCCCTCTTGGCTTTTAAAAATGGACATAGATGAAGGTAAGAAAACTATTAAGAGTAGATTCTAATTAAAATTCAATAATAATTATGATATTATCTTGATAATTTATGAAAAATCAATCAAGAATTTCTTGAATGGTTTGAAATGGATAATAAATAATTGATAATTCATTATGTTGATCGATTCCAAAGAAATTATCACGTTATCTCCTCGATTTAATAATAATATTTTTTGCATTATTTTTTGAAAATCTAAAAATAATAATGTTTAAACATTGGGATGACATGTAAGGAAATGTGACATTTATGAATATCTAGGTCTTTGTCCTTGAAATTCATTGATAGTCTCGCAATACTCTAAGTAAATTATTCAGGTCGTTGTTGAAATAGAAATCAATTGAATAGTTTATCATAGGCACTTTTTATTCAAACTTTTCATAAGTCTGATAGCCCACTTAATTAATTTGTTTTAATTAAGATATTAATATTAAATCCGATCAACTGGAAAATTGAGACGAATCTGATTCTTTTCAATTAGACTTTCGGATTTCAAAGTATCACTAAAAAGATAGTTGTCACATCCTTGCTCAATTTGTTTTAGGAAAGCAGATCAAGATCAGATAACTTTTTTTGCCAATAATTCTAAAGCAATCTAAACTTTAGATATGGATAAAAGATCATGTTCTTTTAGTAATTTATTTTTGTAAACGTTTATTGGAAGTTTAGGAAATCAAAAAGCATTTGGAGTTTTTCTATTATATAGTAAGATTGAGTTTATGGTTCCTGCGCCAGAGGTAAAGCAGTCTTACTGCAATATTGGGTAATATCTCAAAGTCCGCTTGATAGCCCCGAAATTTCTAAAATTGTATCTATTCATGAAACTATGGCGATACCAACTTATGAATACAATTTTTGGTTTTAATATGATTTGTCCAATAAGAGCTATGAAGAAAATTATATCATTAAGACAGAATCTAATCTTACGAAATTTGATTTAAGAGCTTTCAAAACAATTTTAGAAAAATCATATCGCATGTGATAGAATTTGATAAATGAACTTACACCAACTAAGAGAACAAACAAATTTCTAAATTATATCAGTAATTAACGAAAAATTAAATTTAAAACTATTAGATTTTAACTAAAGAAGGTACAGATTGCTGAATAAATAGAGTTTGAAATCCAGAAAATGATGATCATGATATGGGATAAAAAATCACAATTCACATGAATCTTCAAATCCTCCAGTAGAATGCTAATGATTAAAATACTGAGATTTAACAGATGAACATAACGAAACATCGCATTATGATATTCATTACATCTACAGCTAGCTTTAACTATCGAAGATATATGATTAAATAAGGATGTAAATCAAAAAGAGAATCAAATTGGATACATGTGGTTTAATGTTTCATATCCTGTTTTTTTAAAAAGATATCAATGCTCATATTGAAATCGTACCAGTATTTACCACAGGTAAAAAAAATATCAAAATCTTACTAACACAAACAGATTTAAAGTTAAATAGTCAACAACCATATTGTAAAACCATTCATGATTTTTTTTTCGATATATAACTTCTTTTAATACAAAGCTAACTCTTCAAGTTCATTCGAGCAATGATGAACTATAATGAAGATTTGTAGACAAAATCACTTTAGGATGCAGAAGTAAAACTAAAACAAGATAAAATCGTAGTAATATTTAACCAAGAATCATGGAAAGTTGATTCCTCACTTATCTATTGCTTCAAAAGTACTTATTTCTCTTGCATTATAGTTACGTGCATTCCAATGTAAATAATAATAATATTATAGGAATGAAATATTTGATGATTCTGATTCAGTAAAACGCCTCTCTGGGAATTTATGAGGAGCTTAAAAAATAGCTATTTCGTTTAAAGAGTCAAGTTGTGTTTTTAAACGAGGGATGTGGACAAATGAAGAAATAAAAGAAAAAAAATATTATTAGTGCATATCTTATAATCCTTTGGCGATACCTTTTTCTTGGGCCTAATTAGGTGAAATGTGAAATGCAATTTTTACTCCAAATCGCACTTTAACCCTAATAGCTCTTGTGTATCAATGCTAAGTATTACTTATATAGAACACTAGAATGTGCATATTATAAATAAATTTGTTATTACTCATTAAAGAATCCTCTTATCCTTTCCTATATTTGTTGGACTGTTCACATATCATGTTCATGTTGTCAGTCTGAATTTTAATGTTGATTATATTTTAAACTTGCTTCCGCTTGAAAATACATCATATTCTAATATTATCCTATTTTACAATATATCCAAACAAAAACACAGCTAAATAAGTATATCCTAAATTATTATCATTCATAACATAGTTATTATCTCTGTATCTCTTCTTCTCTATATAGTTTCATATGTACAAATGACATCTTTTAACTTTTATTTCTTCTAATTATAATCATGGATTGTAAAAAGGGGGGACTTCGTCGACCACAAAGATATCGACCAAAACTGTTCCCATTATGCATGACATATGAAGTATAGTAATAGTGTATATTGACTCATAGAATGGCTTTCGTTTAATTTCGAGAAATATTATGATCTTCTAAAATATCAATATTTTACTTGATAATGCATATTTTTTATCGTATTATGAAACTTAAACGTAAAACATGGCTCATGAAGAACAAAATTCGATGCTAAAAAAGTAAATTGTTTATTGATTAGGGTGCTTTCAGGTATTTTTTGAAGTAACACTTTATTCATTTTTCTTTATATATCTGTATATAAATCATGCACAAATAAGGATTTATAATTAAAAATATTTTTCGAATTGAGTAAATAAATCGTTAGATCTTAGATTTTATTAATCATTTCTTCTTAAAATGAGATTGTAGTTATGGTAACTGTATATGAGATTTGGAGTATTGTTAAATTGCGCGAAATGTTGATAAGTTTCAAAAACGATTTACAGTATGTTTAAATATATTAGAATTTAATGGTATGCGATAACATCGACTGCAAACAATCGATATTAAGTGATTGATGAAAATCGATATCAATATTTAAAATTTTCGAGGCTTTTTTGACTAAAAGCAATTGTTTTGGACACTTAGAATGAAGTTCTCCTTAGAGAATTTCTCCAAATTTTTTCCATTTTTCCTAAATGTTAGTCACCGTTACGGTTTTTTCTTTTTTTGGGGGCTCGCAAGCTCGCCCCCAAAGAAAAAACCGTAACGGTGAGCTCACATTTCGGCATAGTTTAAGTCTAGGTTTTGCATTTTAAAATGTTTGTTACCTTATCTTCTTTTAAAAAGTGGCAAAAATTTGTTTGAAATTTGAAAAAGATATTTTTATTTGCATAAATGACATTCAACTAAGCTGTAGCATGATTCTTTTGCATGCTCTAGTTTTTTTCTCAGTTCAATCTCCTTCCATACTCTTGCTTGTACCAGTAAGATCGCACCAAAATTCTCAAAAATTAAGATCTCCAAATTTTATGTCCAACTCCAATTATCAAACGCCCTCATTAACGCCACTCATAGCCATCTTTCATGCATGAGAAATCGTTATTAGAAGATTTTTTACGGCTAATTATCTGATTCAATTCAGATCAATACTCAAAGCCCCATTATTTATTTATAAATCCTTGTTTGTCGCCTATGCGAATAAAAATTCTTTTTATATTTTAAACAATTTTTTTTCACTTTGGAAGGAGAAAGGTGACTAACATTTTAAAAATGCAAAAACCGACTAAACTATTTGAAAATTTAAAATTTAGAGCAAAACAAAACATTTTTATTGTGTTCTAAATCGCTAAAGCATTTTCATTTTTGTTATTCTATTATTTTTCTACTAATATATGTCAATTTTACAACAGAATCAAATAATTATTTTTCAATGATATAGAAAAGAAGTATATTTCCCAAAATTATAAATCACCAATATTTTGCTATCAAATATAGTATATAATTCTATATAGATAACCAGCCATTGTTAGTAATATAAAATTATTTCTGATTCAAATGAAGGAATGGCTTCATAAATTTTAAAACCATAGTAAATATCTAGAAAGCAATCAATAATATCATGATTTTATTCACAGATGAGTCCAAGATATATATTGTGATTTGCATTTCGACAATAAATCTAAATACATGCGTATTAAACTCGCATATTTAGACCTCTTATCATAATCATGTTATCAGTTAGTGACTATTGCTACAGAAAAAGCAATATAAGATCTGTATCTCATAATCAAACGAAAGTTAAGCTAAGATATTTGAAATAATATCACCCGATAGTATACATAATACTACACCAGAATGACTAGTCAATCTGTTGTTTCAATATCGTTATAAATTTATAATGCTAAAATAGTACTTTGGTTATCATCAGTAATATGTAAGGTTGCTACCATTGTAATATTTCGACAAAATAAAGGTATCAACTTTAGTGCAAGATATTATGAGTTGAACATCGAATAAATGTGGGTGTTGAATTAGAAATCGAGGACTTCATAATATGGTATTCTTCCAAAATTGATATGAAAAAGCTTTCGATTGATAAAATTACAGAATATCTGACTTTTATCAAAAAATCACAAGAAAATCAGATAGAATTACCAAACCATGTAATTAATATCAAGGAATTTCTACAAGATATAATCAATTTCATTGGTACAAAATTTTTTGATATCGAAATTAAAAAACTCATTGAATTCTGCAGAGTTGGCGTACATCAATTGCGTGATAACAAGGATTTCATTGATAGAATAATATCTCGATGTGAACAACTTGGTTATTTTCAAATGCAAGCACGCATCGATCATTTGTACGACTTTTTGCTTGAATTAATCAACGATTGCAACATTTTTGGTTATTTAATTAAAAAGATCGATATTATGAAAATAAAACCATCAGGAATGAGCAGTCTATTGAATTTGGTCACGAAGAATGAGTATAAAGAACACCACATAGAAATTATAGATATGATAAACAGGTTAAATTCGACTCTTAATCGAAATCCATTTGTAATTCAAACAGAAAACTCCAATTACCAATCATTCGTTTCAATTGCATGCGAAAAAAGTCAATCCAATCAAGCAAATGGAATTTCTATTAAGAAGTTTTTAGATATCTTCAAAATTCAAAACAAATTTGATGATATTTATAATTTCCTTTCGCAGAGAGCAGATATGAAAGATGAATCGACAATAAAAGTTGCATGTACAATCGGATTATCAGAAATCATTGATGATCAACAGAACACAATTCTTCTTTCTGCATGTTTGAAGAACAATTACAATCTTGTCGAATCTCTTATCAACAACAAATGCAACAAAACAGCAATTAACAAAAATAAAGACAATGCAGTTCTTTGCACATCAATCAGTGGCAGCACAAAGATATTCGATTTTCTCATTAAAAATGGCTTAGATGCTAAAATATCTAACGAAATCACAGGGAGAAATGCCGTTTTAACAGCTTGTGAAAGTGGAAACTTTGAAATGATTAAGCATCTAGTATCTCAAGGCTTTTCACTTTCAGACTTAGACAAAGAAAATCAAAATTGTATACTTCTAGCTGTTTCTTCTGGTAATTGGGAAATAATCCATTATTTAATTCAAAATGATGCAGACCCATCTCTACATTCATCAAATAATGACATTCCTATTTTTAGATCCGTAAGGCTTGGACATCTTGAGATTTTCCAGAATTTACTTATATATTGTCACAATTTTGATCCAAATGCTGAAGATGATTTTCTTACAATTGCAATTTCTCATCAAAGATACAAAATAATAAAATACATTATCGACAAAAAATTAGTTAGAATTAAAGAAAAACATAAAAATTTAGTTAAATCGTATCTTTCGAATTGCGATTCTCTTGAAGAAATAGAAACCATAAAGAAGATTGACCCAATTTTTTCAAGCAATTATAAAGCACAGGAATCTACTAAATCTGACGCTAATCAAAACGAATCAGCATATGTTGATATAAATCTTAATGAATCAACACCTGCTGAAACTATTCAAAACGAATCAACACCTGTTGAAACAATTCAAAATGAATCAACACCTGTTGAAACAATTCAAAATGAATCAATACCTATTGAAACAATTCAAAATGAATCAACATCTGCTGAAACAATTCAAAATGAATCAATACCTGCTGAAACAATTCAAAATGAATCAACATCTGTTGATATAAATCAAAATGAATCAATACCTGCTGAAACAATTCAAAATGAATCAACACCTATTGAAACAATTCAAAATGAATCAACACCTATTGAAACAATTCAAAATGAATCAACACCTATTGAAACAATTCAAAATGAATCAACACCTGTTGAAACAATTCAAAATGAATCAATACCTGCTGAAACAATTCAAAATGAATCAACATCTGTTGAAACAATTCAAAATGAATCAATACCTGCTGAAACAATTCAAAATGAATCAACACCTGTTGAAACAATTCAAAATGAATCAACACCTGTTGAAACAATTCAAAATGAATCAACACCTATTGAAACAATTCAAAATGAATCAACATCTGTTGAAACAATTCAAAATGAATCAACATCTGTTGAAACAATTCAAAACGAATCAGCATTTTCTAATCAAACTCAATCACAAACATCCGACACAGAACAACCAAAATCATCAAAATCTAGTAAAAATAATGACAGCAAAATAACTATTGATTCATGGCTATTTAAAAGATCAAAATATCGAAAAATTTTCTTCTGTATGATGACTTTAATTATACTAATATTTATATTGATTCATTAATCCAAATTGTAAGTAAATTATTATTGCTAAGTTTATAATATACTAAAATACTAGTTTTCATCTCGTAAATTTATGAATCTCAATTTTTTTGAGAGTATCTGAATTCATAAAGAATAATCATAAGCAAAAAATAATTGATTTCTATATGAATAAAATAAATCAAAAATCAAGAATTCTTCTGGATTCGGAACAATCATCATCAAATTATTGTTTATCATCTTGCAATTGCATTGATCTGAAATTATCAGAGTCTTTAACATTGTCTTGAGGAACTTTCTTATATGGCAAATACTTCAATACTCTCTCATGGACTTCATATAAATTTGAAGTATTTATAAGTGATCGGTGAAGTGATTGTGAAAGAAAATGACTTGACTCAGTTCAAACTTCTATAGACACCATATCTGTGAGGTTTTGCAAAGAACGAAAGAATGAAGAATGTTTGGAAAAGTGTTAATTTATCTTCAATTTTTTTTGTAATCTTTGAAGAAATATTCGAATTCCTCGTTTTTCATTCTTTAAATCAAACAACATCTTGGCGCTTATTAAACATTCTTAATTCTCCTGATCCAACAACTATATATGCTATTTGTTCATTTTCAAATAGAGCAAATGTCAGATCTTATTTTAAAAAGTGACAAAATATAAACTTTTTATTGATTCCAAAATTCATTTAGTTCTACAATAAATGTAAAAACATTATCATGTACTGACGGAATTCTTGAGAAACAAGTTATTGAAAGTCAGTATACAACAATTATTATTGACAATAGTTGCAGAATTTTATCAACGCAGTGCATTGACTCTTCTTTTATAACAAATGTTACTCTATCTGACACAATTGTTGAATTACAAGATGACCCAATCATCAATGCTCCTATTAAAGAGATTTTTTTACCTAAGTCCGTCAAAATTATCCACGAATTGGATCCTTTCAATGCATTGAGATCGCTCGAAAACATCTTTGTTGATGAACAGAATCCATATTTTACTTCATTAGATGGTGTATTATACACAAAAAATTTCGAGGAAATAGTTCATTATCCATCAGCTCGAACTGCAAAAGTTTTTTATTTACCAAAAAATGTTAAAATCATTAGAGACCAATCTTTCTCATACCAATCTTATATAAATTCGCTAATATTTCAAAATGAAATTACCGATGTTACTCAATATGCTTTTACTAACTCAAATAATTTACGAAATTTTATTTTTCCTTTAGGAATTTCCCTTCCTGCTGCAATTTCGGATATACTCAAAAGTTACACTATTTCATATTATTCAATTGAAATACACACATGTCCAGCCTATTGTTATAGATATTTATTTGATCTTAACATCCTAATGAGTATATTTATTATTATTTCATAAAGAAATAGAAATAAAATTAACTTAACTAATGACTTACTCAATTAATATATCAAAATTCAAAGAATTTTACTTATCAAAGAGGATGCTTAGACATCTTGAGGTTTTCTAAAATTTTCATTTACAATTGATGGTTTCCTTACAATAGCGATTTCCCATCAAAGATCCAATATAATGATAATATATTCTAGACAAAAAATCATTTAGAATTAACGAATAACATAAATATTTAGCTAAATCATATCTTTCGAATCTCAATTCTCTTGAAATAATAGAATTTCAAAGGAAAAATAGACCCAAATCTTTCAAGAATCTGACACTAATCAAAATGAATTTCTTTTGACATTAGTAAAAAAATCAGCTTAAAAGTAGTATATATAACGGGTTGTGTGACTTTTTTTGTAAATGTAAGAATTCATACAATATAGAACGATTTTGTATCATTTTTTTTAACATATGAAGTAAAAAATGTATGATTCTTACGGTTTTTATTCTTACGTTTTTGAATAAATCAAGATTTAAAAAATTTTCAAAATTGTAAGACATTTACACTCAACCCATACATAATGTAATAAAAAAAATTAACATTGTTTAAATCCTGAATGGAATCAATGAAGTCATAATCAAAGACCTCATAAACGAGTAAAAAGAAATTGAAACTAATGATTATTTGAATTTATGAAATCAATTATTTGATTCATTCTTTCTTCAATCTCTTCTATTCTTTTTGTTAAATCATCAATTTTCATTAATGAGGTGATTCTTGATTGAGGAATAGATTTCAAACTAACCACCCCTTTTATTTTTGAAATTTTGAATCCATCAACTTTAAACATTTTATTCAATTTACATGTTGTCAATTCTTCAAATAATTTTTTATTATTAGCATAATAGTCATTAAATTCTTCAACAGATGAAAAAATTTTTATTTCAGTAATTGGTTTAACAACGTTTATTTTTTGTTGAACATTTACACTTTCATTTAAATAGCTTCCTTCTGTTTCATTTATTTTTAAAATCGGTTTCATGAAGAACTGATGAGGTCACCAGGTCACCAGGTAATTTAACTTCTCTGAAAAAATGTGACAACATGACATTTTGACAACAACATAGGAGGATGGTATTTATTCATTATTTTTGAAGAACTGATGAGGTCACCAGGTCACCAGGTCACCAGGTAATTTAACTTCTCTGAAAAAATGTGACAACATGACATTTTGACAACAACATAGGAGGATGGTATTTATTCATTATTTTTGAAGAACTGATGAGGTCACCGGGTCACCAGGTAATTTAACTTCTCTGAAAAAATGTGACAACATGACATTTTGACAACAGGAATGAAATTTGATGTAGCCCAAAAATAAAGTTAGTTTTAAAATTATTTTTATTTTTTTATTCCTATATAAATGACAGCAACAAACAACAACAGCAACTATATCGTTTCTGATGAAAAAGTTATTGATTCATTAGTTGAGGAATTAGCTGAGGAATTAGTTATGGCAGAAACTAAAACCCTCAACGAAAGAATTGGTGAAAACAAGATTGATTTACATAACTACCTCAAATACGATGGAGGAAGAGGAAGGAAAACTGGTATGGCTTTATTAGTAAATAAAATTTCGAATTTAACGATTATAGATGTTGATATCAATAAATCGTACAATGATGAACTTAAAGAAACAGTTAGAAAAGACATTCTATCAAAACTTTCGGATAAAGATGTTATCGTTAAAACCGCTTCAGGAGGTCTTCACATTTATTGCAACACTAATTTCTTCTATGCAGTTTCGAACAGAATGATTAAATGTTATTCCTGCAATGATTATGATATTGACATAATGACTTCTATTGATGATTCAAAATCATTAGTGGTTATGGCTGATTCAAGAGTTCGCAAGAATGCAACAGAACCAATCAATACATACTCATTCATTCGTGGAAGTTATGATTCAACATTAACTAGAACAGTGAATGATATATTAAATGATTTGAATATTAAGAAGAGTTAGAGAGAACAGAAAGAAGAAGAATAAAGAGTATAATGAATGAAAACAAAGATGTAAACATTGACGATAAACTAGCTCAGAGCATAGTTGATGGCATCTGTGATTTTGAAGTACATAATGACGGTGGAAACATGGATTTAGAAAAAGAAATAACATTATTCACACTGTTTCAAGCAATTAATTCGTTACCTAATCATTTGATTAATGAAGCATACGATAACGTTTATAACTTCTGCAGTTTAACAGAAAATGCAAAAAGTAATTTTGAAAAAGCACGTGGTAGATATGCACATTTAATGACTTCTCCATTTGTTTTGGCGAAGATTCTAAAACTATATCAAAAGGAATATTATGATGAATATGTTTTGCCTTTATTACGTAAGCCAAAAATAAAATTTGACATCAAACTTGATGACTCGTTTTTGATAAAAGATATTAGACGCAAGGCTGAAAATCATCAGTATAAAAACAGTTCTGAAGTAATTGAGGATTTATCACGTGTAATCCGTTTCGTAGATTGTGGAAACAAATATTTCATTCAGAAAGATTACAACATACACGACAAAATGAATCAAATATCATTCGTTCTTCAATCAAACATGAAAGAGTCACTTAAAATGATTAAATTATTTAAAGAAGAAGGTAAAACAATAACAGCATGGGATGTACTATTAAATCAATTGTCTTCATTAACCGTTAAGGGTGTTTGCTTTAAATCTGATTCCCCCGATGTTTTCTCAACGTTTCAGGGTTATAAATACAACATTCTTGAAAAGCTTGATTACTCAAAAATTGAGATGTTTATGAATTTCATTAAAGAAGTCATTTGTGATAATAACGATGAAGTGTATAAATACCTTCTCGGCTGGATTGCATCAATGATTCAACATCCTGGAATCAAGAATGAAACAGCAATTATTTTGAAAGGACTTCAGGGAACAGGTAAAACAGATTTACAGACATTATTTCTGAACTTCTCGCTGGTTATTCATGCAAAAACATTACTGAAATAAGTGAGCTAACGGGTAATTTCAATTCAGTAGTTGAGAATAAAATGTTTCTTGTACTTAATGAACTCAAGAATGTAGGTGAAGACAGACTCGCAAACTTCAACGCTTTGAAATCAATTATAACGGATAATGAGATAAGAATTAATGAAAAGAATCAACCCAGAAGAACTGCTCAGAACGTTGCAAACTTCATTTTCGTAACTAATAACGTTTACCCTGTCAAAATTGAAGTTGGAGACAGAAGATATGTAGTTTTAAGAGTTAATGGTAAATTTAAGGGTCAATTTGATTACTTCAAGAATTTGATGAATTCATGCACAAAGGAATTTTATGATAATTTACTGACGTATTTTATGCAATATGACCTTTCATCATTAATGTACGAATCATCGATGACTGAAGCCAAACAAGATTTAATTGAATTATCAACAAATCCTTTAGATGTATGGATAAATACACATTATGATGAATTGTGTGCAGGTATGACGTGTAAAAATGCTCTATTCTGCAAACCATCAGACATGAAAGACAAGAATTTCCAAATGAGTATTAAGGATAAATGTGATAGGAAACAAAGAAAAATAGATGGTAAACAGACATGGTGTTATGTTTTGAAAGAAGAAATGAAAGGATTATATAAACAGGTTGAACCAAACGATAATGATGATTCATTTACTGACGATGAAATACCTGTAAATGATGCTTTATAAAGTATGATTGGAATTTATTTTTGTCATCCTCCTATGTTGTTGTCAAAATGTCATGTTGTCACATTTTTTCAGAGAAGTTAAATTACCTGGTGACCTGGTGACCTCATCAGTTCTTCAAAAATAATGAATAAATACCATCCTCCTATGTTGTTGTCAAAATGTCATGTTGTCACATTTTTTCAGAGAAGTTAAATTACCTGGTGACCTGGTGACCTGGTGACCTCATCAGTTCTTCAAAAAATATGAATAAATACCATCCTCCTATGTTGTTGTCAAAATGTCATGTTGTCACATTTTTTCAGAGAAGTTAAATTACCTGGTGACCTGGTGACCTCATCAGTTCTTCAAAAATAATGAATAAATACCATCCTCCTATGTTGTTGTCAAAATGTCATGTTGTCACATTTTTTCAGAGAAGTTAAATTACCTGGTGACCTGGTGACCTCATCAGTTCTTCAAAAATAATGAATAAATACCATCCTCCTATGTTGTTGTCAAAATGTCATGTTGTCACATTTTTTCAGAGAAGTTAAATTACCTGGTGACCTGGTGACCTCATCAGTTCTTCAAAAATAATGAATAAATACCATCCTCCTATGTTGTTGTCAAAATGTCATGTTGTCACATTTTTTCAGAGAAGTTAAATTACCTGGTGACCTGGTGACCTGGTGACCTCATCAGTTCTTCAAAAATAATGAATAAATACCATCCTCCTATGTTGTTGTCAAAATGTCATGTTGTCACATTTTTTCAGAGAAGTTAAATTACCTGGTGACCTGGTGACCTCATCAGTTCTTCAAAAATAATGAATAAATACCATCCTCCTATGTTGTTGTCAAAATGTCATGTTGTCACATTTTTTCAGAGAAGTTAAATTACCTGGTGACCTGGTGACCTCATCAGTTCTTCAAAAATAATGAATAAATACCATCCTCCTATGTTGTTGTCAAAATGTCATGTTGTCACATTTTTTCAGAGAAGTTAAATTACCTGGTGACCTGGTGACCTCATCAGTTCTTCAAAAATAATGAATTATTGAATAACCTAGTAGCAGTGAAATAAAATTTTGTTATCAGTTATTTTATCATCGTTTTATTAAGTTCATCTTTAGTTAATAATTTGAATGGATTCGCTAATGTTCCACCTTGAGTCACATCACCTGCCCTGGCTAATTGTGAAGAACCTGGGATAAGTACTCCATGAAATGATTTCATTGGTATCATTAATTTAGAAATAGTTGGCTTAATTAATTTTGTCATTTATGATAAAAATAAAATTGCATAATTTAAATTTTTCTTTCTCATTTTCTCATTTTTCATCCTGTTTTGGTTTCAGTAACTTTTCAAGTTGTTGTCTTGTCAGTAACTTTAATTTTAACTTTGGATCAAATATTGGGTTTCCATCTTTATCTCTTCCAATAACACCATATGGTAGAATCTTCATTTATACTAAAATAAAAATTTAAATTATGCTGTTTGCTCTTTTGAAGCTCAGGACTTTCAGTCCGTTCTAAAGTTTGTTTTACAAACATTGAGCGTTCATTGAACTCTATACCATGCGTAAACTGTCATGTAAGGTGGCATGTATTCTTTACTTTGTCCCGTTGTTTGTGTATATCCTGAAACGAAATGTGTATGGTTTCCTTCTCCCTGAGTGTCACTCCAGTAACAATTTATAGCAAACTTAACGTCGTCTTTAACATCATATCCTTTACCTTTTGTCATTCCTGATCAATCCCAATATCTATGCTTATGCCAACCTGCCTGAGATGTACTTAAATCTATGTAGTGACTGTGTGCAGGTAAATTTTCACCTGAAATCGTTTTACTTCCACCTGTTTCCTTTGAAGAGTTTGCACAATACAAAAACCTGTCGACTATTTGTTCCCATGCACCAACACCAAACATTACTTGAGGACCTCTTGCATCCATAGATGTATAAATAGAACCTACTGGGTTCATTAAATCAAACATATGAGATATTATAGGATTGTCTATTTTGAACTTAAAATATAGTGCAACTATTTCAGGTTTCTTCTGGTTTGTGTCAGAATATTTTTTATAATATAATCTTATGTTTTCAGGGTAGGTAAAATCTTGACTATAATATTTATTTTTGTCATCTGTATAATAATATACTATTCTCGTTTTTTCTATTGCATTATATCTTTTATATCTATAATAATCTAAATATAATGTTAGCTTTTGTTCATCTACATGTGGTGTTCTCTCGTCATCTCCATAGTCATAATAATATGGTGCTGGAGCTGGGTGAGGCAATGTCATATCTGTCATTTCATAAACTCTTAAATATTTCTTTTGTTCGTCTCCATATAAGTTTAAGTAGCAGTTGTTGTCTATGGAACTTTAACTTGTGTACCATTATTCTTTATATAGCTTACATACATTTCATTGTTATTTTTCGGAATGAGTTTACACCGTGCACCATTTTTTAAGGACTGTACAAACTGCCATCTAAAATATTTATTTTCTTCATTGACAGAAAAGTCACCAACAATAGTTTCAATATTTTTTGTTGTTCCTATCAAACTTTGGTATATTTCATTGACATATTCCTTATCTGCTTTAAGGTCTAACTCATCATTAACATAAGTTTTATCTGCTTTAAGGTCTAAACATCCTGAAACCCATCCTGTATCAGCTTTAGTTTTTAAAATCTTTGATGTCCATTCATGATACCATTCAACCCTTTCTTTAATTTCATTATCTTTTTCATCAACATAAACCAAATTTGCCTTCTTCATTAATTCACCGTTGACATATTCATTATCTGCCTTAAGGTCTAACTCATCATTAACATATTCCTTATCTGCCTTCTTCATTATGTCATTAAGGAAACCTTTTATGAATTCCTCATTTAAACTAAATCTTCCAATCTTCAAAACTTTAGGAAATGCATTTAATGCGTAATATCTTTGTTCTTCTGGTGGAATTGATGTTATATCATCCGTTATTCCTTTAATTTTTGAATTCATAAATAAAATTTCTTTTATATTTGATATCACTACACCACCTTTGCAAACGAATTCGAAATAGTCATTTTTCAATACTATCTCCAAATCTCCATATTTCAACCTTTGTGTTTGTTCTGCTGTCTTTGAATTATATGCATATATGGCGTATGTAATGGTCTGAAGGACCTGGGTGCTTTGCGCCTTAAGTTGCTGTGGTTGCTGTTGTTTAATCATTTATTATGATTTAAAAATATTTAATCCGTTATCTCATCAGCTATTTTTTCTATTTGAAATTGCCATAATATTTCATTCATAAATTCTAAATCACAATCAAATAGGTCAGTTATTCTAAATTTAATATTTGATAAATCTTTTGAATGAAGAATAAATGAATTCCCGGATAATTGAAACGGATATGATAAAGAAAATGTGTTTAAGTTGATGGATAAAATGTTTTGTATTGATGGGTAAGAGTTAGGGTCTAATGTTTGATGTGAAAATCTCATTGGGGTATTAACTTTATCACATTTGATTAAAATGAAATTGGAACCAGTGTCAGAATACAAAACATCCCCAACATCTTTTTCAAAATTTAATATCCCCAACAATGAACGAAGATGAGGAGTACAAAATTTAATTTTCAGCGGAAATTTAACAAGGTTATTTATTTCATCAAGTTCAAAAAGTTTATCAGGTTTTGATTTAAAATTTTCTTCATACCATACGATAAATGATTCATTTAAATAACTTAAAATCGTGTTAATATCCCATTTCGCTATCACATTATTTATATACATATCATACGTTTTTTCATGGTCATCTTTAATAAATGATATATAATCTGAAGGGTCTAAAAGAATGGGATTAAATTTACCACTCACAGAAACGAGAGTAACATTATAAATTCCGCTAACTGTTAAATTTAATTCACAGTTATTATTTGAAATAATATTGATAATTGACATTTTTATTACGATTAAAAATATGGTAAAGCGTTATTTTCCAGTGATAAATAAAACTAGAATAAGATTACCTCAAGAATTCATAAATTCAACGAATAAGAAATTCATTCATGTTATAAATTTTAGTGTTTTCAGAAAATATGAGTCGATGTCATATTCATCAACAGGTTATATTTCACTTCATTCAAATTTAGTTCAATCAAACCCATATAATGACCATTTCATAAGATTTTCAGATGGTATTAAAAATGTAATTGATAGATTAAAATATGAACAGATTGACAATATCGAATTTTTGGAATTTTGGTTTAAATATCCCGATGGAAAAAAGATTGAAGTTAAAGATAAAGCTGATACTATAACAAAAACAATTACAATGACCGATCCGGATAGTGGGGAACAAAAAGAAATAAAACAAACGATAGAAACTGGTGAAAGGTCAATTATTATTGATTATGATTCAAAGGATTATTATTCGATAATGTTAATGCTTGAATATTAAATAGCCTTAACAAAGAATTTTTCAAGTGATATTTTATATTCATCAACTATTTTATTATAAATATCATTATATGTTAAATGAAGTTCAGTTGTTGTTCCGTTCTTTGATATCTTAATTGTGCTAATATCCTTTATAGGATTTATTTTTGCAACTGTTCCGCAGCATGAAACCTCATCATCTATGAAAAATTGAATCTTAACGTCTGAATCTTGAACATCACAAAGAATGGCGATAATGTGAATTAATGATTCATAAGGTAAAATAATTAAACCGGATTGGTCAATTAAATTTATTATTGAATCATAATTATTAATTATTATATCACGGTAAATTTTCATTAATTCAGAATTAATGTCTATTTTATATGGGTTCTCGATGTTTGATGAAAGAGGTGGGGGGTATGTTGGATAAGTGGGAATTTCAACAGGTTCTTTACCAGGTTCAGATAAAATGATTGGGTCTCCATTCTCATGGTTTTCTTCATTCTCCTCCTCCTTTTTCGGTAAGTCACGAGTTAATAAATTTGGTTGAGTTGCTGACCTTGTTAATTCAGGGCTAACATTAACTTTAACATTTTGAATAATTCGTGATTTATCATCATTTACGTTATAACCAACCGTAATCTCTGCTTTTGCGTTAGTGTTCTTTTGACTAGTGAAACGTCTTCTCATTTATATTCGAATAAAAAAAATATATTTAAACTTTTATTTTGCTGGAACTTTTGAATCTATTATTCCCTGTATTTGTTCATGAAGTTGATTTTTAGCTGTTTCATCAAAATTAATAGACCGAATATATTCATTAATTGCATTCTTATAATCATCTGATTTCTCAAATTTTCTTTTATCTGATTCCTTAACTAAATCATAAGTTAAACCACGTTGCTGATATAATGGTTTCTTAATTAAATCTTTGAATGCTTGAGATAAAGCACCTGATGCAATTCTTGCTACTATAATTGGTTGAAATTGCTGTTTAAGTTCATCTTTAACATTTGCGAAAACTGGATCGAACAAAGCAACTTTAAAGAATTTCTTAGCTGAAATTTTGGGTCTAATATTTGCTTATTGACCATCAAACTGGTTAGAATATCGTGGTAATCCATCCGGTCCCTCTTCAATAGCATTTAATTCTTCATTGAAATAAGAATATGGATTATGACGGTATGAATTAATTGGACCATTTTCACCTTCTCCAATGTATTGTTTAACAGCTTTTCCATTTTCATCAAATTGCATAGGATAACGTTCATTATATGCTTTACGTTTAGGATAATCAGATATACTTAATTTATAACCATTTATGACTTTAATATTACCTTGACCATCAGTAACGAAAACTTCATTTATACCATCAGGTTTTCCATTTGGACCCGTAATGTCTGCTTCATGTGCTTCCCAATTTGGACCATGACGTTTGGCATATGCTTGAGCTTCTGGTAATGTTAAAACGTTTCTCATTTGTTTAACATCTTTTTGAAGACCAGCAACAATATGAACTAATTCTTTCATTCCATCAGGAACTTTCATAGTTCTATTATATGCACCCCTTTTGTTTGTCCCTTGTTTTAATGGAACCTGTAGAAGATTTGCTATTTCTGTCATGTTTAATTATAAATAAAAAATAAAAATTAATTATAAAAAGTTAATCAAATTTAACACATCCTTTATTTAAATCAACTATTATTTTTCCATGTTCACCTAATTGCTGATATTGTGTGTAAAGTTCATTAATGCTCATTGGTAAATTCACTTGATAAAGCATAACGTTCAACTGTTGACGACTAAACCCACTGAAAATGAAAAGTGTTGATAGATTTGATTTAATGTTTGTGCTTAATGCTTTGAAATATTGAACAGCCATAAAGAATGAACACTGAATGTGTCGACATTGAGTTAATAACTGATTAAAATATGATTTCTCATTTGTTATTAGTTTTGATTTCACTGCATCATCTAGAAAAATGAGTGAATGCAAAAATTCTCTATCAAAATTTGAAATAGAAAGTGTTTCAAATAATTCATCCCGTTGTTTATCAATAATTTTATCCTCTAATCCTTGCTTCTTGATTGTATTATATAATTCTTTATACATTAAAAAGTTTTTTAAATAATCTTCTGCTTCTTCTTGTGATAAATAAATAATTGGAAATTTGATTAAATGCTTTAAAGATTCAAATGTATCATCTGAAGGTGAACCTGAACGGTTGATATAAATTAACACATGTGAATGGGGGGAAGTGTTAGCAATAATGATAATTTGTTTTAATATCGTTAATGTTTTACCTTTATTTTGTTTACCAATTGCTGCAGTGATTGAATTTAAGTAACATTCAGAATATGGAATTTTCATTAATTTTTCCTTAGATAGAGCATTTCTATTATCACTCAATGCTTCATTAATCATATCATCTACGTATGTATTATATACTCCTGCTAATTCTTCATAAGGGGTGGATGAATTTAAATCCATTTAATCAAAAATAAATTTATAATTTTAAACATTTCTATTCATCAATATTTCATCATATAAACTTCTATACTGTGGTGGTGTACCTGTTGGATGATATTTCAAACCTTCGTCCGGTGTCCATGTCCAATATGTAGTCCTAGTAAACCAAACCTGAGGAGGATTTGTCACCTTTGAACAGTAAGTGTCATTTTCACCCTGAATAATTGGATAAGCTTTCACTTGTACTGTAACTTGTGAGTTGAAAGTTTCTAATCCATCAAAGAATATACCCGCTCCATCACGTTGAACTGGAATAGTGCATAAGAATGAAGTTTGGTCTTTCCATGTTCTAGCTAATGGCACACCATTATCATCATTCAGTGGTCTAGTTAATGAGTCCTCGTATTCTTCCGTGCATTCATTCACTCCATCTAAATCAGAAGCTTGAAGCATACGTGTAAAGAATATGTCACCCACTATGGTCATCGCTTGATCGGGGAAGTTTCTGGAATCTATAGTGACCTGAAGACCTCGAAGCATTGGATTTTCTAAAACTGTTCTTTGCATTGCATTCTTCGGAAATGTTAACACAACATCTGTAACATTATGAAGAGCGTATGAGAAATCTGAGCTAATACCTTCAGGAGTGATGCAACCTCCATTTAGTGAACGAACGTCAATATGTTGAGCTGGAATCATGAATGGATCTTCCTTACTAAATAAACGTGGTATTGCTTTAACTGATTCTTCAATTAAACCGTATCCTGGTGTAATACATTTATCCTCTAAAACTTCCATCTTTGTGCATGAAATAATAACGTCATCAACTGTTGCGTCAGCAGATGTAGCGGCTAAGCTTGTAATTAATTTGGCAGGAAGTCCGATTTGTTGGAATTTGCGATCATATTTATAAACATGATTCATAATCTTTTCATAATTTTCATCAGTTATCTTTTCATAAACGTAATTTTGTAAATCAGCAACTCTTAACGGGTCAACCTGACAAAATACTAAAGTATCCCTGAAAACATAATATTTAAGAATGATATCACCAAATGATTTAGGATAATCATCGAACGCCTGAAATGCTAACAAATCATTTACCGGAATAATCATATCAAAAGTGACATCAACTTCTTCATTTGCTTTCTTGAAAACTTCTGAAGGGTCAATATATTTACCACATACTGAGTTATCATATTTTTGAACATTATTATATAACGAATGAACAAACTTTTTAACTTTCCTTTCTGATTTTGGTTTATATGTTGCAAATGCGAAAGATTCACGGGCGCAATCCATCTGAAGATAACCAGCATCACCTCTTTCGGTTTCTACTTCTAATTGTTTAAAGCTTTGATTTGATGATTTGTAACCAACGAATAAACGCATGCATTTAAAAGCGGCATCACATGTGAAAGCTTTATTTGAAACTAGAGTTGCTTTAACTTTGCGTTTAATATATGTGTCACCTAATTGGTTCACATCATGAGCCGGATTTGTAATTCTTAAATGAGTTTGTTTATCATCAAAATATGGAGTATCAGAGTCATAGCATGAACTTTCAAGTTCTCTATAATATCTTCTACCGTCATTCTTTGCGAATATTTCATTTATCTTTTCGAATGAATGAAACACATTTCCATTAATCGGTTTAGTGTTTGGCACCAAATAGTTAGTCGTCATTTATTAATAAATAAAAAATCAAAATTAAAAGATGAAAATGAATTTTTAATTTTAATGAAATAATCAACTATGGCTGCAGGTATATTTAAGAAACTGTGGGATAAAGTAAAAAGAGGAGCGAGTAAAGTTTGGGAAACATTGAAGAAGGGAGCAAATTGGATATTTAAGAATAAAGAAGCAATTAGTGACGTTGCTGAATCAATAACACCAAAAGCTGCCCCAATAAGAGAAATTTTAAATAAAGGAGAAAAAGTTTATCAAAGACTACAACCGATACTAAGATAAAAATAATTTTAAAATAATTTATTTTTCCACTATCTACCCCCTATTTTATTAAGTATTCCTTCAGCTATTCCACCAATTGTGTTACCTGCTTGTGCTCCCATCGCCGGATTACCTGCTTTAGTACCTAATACTCCACCTATGATAGTTCCTGCCGTTTTCGCTACTGGTGCCAAAAAGTTTGCAACAGGTTTAATAACCTTTTTATAAACCCAACCCGCAGCTTTCTTAATTCCATCCCATAATTTTTTAAAGAATCCTGCCGCCATTTCTGATTTAATATTAATTAAAAAATATATTTCATCACTTATATTCTAATTTTTATTTAATGATAAATGAAACCGATTTTAAAAATAAATGAAACAGAAGGAAGCTATTTAAATGAAAGTGTAAATGTTCAACAAAAAATAAACGTTGTTAAACCAATTACTGAAATAAAAATTTTTTCATCTGTTGAAGAATTTAATGACTATTATGCTAATAATAAAAAATTATTTGAAGAATTGACAACATGTAAATTGAATAAAATGTTTAAAGTTGATGGATTCAAAATTTCAAAAATAAAAGGGGTGGTTAGTTTGAAATCTATTCCTCAATCAAGAATCACCTCATTAATGAAAATTGATGATTTAACAAAAAGAATAGAAGAGATTGAAGAAAGAATGAATCAAATAATTGATTTCATAAATTCAAATAATCATTAGTTTCAATTTCTTTTTACTCGTTTATGAGGTCTTTGATTATGACTTCATTGATTCCATTCAGGATTTAAACAATGTTAATTTTTTTTATTACATTATGTATGGGTTGAGTGTAAATGTCTTACAATTTTGAAAATTTTTTAAATCTTGATTTATTCAAAAACGTAAGAATAAAAACCGTAAGAATCATACATTTTTTACTTCATATGTTAAAAAAATGATACAAAATCGTTCTATATTGTATGAATTCTTACATTTACAAAAAAGTCACACAACCCGTTATATATACTACTCTTAAATAAGGCCTAAGAGTACAAATTTTATTAATAAATGTACATTATACGCAAATAATTAATTAGAAAACTATAAATTACGCAAAAATTTTCATCCAATACAATTTCGTATTTGAATCAAAAATAATCGTAATTTCAGTAATTATATTTTAAAGAATAATTGCTTATTTAATAAATATATTTTTGCATTATTAGCGATGCAATTATAAATATAATACAAACTTTTCTGAAATTTTCTCAGAAAAATATTTTGAATATATTGGAATACGAATCGCTTAAACTTGTTTCGGGATTATAAATCTATTAAAAATAAAGAATCTCTAAAAATTTTGAATTGATAAGTATTCAATTTATTTTGGATTTTTAATAGATGCCCGAATTTGTTGCCAGAAGAGCATTTAAGCAATTTCAATTTAATAGTATTGTAGATGATAAAAAGATCAAAATCAGCGATGGAAATCATCAAATGGAAGTTCCTTTTAAAACATTGTGTTCATATAGCAGGAAAGTTATGAATGACTACATGCAAGGAGAAAACATTGAAGAATATAAACTAAAAGGAGTCAGTGATGAAACATTTAAAATCTTTTATCAACTTTTTATAAAAAACAAAGTTTCTATCGAAATTTCTGAAGATATTCTGAAAGAAATATACCAAATAGGCATAGATCTCGAGATTGAAGACTTTTTCGATTGGTATAGTACTCTTATTTTCAGAGATGAAATAAACTTAAAAAATATAGAAGAAATACTTTCATTTATAAGAAAATCGCGAAAGAATTACAATGAAAAACTAGATGACATTATCATATTCATAGCGAAAAATATTTCGGAAATAGAACCATCAAAACTTATTGATTTATGTCGTATTGGTTCCGAAAACATATTAAGCAATCAAGATTTCATCGATAAAATCATTTCAAAATGTGAAGAACTCGGATATTTTCAAGATGAAAACAAAGTTGATAAAGTATATGACTTCTTGATTGCGTTGATCAAAGATTGCAGTTATTTTGCTTATTATATCAATAAATTTGATGCTGAAATGATTCGATCCTCAGTAATGAATACGTTATTGGATCTTACTTCGAATGAATCCTACAAGAAGTATCAGAATTATGTTTTAGATATGCAGAAAAAGATCAACGAACTTGATGGAAGGAATCCGAAAATAGTCAAAGCAAGATATGAACAATATGAATCATTTTTGTCTATTATTTGTGACAAAATTCATTCAAATCAAACAAATGATGAGTTGATCAATAGATTCTTAGATATCTTCCAAATTCAAAACAAATTTGATGATATTTATAATTTCCTTTCGCAGAGAGCAGATGTGAAAGATGAATCGACAATAAAAGTTGCATGTACAATCGGATTATCAGAAATCGTTGATGATCAACAAAACACAATCCTTCTTTCTGCATGTTTGAAGAACAATTACAATCTTGTCGAATCTCTTATCAACAACAAATGCAACAAAACAGCAATTAATAAAAATAAAGACAATGCAGTTCTTTGCACATCAATCAGTGGCAGCACAAAGATATTCGATTTTCTCATTAAAAATGGCTTAGATGCCAATTATATTAATGAAAATTCAGGAAAGAATGCATTATTAATTGCATGTGAATGCGGAAACTTAGACTTGATCAAGCATTTAGTATCAAGAGATCCCAAAAAAGAAACTCTTTCATTTCAAGACAAAGGAAAACAAAATTGTGTTCTTCTCGCTGTTTCATCTGGCAGATGGGAAATTGTTGAGTATTTGATCCATGAAGGTGCAGATTATTCGATACAATCATCAAATAATGATCTTCCTGTTTTGAGATCAATTCGACTCGGATATCTTAAAATTTTCAAGAAATTACTTAAATATAATCATAATATTGATTTAAATGGTCAAGATGATTTTCTTTCAATCGCAATTTCCAATCAAAAGATCGACATTATCAAATATATCCTCGCAAATTGTTTAATTCCAATCAAAGACAAACATAAAAAATTATGTCAACAATATTTGTGTAGTGATGATTCGGCAAATACTGTTGAAGTCCGAAATTTAATTGATCCAAGTTTATCTTTCATTCCTCGCTCTTCAAAATCTCAAAATAATACTTCTTCAACCAATGAGATCAGCTCACATCAAAATAGTTCCTCATCTGACAACATTAATTTACCTAATGTAACTCAATCCATATCATCTGCATCAATAATTTCAAGTCAAGCTCAATCACAAACATCTGATACAAAACAATCTAAATCATCAATGGTTGATAAAAAGCAATCTAAACAATCAATAGCTAGTACAAAACAATCTAAATCATCAACGGTTGATAAAAAGCAATCTAAACAATCAATAGCTAGTACAAAACAATCTAAATCATCAACGGTTGATAAAAAGCAATCTAAACAATCAATAGCTAGTACAAAACAATCTAAATCATCAACGGTTGATAAAAAGCAATCTAAACAATCAATAGCTAGTACAAAACAATCTAAATCATCAACGGTTGATAAAAAACAATCTAACTCATCAACAGTTGATACAGAACAATCTGATTCATCAATATTTACAAAAATATTAATCTGTGGGGCGGCATTACTAATAGTTGGAATTGGAAAGATATTCTTAGGCTGATGGAACTGTTTTGTGAGAAGACATTTATTTAAATACAATGGTTTGTAAATTATTGCTAAGTTTATTATAATAAACTAAAATACTAGTTTTTAAGCTTTCAATTTATATTCTCAAATAATTTTGACAAAGAACTTTCAAAACATAATATTCAAAATATATTAGTCACTTTTTGAAAGAGGGATCACTATTAAAAAGTGAATATATACGCCCGTAAACTATTTGAATATTCTTGAAATTTTATAAAGAAAATATCTATTCCAAAACAATAAATATTAAACAGTTTTTTCCTCAAATAAAAAATATATTTACAAATAAAATACATACAATAAATAAATAAAGAAAAAATTAGATTACAAATCATGTAGAAAGTAATTTCAAAAGATTTGTAAGTTTGAGAGATGTTTCTATAGTATTTTCAACAGACATCAATGTGCAAAGTTCGTTGAAAAGATTCTCTTTCATCTCATCATCAATTGATGATTTGTATGTAGTGAAGAAATCTAAAACTCTGTGCATTTGTTTCACACTCAAACATCCAGAATTCATCACATCAAACAAGAAAGAAAATGCAAAAGGAGTTGGTTTGATTGATACAGGGAATGCGTCATCCAAATCAAAAGCAACTAAAGGAACAGCAGAAATAACAGACTGTTCTTGTGTTAAGTGTTGTGATTGTCTGAGCATTTTGAGCAACTTTAATGCATCACTTTTCGTCATAATGTTTCGGAAAATGTCTTTCAATGTAAGAACGATTTTAGTGATGTTTTCACCAACCAAATATTCATTCATTGAAAGACATTTCATCATAAGATCTGCTGACATCTTGCAATCCCTTGTGCAGTATTGAACTGTGATGTCGAAATATGATGAAACTTTTAATGGAATTTTATCCAAAAGGAAAGACATCGCAACAAACAAATATCCAGAATTAGAAACATCTGACGTTGGAAACGCGTTCAAACAATCATTTGATAACTGTTCAAGATCGTCATCAAACAATGTACGAACTAAAATGGATAAAGGATCCTTTTTACCGCGAAAATAATTGTCGAAAACTTCAAGACAATTTGAAATTTCGCAAATCTTTCGGTATCTAATGATATAACTGTAAATTTCATCTGCTTGTCTTTGTTTCTTTTTGTCGGCTTCTGTTTCGCAAACATTCAATGGTAATCTGTATCTAACACATATCGATTCAGCCAATGAAAGATATTCGAACTCGATACTTTCGATTTTCATGAATTGTTGAATAACAAAAATGAAAATTTCTGCTTCAAAATTCTCAGGAAGTTTCGATGCGACAACAATGATTGAAAGAAGGTTTTCCACTGTGTTTTTCAACATCTTCGGAGTGATCTTCTCATCATAAATGAATTTAGTTACGCCTTCCAATGAAATATTTGCGATTTCAACCGAAAACTTTTCAGTAACATTAACTGTTGATTGCAAAACAATTGATGAAATATCGATTGGTGTTTTTGACCACAATTTAACATCAAATTTATTGTCTTTTGACAATCTGTTCATAAGATTAATGATTTCTTGTTCAGAAAGAAGAGGAAGACCTTTAGACAAGTAGAAAGGTGCATCAACTTCATCCCTGATCATTTCAATGAATCTTGCAAAAATTTCATATTTTTCAGGGATCATTTTCAGTCTTTTTATGCACCATTCCTGGGAAGGATAAGCAAACTTTGCACCAACGAATTCTAAGTAATTACTTGATGTCAACCTTGTGAATAAATTGGCAGAACTTGCTCCGATATCATGGCTTTTACTTGCAATCATTTTAATTGAATAAGCAACGTAATCAGCGAATCTTATCAATCGATTAACGGAACAAATGAACTTCTGTCTTGAGAAAATTCCTGCTCTCTTCATATCAATGACCCTTGAAATTGCTTCAGGCGAAATCGTCGAAAATTTCGCAACTTTATCTGTTGAAAAATGAATTTGAACAACATTTTCAATAATTACAATTTTCGTGATCAAATTGAACGGAATAATATGAATTCTCTTCGCATCAGGGACAGTTAATACATCTCCTGGTGCTTCTATTGTTAAATTCCTTCTAGAAAAGTAAAGTTGACCAATTTTGTCATTTGGCAATGTCACTTTTGAAAATTCAAAATCGTGTCTTACAGAGTTCAAAGGTAAAATCAAATCTGGATATACTTCAAAGATGTCGTTGATGTTATTTAACACGGAAATAACATTTACCCATTCATCAGTCTTATAATTGTTCAAGAAACCAGCGGAATTCTTTGTCAAATTCAGAAGAAAAACGTTATCCAATTGATCAGCAACTTTTTGATAAATTTTTGTAACTTGTGAATGGAATAAATCAAAATCAAGAATTCTTGCTTCCATCAAATCAACAACGATGTAATACTTAACATTTCTTCTTAAATGGCCTATAAAGAAATCTCCAAAATGACCAATGTCTTCTGTCTTCAAATTTTTAAGGGAAATAAGAAAACCTTTCTTTTTTGAATTCGGAATAATCGTCATCAAATTATCGTTTCTCATTTTGACAATTTCTTCATATTTCATTGATCCAAAATTATCAGAGTCTTTGACATTGTCTTGAGGAACTTTCTTATATGGCAAATACTTCAATGCTCTCTCATGAATTTCATACAGATTTGGAGTATTTATAAATGGTCGGTGAAGTGATAATTCATGTTCAAATTTGATTGTGAAAATCTTTGATTTTTTGAGAGAATCGACAAACGAAATCGACTTGACTCTATCGAAACTCCTATAAACACCATATCTTAAGGTGTTGCAAAGAACGAAAGAATAAAGAATGTTTGGAAAAGTGCCAATTTATCTTCAATTTTTTCGTAATCTTTGAAGAAATATTCGAATTCCTCGTTGAGTCTCAATTTATCAGCGAAATCAATTGCAGATCCTTTTTCGTATGCAGAAATGATCTTCTTGTAATCGATATCAGCACCGCATCTTTGCAAATAAGCTGTGAAAAAGAGATTTTTCACTCTTTCATTTCCATTTTTGACAACAAAATCTAACAATTGTCTATTCTTTCCGTAGAACCATGCATAATCAACAGCTGCTGAATGATACTCTGGTAATTCATTTAATTCAAGTAAAATGTCATTGAAATCAAATGTGACAAAATTTGAAACAATTTTATCATCTTCAACTTTTGGATTTTGATTTAAAATTTCTTCTTTCGTTATCTGTGAAATTATATTAACAGAGAGATTATCAATAATAGTAGACTGCAGTATATCAAAGAAATAATCACTACATAAATCAAAATTATTATGTAAAATATTCGAAAAAGTTTTTTCTAAAAACGTGACATCTTGTTTCAATTTTGTGAGTTCCAAAGCGGTTCTTTTCAAAATTCTAAGAATGTAAAATATATCTTCTCTTGCAGCCATGTATGTTGAAAACACCGAAGCATGTTTTGTCTCTTTGTAGAATTGGAAATTTTCTGTCAAATATGAATAACTTTTGACAGCATTTGACAAAACAACATCATTTGTGAGATTTCTCAAATTATAAGCCATAACATCTGTTAAAAGAAGAATGATATTATATTTCTTAGTTAGATCTAATTGTGAAGATATCGCATTAATGAATTCAAAGATGGAGAGACTGAGTTCTTTGAACTTATTGTTGGTTGAAATAGAATCAGTCATAAGGAAACAGAAAAACATAATAGAAATATCTCCATTTGAATCATTTTTCGCTATTTCTTCATTGTTCTTCACAATGGAATTTGCAACATATGCAATGTTCAAAACTCTCTGGACATAATTGCCACTCATTAATGAAAGTATTTTCCTTAATTCTTCATGCAAACTATTCATTAAATTTCTGGCAAAAACAGTATGACTTTTTGCAGGACTTTGTAAATAATCTAAAGCAACAGAATTCTCAGAAAAAGCTAAGTTAGTGAACTTCAACCTGAACTCATCAATGAATGTATTCGTGAAACTTAACATTGACATGACAGATGACAAAACCGTTGGCAAAACAACGTCAAATTTGAAAGGAATTTTGACAAGTTCTTTCCAAGTTTGTTCTGAAGGTTGAATAACAGTTTTTTCGTCATTGTAAACCAAAACCGTTATTTTATTTATCAAATAATTCACTTTTTCCAACCATTTCTTTGAGATTGATGAGAAAATGGCTGTTTCAATCAGTTTCGTATCAGTTATTGATTGAATTAATGGATAAAACACACTATTGTTCTTAATAACCCTTGTGCATATAACTAAACAGAAATTAAGGAATTCTTGGTAAATAATTTGTATGTTCTCACAATTTGGAAAATGTGACAAATTAATCGTTGGAAAAACCGATAAAAAGTTCTGAGAAACATTATATAAAAATGAAGAAATCTCTTTTTCTCTCATCGTCTCGAAAATATCGAAATAATTCTTCCATGGAATAAAAAGATTTCTGGTGAAAAGTAACAATTTTGGACCAACTTTTTCTGGGTAATTTTTGTAAACTTTCAAGAACAAAGAAATGAAATTCAAAATATTCGTCGTGTTCTCGAAAATTTCGAAGAATAAAGCCATCTCTTTCGTAGCATCTTTCTTCTCATGAATACCATCAATCTTCTGACAATTTAGTTCAAAATTTATATCGTTCAACGATAAGAAAATTGACACACAACGTTCACTGTCACTTTCTTTTGAATTATTTTGCGGTTGTTGATCCAAATCTTCTTCTGAGACATTCAAGATACCGGATAGTGTCGCGAAGATGATATTCCTGTAGTTGCTCTTGTATTGTGTCAAATATTAGTATTCTTTACTCCCTAGTATATCATTGTTTCATACTAATAACGTGGCTCGATTCCGTTTCGATGATCAGATAAAGCAGAAACTATATACTCAGGTGCCACTTTTTTAGTCTAGAAAAATGAGTCCCCCCCTTTTATTATTTTTGATAGGAAAGGTACCACAAATAAAAAAGTAATGATGCTAGAGCCTTGATATTCATAAGGTATTATAAACATATGTATGGATAGTTATTCGTGAAGTTTGGGGACGATCGTATGTAGGGATTCTGAGATAAAAATATACAAAAATTGAATAAAATTCAACGTTTTGAATTTTGAAAAAATTTTAATGAATATTAAAGATCTAGCGATACATCCTACATCTTAAAATAACTCGATTTTTATGCCTGAGTTCAAAAAAGTGAGTCACGAAATAACGTACAATTCTCCAAGGTACATTTTTGATAGGCAAAACATTTTAATCTTAATTTTAAATAAAAACCATAAAATTGTGTATAGTTATTAAATTTATAATAATATTGGTCTAAATATAATGGGGAGAAGCTTCCTAAACTTTTTAATCCCATAAATATGGTCATTATCTGGAATAAAGAGTTAAGCGTCATATGTCACTTTTTGTACTAAGGAAACATCGACTTTATGCGTTATGACTTTTCGATGAGGAAACAAGTGTTCACGTATTATAAACTTCCTTATTCCAATAAACCGACCCTAAACATAATTAATTCTAAGCATGATAATGGTCTCTTTTCTATGATAACCAAATCAATTTGGTTATCATAGTAAAGCACCAAAAACTGGAATAGGAATCGGCAATATGGAATCATGAAGCAACTCGGATAAAATAAATATGGAACATTCATACATCCATTCCCTATTTTTAACCATATTATATTTTCAAACAAAATTCTCGTACTATTTTCAATAAAATTTGCATAACCTTGTTATTACTCTTAGGCGAAAGATGATTTTAATGTTAATTTTATAGAAGAACTTTTAATGCATAATAAAATAACCATTTCCTATAAATTTAGACTTAAAACGGTGACAATAAACAAGCTTTAGTCTAGAAATTAATTTTCTACTACTATAAATGCATCATTATCTTTAATTAGAAAAAAATTTATCAATTTTATTATCCAGATGAAAAAAGAAGTGACATATGATATTTTATCTAATTTAAAATCTTTTATTGATTGTTTTGAAAAACTTTGCATTTTGTATGAGTATTTCATGTTTAAATCAGTATAAATACGCAAAATACTTATGAAATTCCAGCTGTTATTCAGTACTATTCATTTTTCAGCAATCATTAACTGTGGAAGAGTATGGCAAACGTTCGATAATGATCATGTATACTCAGATCATCAAGAATGAATTAAAGTCAATGCAGGGAAATGGATAATCCGATTAAAAACCCCAAAAAGGAAAAAGATATTATATGAACGTCTCACAAATGGTTAGTACTAAGCTCTTTCCTGATGATTGAATATTCTTTCATATTTTTGTATATTGTAAGGGATTTTCTCCCCAAATATATAATACCTTCCTTATAAACGATCTACTTTCTTTGAATACAAGTATAATTTTACATTTTAGGAAAAAAATTTATTTTTTCAAATTTATCTTATAACAATAGAGATTTATATATGTGTGTGTCAATATAGGCTTTAGTGGTATAAAATTGGGTAGATTTTGTTTTATTTTGAGTAAAAAATTCAAAAAATACTACCTCATTTTGCGTGCAAAGGAATAGTCAGAGCTATTTAATAACATTTTACGAATGAACTATGGAATTACTATAACTTTTGAAGAAATTTCAAAGTTAATAGAAGATTGTATTTTAGAAATCAGCTAAAAGAATGATGTGCATGCATCAAGCGTTAAAGTATCCTAATCAGAATATAGTAATATACAATGATTAGCAAAGCAGATTTGAATCGGCAAGAAGAGTTGCTTAAAAAATCAGTTGAGTCTTCTCTAGTTTCCACACTGCCTATTCCTGTTTAAGTGCGGTTATTCCTATTCCAGTTTTTGGTGCTTTACTATGATAACCAAATTGATTTGGTTATCATAGAAAAGAGACCATTATCATGCTTAGAATTAATTATGTTTAGGGTCGGTTTATTGGAATAAGGAAGTTTATAATACGTGAACACTTGTTTCCTCATCGAAAAGTCATAACGCATAAAGTCGATGTTTCCTTAGTACAAAAAGTGACATATGACGCTTAACTCTTTATTCCAGATAATGACCATATTTATGGGATTAAAAAGTTTAGGAAGCTTCTCCCCAATAAATATTCAACTAAATTCACTGTCCAACTATAGAATAAATTGATTTGTATTTTATCGGAAATTCATCGTTTTAATTCAATAATTGAGATAAACTTTATCGTGAATTCACTTCTTGATAATGTCATCATGCCCATGCGGACCAGATTGCAAATGCCCACAAGATTGCCCATGCCGTACAGGCGGTAAATGCGTTTGCAAGGAAGATTGCGCTTGCCACAAGGAAGGTGGTTGCTGCAAGAAGGAGGGTTGCTGCCAGAAGAAGGAAGGCTGCTGCTGCCAGAAGAAAGACTAAATTTTTACGTTTTTGAAATGTAAAAGCTTAAATTATAAATTTAATTAGTCTTTTATACTAGAGAACACGATAAATTTCAATAAACTTACTTTTCGAGTTATTAATATTCAATGAAACTACTTCAAAATTTAAATATTTCAATTCCGACAATTATTTTACGAAATTACCATATTTATATAATGGGTATTATACATAAAATTGTTAGCGCATAATATGTGAAACTGGTTTTGGCAATGTTTCTTGATAAAGAATGAATAATTGATTAACACATTCGCGAAGCTCTTACTATATTTAAAAAAGAATAAACACAGAGACAAATCTTCCTTTGTCTAGAATCATAGCTTTATCAAGCAATATCGATTTTTCAAATGAGAATTTGTTTTTTGATCAGATTTGAAGATCAAAATAGTTAGAAACATCATTTGATCTTCGATATTTTGAGGTCAGTTAAATACTATGATCTAAATTGAATCACAAATATTCTTACGTTCAAAAATAACTTCATAAATCTTAAATTACATGCGTAAATACTAACCACTGAATATTTCCCCATTCCAATTGATTATTTATTGAGAGCGATACAATTTATTTGACCATGAAATTCTGAAATTGAATCGAATTTGACATTCTTTGAATATGTAAAATTCGTTCATATTATCTTGGTATTTGTTTAAAGTGCAAATTAATAAAGAGCCAAATTTGAAACGAAATTACAGAATTTTAATTTTTGTATTATTTATATTAATACAATCAATAAATTCAAACATAATTATTTCTGCTCAGAAAAAATTCTGAAGAAAAAATTGAATCATAAAATAATATTAATTGGTATTTTAATCATTTAGGTATAAAATAATCATATTCGACAATTGAAGTAAATTCAATGAGAAATCTTTCTTGAAAAGAAATGATGCTGTATAATAGATATACTATTTTTCCATCAATTATCTTTGTTGTAAAATTTTTACAATTAACATATTAACTTTCTAGTATATTATCTAAAACGCAATTTTCATAAGCAAAATTTAATTTTCAAATTGAAAGCATTCTGAATAATTTTTTTTTAATACCAATTATGGATACAGTGACTCTTAGTTTCGGGGATAACTCAGAAGTAACTATTCCTAAAATTTTCGAAAACTACGAGTTCGTACGTAAGATTGGCTACGGGTCATTCTCATCAGTTGTATTAGTTCGCCATTTAAAAACGAAAGAATATTTTGCATGTAAAATTGTTAGTAGAAAAATGTTAGAAGAACAACAAATTTTCAGCCGTTTCGAACAAGAAGTCCGATTAATGCAATCTTTTAATCATCCTTATGTAATTCACACTTTCGACGTTGTTTTCGATCCACAATACATTTATATTGTAATGGAATACTGCCCCAACGGTGAATTATTTTCATATATCCTCTCGCTAGTTCGTCTTCCCGAAATGGAAGTTAACAGAATTTTACGTCAAATTTTGCAAGCTCTTCAATATATTCATAGCAAAAAAGTCGCACACAGGGATATTAAACCCGAAAATATATTACTTGACTCTCATATGGATATTCGTCTTAGTGATTTTGGATTATGTAAAGAAATGTCACATGGCTCTCTACTTAAGACTCCTTGTGGTTCTCCATTTTATGCTCCACCAGAAATTATCAATAACGATAAGTATGATGGCGTAAAATCAGATATTTGGTCACTTGGAGTTGTCGTATTTACGATGTCTACCGGAGCTTTGCCATGGTCTCATACAAATCATGCGCAATTATTTAAACAGATTACTACAACAGATGTTACTGTACCTCAGGGCCTTTCCCCTCCTCTGCGTCAAATAATAACCTTAATGCTTCAAAGAGATCCAAATGCACGTCCAACACCAACAGAACTTTTGGCGATGCCTTGGTTAGCTGATGATAGCTCCATTGATTCAACGCCAACACCGTTGAGAAGGAGATATTCTTCAGATAATACAGCATACGCGCGGAAACTTGGAACTGCTGATCACAGACTTCAAAGGAAATCTCTTGTTATTAGACCAGAAAATATGATTACGCCTCAAGAAACGATGAATTTGGCTATTCGGAAAGTTCCTAAATTAACGAAGCCCGAGCCATACAGAACTGTTATTTCTCAGATGTTTTAGATTTTTCGTATATTTTTTTTGATATTTATTGTTGATGAATAAATTTTTATAAAATTAGAACTTGTTTAATACTACATCTTTCATAATATAGATATTTTGACAAAGTTTAATTAGTAAAATATGAAATCAAATATAACAACAGTTTTTTTTTCTGATTTCCAATTTTTAAATGCTTCAAAATCTTTCCAAGTACCACCTTTCTTTTGAATCACAATATCTTTGCTTTCATGAGTAGCAAGGATATAGTTTTAATCAAGGTTAAAAAATGAAGGATCAACTAATTTTAAATCTATGAACTTAATTAAACTGCATTAAATATATCGAACAAAATTTAACTCACCAATAACTCAAACATGTCTAGAATTATCATTTTTAGGCGGAAATCCAGAGATCATGAGTGAATGTTTGAAATATGAAAAACCAAATAAAGAATGCATGGAATATGCAATTATTTCACACAGCATCGATTTTGTTACATTCTTGGTGAATGAATACGGTTATAAAATCGATGTAATTTATTGTGTATTGTATAATAATCTTGAATCATTTTTAGCTTATTTCGATCAAACTAATAATATTCACAGATGTTTTGCTTAATCGGCGATGTTTGATATTCCATCTTTTTGTGTAATTTAATGAAACAATTTGGAACAGCTCTTCACATTGCAGCAAAACATAATTGCATAGATATAGCCGAATTTCTTATATCGAACGGTGCAAAAATCAATAAAAAAATATGAAGGAATCACACCTTTTCATTTTGCAGCAAAATATAATAACAAAGAAATAGCTGAACTTCTAATTTCACATAGTACAAATATCAATAAAAAGGATGATCAAGGGAGAACCACTCTTCATTATGCAGCACGGCATAATAGCAAAGAATTCGCTGAACTTCTTATTTCACTCGGTTTAAATATCAACGAAAAAGATGAATATGAAAATACTCCTCTTCGTGATGCAGCGGGTAATGATTGTAAAGAAACTGTCGAATTTCTTCTTTCACACGGCACAAAAATCAACGAAAAAGATAATGATGGGAAAACCGCTCTTCATTATGCAGCACAAAATTATAGTAAAAAACAGCCGAAGTTCTTATTTCACATGGCCCAAATATTAAGGATGCCTCCAACTGTATGTTTATTTGAGAACCGGTCATGAAATCTCCTTCTTGGTCCGTTTTTAACTGATATAGCGCAGCATATGAATCAATGTAGTACTTATATGTACTTCGCAATTCACTGTATTTGTTTGGATTTATTTCTTGATCAGACATTAAAAAAATTAAAAGTCATATTAGGGATTCCGTTTGGAGAAATAACGGTGTGGATCTCCAAAATCCAAAATAATATGTTAATAAATGCTGAAAATAATGACTTGGATCTAATATAGGATAAAGACTGATAAAGATTGCTCGTATATTGGATTATCAATTAGTACTTATGTACATCTTGATTCACTATGCAAAATCATTTGAATGGCTTGAATGCAAAAAATTCATTTTGCGAATCTAATGATATTAGGAATTTAAATCGGTAGAACAATAGGTTACATTTCAATACATATAGAGCAACTATAGATCATTTGCTTTAATAAAAAAAAATCAAATATTCAGAAATTTTGCATAATGTCACATTTTTATTTCAAATTGTCACTCATATTTAAGATATTTATATGTTTTTATGTCTCATTTTAAATTTACATTTGAGCGATTAAAAAATTGAGAGAGATTCACAAAATGGAATATGCTAATAACAATAAGATATCAACATTTTGAATTAGAATCAATTTTTTCTTACAAAATTTAAATTGAGAAAGAGAAATAATTCTGTGCTCAAATTTTCTATGTCGCAAGATCTATGCGTCTTTGGTCTTGGAACTATGGGCAGTAACATCGCAAGGAACTTTGCTCATCACGGATTCAAGGTCGCTGCTTTTAACAGAACATGGGCAAGAACTGAAGCTTTATTGAAATTAAATGAGCCAAATATAACAGGTTACAAGACAATAGAAGAAGTTGTTGAAGCATTAAAGAAACCTCGTATATTTTTAATAATAGTTACAGCTGAATTCGTTGATAACGTTATTGAGCAATTGAAAGTTTTGCTTGAAAAGGATGATGTTATAATTGATGGTGGTAATTCACATTGGCCAGATACTGAACGCCGTCAGAAGGCTATTGAACCAACCGGCGTTCATTTTGTTGGAATGGGCATATCTGGTGGAGAAGAAGGCGCCTTAAATGGTCCATCTATGATGTTTGGTGGACATTCTCAAGATTGGGACAATTGTAAGCGTGTTTTGCTTCCGATAGCGGCTAAAGCACCAGATGATACGCCATGTGTTGATTATATGGGTACAGATGGTGCAGGACACTTTGTTAAAATGGTACATAATGCCATTGAATACGCTGATATGCAACTTATCGCCGAAACATATCATATAATGAGAAATTCTCTTCAAATCTCAAACGAAGACATTGCTGACGTTTTTGGGCGTTGGAACAAAGGTGTACTTAAATCATACTTAATCGAAATTACAGAAAAAGTCCTCAGAAAGAAAGAAGGCGATAAATATGTTGTTGATTTAATCCTTGATACAGCAGAGCAAAAAGGAACAGGTAAATGGACATCACAAGACTCTTTCGATATTCCATCAGCAACTCCAGCTTTCGCTGAAGCTGTTTACGCCCGAGTAATATCATGTCTTAAAGACGAAAGAGTTGAAGCCTCGAAAACAATCCAGAAAAATCCAATAACAGATATTTCAGTATCAATTACAGTTGATGACCTCGAAAAAGCTTTATATGCTGCAAAAATTATCTGTTACGCTCAAGGATTATCAATGATTCAAAAACATTCAGAGCAGCATCATTATGGAGTTGATATCTCCAAATGTGCAAAGATTTGGCGTGGTGGATGCATTATTCGCGCTGATTTTCTGAATGACGTTTCTGCACATTATACAAATGCCACAAAGAACTTACTCACGATACCATTCTTCAAAACAGCTGTCGAAGATCGACTTAATTCTTGGAGAAAAGTTGTTTTGCTCGGAACTTTACAAGGATTTCCAATTCCTTTGTATTCTTCTTGCTTGGCGTACTTTGATTCTTACATATCTGACTCCCTTTCTGCAAATCTCATCCATGGTTTAAGAGATTTCTTCGGAGCTCATACTTATGAAAGAATTGACAAAAGTGGAAAGTTCCACACTGAATGGGAATCAGAAGAGACGAAAACTACCACCGAAACTAAGGCAAAGGAAGGAACAACAACTGATACAGGAAAATCAACTTGTTGTTTGTTGATTTAATTCTTTTATTTTTTATTAATCCCATGAATATAGAAGTTATAAAGCGCTCTTTATATGATATTTTAGATTTTGGATATATTTTTTAGATTATTTAATTGCTTTGCTAAAACAACATATATATAGTTTAAATTGGAGCGATTGGAATTAAAATACAGAGAATGAGAGTCGTAATGATCTGATCAAATCTTATGTTGAAAAAAAAATTGCGTTATTTTTTCCAGTCAATGACATTATTCAGATTTATTGGAATAATATAGATGATTGTTTAACTTTCTAAACCTCGAGCTAATGATTTCAAAATGGCGATAAGATTTCGATAGCTGTTGCTTGATTTTTCCGCGAACAAAATATACTACTGAATTCGTATGTCATAAAATTTCTAGTGAGATGCTCGAACAATGTCACTTTTCTTCTTTTATTTTTTGGATTTTTAATAATTTATGGCAGGAAAAATGGAACCCATTGTTCCTGCTCCATCGGTACAAGATGGTGGCCCAATACTTAAAGACAAATGGGTTTTTTGGTACTTAATTCCTTCAAAAGGTGGCCAAAATATTCATTGGAGCGAATATTTACATCCTCTTCATTCTTTTGAAACAGTAGAGAACTTTAACAGACTATTAAACTCAATAGAGCGTCCACAGAACTTATTAAAAGGATGTCGATATTACGTTTTTAGAAACGGAATAAAACCATTATGGGAAGATCCAAAAGTAAAAGATTCTAAAGCAGTTTCAATAGAAATTCCAAAATCTCAAGAATACCAACAAACCATTCACGAAAAATGGACGGATATTGTAAGTACAATGCTCGAAGAAGGACTTGGAAATGAAGTTTCAGGCTCTGAATATGCTTCTCGTGCTGATACTTGGAAAATTTCATGCTGGGTTAAAAATAACCAATCAGCTATAGATAACGTTGTTTCCCACTTAAATAACTTGTATCCAGCACTTTCTACCTCTATCCATGTATCTGATATTGGTGAATAAATTAATATAGAAATTAGTATAGATTAAAATAAAAATAAACTATTATACATGTAATTAAAATGAAATTAAATAATATATCTTTAATTACAAGCCACTATTTTTAAAATTTTCTTGATATATTATATATAAAAAAGTCATTTGAAAGAATATTACATATAGAAGTTTATTATTATAATATATATATCAGAAAATTATTCAAGATCTCTAATAATTGGCTCATGGGCAATTCCAAAGAAACCTTGAGCTGTGTCTTCTTCAAAATCATTCTTGAATGGATCATCAGTATCTCCCATAACAGATGTTGTCCATAACGGGTTATCATTTGTTATAGCTGTAGTTGTACTATCTGGAAGTTGCATGACAGTTTCTTCCTGCATTTCAATTGCAGAATTTGATGAATTTTCATCTTTCTTTCTACAAACTGCAAATATTATAAGTCCGATGATTATTAATAGGCCAATAATACCCGCAACGATACCAATGATTAGTGGTAAGTTAGTACTTTTTGATGTAGTGCCATCATCGCTATTAATACTTATTGCTGAATCTGTTTCATTGAATAAAATGACCGACGAAATCAATGTTACTGAATAAACAGTATATTCGCCATCTGATGCTGCTGTTGTGAAGTTTGATCCATTCCAATATGTTTCACCCGCTGAAAGATTAGTCATTGATGAAATTTCAATAACGATCAATGTATTTGTTGAAGAATATGTTTTTCCAGCTTTCGAAGATAATAGACTGTTTGGAGTTTGTAGAACTGTTCTCTCAGCAATAACCGAAACAGATGGTGTTGTTTCAACAGTTGAGAAATGAGTTATGACTGGTGTTGAATGGGCTGTTGAATATATTGTTTCATAAGGTGTTGAATGAGCTGTTGAAAATATTGTTTCATAAGGTGTTTCCTTTGCGGTTCTGGATGGAGTTGCAACTAATGTTCTAAATCCTAAATTTGGAATTGCTGTCAATCCTGGATAATGTTCTGGCGTTGATGGACTACCATTTCCTGTAGATCCTGGATTGAACAAGTTATTAAAATCGAAAGTGGTATCTGTTCCAATATTACGTGTGGCTATAGAATATAAGCTTGCACTCTGCGTTGTTGCCTGTGGTAACCTTGTAATTGGTGTCGCAACATATGTGTATGATGTTGGATCTGGTACAGAAGATGTTGCCGCATCATTACCTTCATTGCTAATTTCTGCATATGAAATTGTAGTTTCATCTGGGAGATCGGGATCAGAGTTATTTAATGTAATTGATGTAGGATAACAAATTTCCGAACTGTTTGCGGCTCCTTGATAATCAAATATTACCCAATCTGATGCATTTCCATCCCAAATACTTGACAATGAACGAGATACATATTGATTAGCAAATCCATAATGAATAAGATTCTTGTCAATTCCATTCATTCTATCCATGTATGATTTCCATTTTGCATATCCTTCTAACAGAATCTCATGTCCTGCACCATTTCCAAATGTAACCGCGGTGTATGTAGAAGAATCTTTGTTAAAGCAGCATCCATTTGTTTCTAAATATCTCTGCTCCTTTGTTGTTTCTGTTGTTGGCAAACCCAAGTTCTTCTTTGCATCAGAAATAAAGCATATAGCACCACCTCCACGAGCTTTAAACCTCGATGGCAATTCTCTTACAAAACCACCATTCGAAAATGTTGTAGATGATTCTTCATATCTTAATTTCATTGGATAGCTCATTATGTTTGTATTCTCTGCATTTACAATGTTCTTAATAAATGTACAGTAGACAAACTTAATATCATCAACTCCTGAGCAAAAAACAGCACCTCCTGAGAAACAACATTTGTTCATTGCAAAAATAATTTTTTCAAGATAGATCTGAAGGCCAAAAGAGAAGGCTATAGCTCCTCCTATTTCGCATGCGCTGTTTGAATTGAATACGTTATTATAACCTATAAGAGTGACTGAAGGAGAAAGATAATTATAATCATTATCTTTCAGAAAGGCACCTTGGAAATATATACCTCCTCCGTATTTGTAAGCTATATTACTTTGAAATGTTGTGCATTCAAGTGAAATGGATGATGCAATTGAGCATATAGCTCCACCAACTGAAGCTATATTCATGGAAAAATTATGAGTGCTTCCGCTTCCATAGAAAACTAGGACCGATTGACTTAAAAATATTGCTCCACCAAGACCAGATGAAGGACTTTGGCCAAAAGCATAATTAGAAATAAAATTTGTATCTCCATAAAGTGTAACTGAGCATCTGATAAATGCAAAATCACGATGTGTTGATGACATCGTTGTTGTTGAATATTCTAATTCTTCATTGATCAGATTTAAATCTAATAAAGTGTAATTATCAGTGATGGCATCTACGAATGAAGGTGTGTTTTCTTTCTCAGTTCTATCAGGATTTGTCTGTATTTTTCTCAAACATAGACACACGCATGTAAAAAGCATAATTCAAGGTGTAAAATATTAAAAGGTTTGAAATCAAATTTTTGAGAAGCTTTTGAATTTTAAATATAAATCTCAAAGTACTTTAATATGAACAAACATTATAAAATGGATCAGATGCTACATAGTTTTGTCGTATTCCTAAGGGGTTAAAATGAAAAAAAAACAATTGTGAGGATATCGATGAAAATTTATTATAAACCATATCATTTAACATTTATATACAATGTGATTATTAACTCATGATAAAATGCTTAAATGATTAGTTTGCTTAGAATGTAATTTGTAAAGAGGCTATTAACATTTTGTTATTCATGTTTATAAATGCGGTTGAGAGAGGAAAATGCGTATTTATTTCATTTTGCCATATTTCTCAAATAATTCATAGCTCTTCTCTGAATTCGATTTTTTGAGAGAAATATGGTTTGAGTTAAAAATAATATACATTAAATGAACTTTTAAAAGAACATTGAATCAATAACCTTTGAACTTTTATCGTTTTGACACTTTTTACTTTGGATAAAACTCTTTTTCTATATTTAAATTAACTCAATATAAATTTCATATAGGCTTGTATATATCCCCATGATACATCTGCGGATTTCAAATGCATTTTATTCATTTTTGGCTGAATTTCAAAATCTAAATTAAAAAAAATATAGGAAAAATCGATTTAATGTGTTAAGAATCAATAAATCATGCAATTAAGCTTGATATATAAGAGATGAAAAAGTAACATTCGAGAAGATTCCACAAAGAAGATATTTAAAGTTGAGAAAATCCTTAATATTAGCAGTTACCTATCAAAATATTGATACAGCATGACTCTTTTCCATATGCATTTAAAGCTTTTCTTAGCTTCATTCCCAAATTAAATTGTCAAAATTCTTGTACTATTAAACTTTATATTTGAGGCCTCAGACTACAAAGAGTTTTCCTCATAAAAATACTAAATTAGATTAAATACATCTCTCTTTCTGAATCTAAAAATAAAAAATGCAATTACCATACAAAATTAATTATTTCATAAAATCGTGATTCACCATGGTTATTTTCCAATGCACAAACATGTTTATATATTTTATCGTATATTTAGGTTATATTTGAGTTTTTCTTGAAAATTAATTGTTATCCGAATTTATCAATCGAGAAAAGTAATCCAAACTTGCTTCATCAATGAAATATTCTATATTGTGAAATCATTCTATGAATACTTCCAGTAATATTGCAATTTCATGCATATCATAAATGAAGCGATTTCCATATACTATTTTTGCTGTAACTAGTCTTGAGAAAAGAATTCAAAACTTGTTTCATCGATGAAGTATTCTATATTGTGAAACTAATCTATGAAAATATTCAGTAATATAGCAATTACATGTATATCTTAAATAAAGCGGTTTCAATATGTTTTTAGATATTTGGAAAAAAAATTAAAAATATTGTAATCTTTTATTAAGCTGCAGCTGCACCTGAAGATGAACCTTTCTTAGATTTCTTAATGAAAATAACGACAACAACAATTACTACGATTACAATGACAACAGCAACCACAATTACAGCAATTGCCCATGTCGGAAATCCTGAATCATTTGGTTTAGGTGTTGCTTCTGGTGCGTCTGAATTTTCAAAGTTCTTAGTATCTTCTTTAACTTTTTCTACTGTTTTAATAGAGTTTTCATTCATAACAATTATATCAAGATCTTTCTCGAAAAGCATTTCTTCTTGTCCCGCTGGAGGATCTGCTACTTTCTCTAACTTTAATTCAAGTGTACCCTCGACGGAAAATTTTGATGGTGTTGTATAATCTGTTTGATCTTCGAATTTTTTAGCTTCTTCCTCGAATTTCTCATATTCTTCTCCAGTAAGCTCAGCTTCTACATTAAATCTTGTCGCATTCGATTCTGTTCCATGATCCTTAAATCTAAAAAGGAACTTAACATTTTCGTCTTCTGTTTTTGTCAATTTCTTGATCGAGTTATCAATGAAATAATATAGGGTGTCCAAAGGTGCGTTTAGCACAGCGCTCTATATGAGACTATTAAAGGAGATATATGCTGATTATAAATATATAATAAAAAATATGAATATATGTATATGATGAGTATGTTATATTTTGGCGCCATGCCGGGATATAAAATGAATTTTGAGACAAGAGGCGGTTTCGCGGGAAATTTTGGCGGGATTTTTTTCATTTTTTTAATGAATCATAAAGAAAACATCCTCGCTCTTGCAAAAAAATGCAAAGACTGTAAAAAAATCTACGAGACATTGGTAAAATGCTTCGGTATGGATGCTCCTAGTTATTCCACTGTAACGTATCATGTTAGGATGTATCACTTCATGAACAAAAAGGCGCCCATCATAAAAATTGACAAAAAATCGCCGGATCAAAGAAAAATCAAAGCAATTCTTCAAGCGCTAGATGAAGACCCAAGAGCATCACTCAGAAGGATAGAGGAGATGACAAAGATACCACGTACAACAGTCAGTTATTATCTGCACAATTATTTGAACTACAAACTAGCGTATACACGTTGGGTTCCGCACAACCTTAATTCAGTTCAAAAAAAATCTAGAGTCCAATCTTCGAAAGAGCTCCTCTCTATATTGGGTGCGTATCAATCCAAGAAGTTTCGCTTTTTAGTAACAGGGGACGAGTCTTGGTTTCAATATGCAACAGAAGCCAAAATCATGTGGATCCCGAAGGATGAAAATCCGCAAACATTCCCGAAGAAAAAAATTGACACACCAATGATGATGTTGTCGGTTTTTTGGGGCGTGAATGACATCATCGCAATTGATATTCTTCAAAAACCTAATACGATGAATGCTCAGTATCTAATTGACAATGTTCTTACTCAAATTATCAATTCTGATGAGTTTAAGAAATCCAAACAACAAAAACAAAAGTTTGCAATTCATTTTGATAATTCAAGAGTTCACAAAAGTCATAAGGTAATGAATTACTTGCTGGAAAACAATGTCAAAGTTGTTCCAAACCCAATTTATTCACCTGATATTGCACCCTCTGACTTTTATTTATTCGGCACGCCAAAAAAGAGAGCTGAAGGACGCGAATTCGCGAGTCCAGATGATCTTGAAAATTTTGTAAGAGAGCAATTTGAGCAATTTTCTCATGATGATTTAAAGCGTGTCTTTCAAGCCTGGATCGATCGCTGCGAACGCGTGATTGAATCCAATGGTGATTATATTTAAATAAACTTTATATATATGTAACTTGTTTATTTCTATTCGCAGTATTCAGGTTTGTGCTAAACACACCTTTGGACACCCTATAATAGAAGTAATTTGCACTTATAATGACTTTCTTTTTATTATCCTCAACTTTATTTTCTTGACTATATGAAGTTAGTACACCAGTCTTGGGTATTGTGGCACTGCGTTCCACCTTACCCAATACTTGTGAATTTGACACTTTACAAAACCGTTAACGTATATTTTACAACATGAACGCAAAAACTAACTTAACCTTAAATATTTACAAAGCCGCCAACAATTTCACCTCACTAACGAACTCACTAATGAAAAAATAAACGTTCTCATAAATTTTCTTCTATATCTTCATCGTCAATGTTAACTCTATTGTAGTCATACTTGAAGTCATAAAGTTTCTCAAGTTTTGAAATGCATAGTCTTGTTAACTTACCTTCATCATCATAAGTTTTTATAAAACTACCATGACAATCTTTATAAACAGTCAGTGTATAGTCAACTGGTCTAGGATGAAGTGTAAAGAACATGTTATACTCAGGAAGGAAGAATAAATGTTTAAATGTATGTTTGTTATATGTTTTGATTTGTATGAGTTGCTTTTGTTCTGTCATTTACATCCAAATAAAATAAAAATATAATAAAAAATAAACTTAAAAATAATGATATCACCACCATCACACGTATGAAAACATAGCACAAAAATAAATTTAGGTGAAGTGGTGAGATCTCACCTCTTTTTTCACCTCTTTTTTCACCCACTTGAATTCATTGCTTTATAACTCTCTTCCTTGGTTTCTTTTTAGTTGCTTTCTTCACGTCTGTCTCCAACTTGACTGTCTTTCTTCTTCGTCCGTAATGATACCAGTTACTTCCACCAGTCAATGGGTCAAATGGTCGTTCATAAGGGTTTCCATACATTCCATAAGGTCCGTATGGAAGAACTACTAGTGGAGAAGAAACATTTTCTTTAGTTCCATCGACTCTATTTAAATGCATTGTTTCACCTTTCATCTGGTCATTAAAGTCTTTTGCGTGTTTTGCAAACTCATCGTCCTTTCCTAAAGCATTTTCTGACTCAGTCGCAACCAAATTGGATGCTTTATTTATGAGCCCCATTTTATTTAATCTTAACTTCTTTGCAACCCAGCCTCCAATCTTTCCTTTATTTGCATCTAATGTCTTTGAAACCCTTCCTCCACTCATTTTATTTACTGCGTCATAAGCTCCAAGTGCTTTTGCTCCAAATGCTAATGCTTTTGTTCCCATTGCGCCTAAAGCTGCCCAAGCTACCATTTACCCCATATTAAAATCATCTCTCTTCAATATTATCTCATAAAAGTTCTCGTTACTGGAGAAAGTCAATGAAACATAAACATTCTCATTCATAAACTTCTTTCTTATCTCATCTATTCTCAATAAAATATCTGAACAATTGCTAACATCTTCTACAACAGTTATTTCATCATGAATGACCTTCAAGAACAAGCTCATTTAATATGCAATTAAAATCATCTCAATAATGAGTCCATCCTTTCCATCTTTAGGTAGCACAACATCTTTCATTGAAGAAGGTTCGACAAGTCTTATGTTAAACTTACTGACAAAGTTTGTTATACTATAATGCTTCGGTGGCGAATACATGTAGTTTGAAAGACATAATATAGATTCTTCAGCAAATTCACTTATACTGGATTTATAACAATGTTCTCACGAGACCAAATACCACCAATTGACAATCTTGTAAGCAATCCTGCTGAACCTTCAACTGTAAACGTCGATGGTAACATTCCACGAAGGTCATCTATTGACATCTTTGAGTCACTGAATTTAAATATTTTCTTAAAGCAATCGTCATTATCTAACCATGCAATAGCTTTGAAGTTTTCATTCGAATATACATCTGCTTCATTAAATGTAAAACCTGACTTCTTTGCAGAGATGACTTTAAAATCTATTGAGTTTGTTTCAAAATATTATGCTATGGTAAATTCTGAAGGTAATGGATGCCCTTCCGCAGTCAGTTGTTCTCTCACTACCGTTTGAAGTTTTGTATTAAAAACTTTCATGTCATCTCCTGTATCTAAGTTCACATACACAGCAACAGGGAAACTATCTTGCTTCTTGTTTCATCATTATATCTCAAAACATTAAAGTTCTTCAATAATATTGTTCTTCCTGCTGGAATACTTCGAACCTGTCTGATTTCAATAGCTTTCTCACCCCTACATACTCTACCCAGTGTCTTGGATATTCATAAGTATACTGACTTTCTTGAATTTTGGTAGGTTTCATCATAACGTTTTCATAGTATATCTTTATACTCTTGTCAGTTAGACTCGGTGCTATGTTCTGAATATTTCTGACTTGCATTTTTAATGGAGATAAAATGAAGCATTTAATACATGACGTAGATGAAGACATGAATGAAACTACAGACAAACTTAACTCTTCTCTTATTCTTCCTTTCAGCAAAATTATGAATTCTGTTCAAATGGTGTGTATTTCTATTGTGGAAAGATGGGTTCAGGTAAGACATTTAATTTAATTCGTCATATACTCATAACAGAGCGTTTAGGAAACGACTCTTACTATGACCAAATCATTATATCAGCAACTTCAGACTCTATGGACTCAACAGCGAAAACATTTATGTCAAAAGTTCAAGCCTCTGTCGTTAAAGTTCCAGACAGTGAACTCATTGAATTTCTTCAACGTTACATTCGACGTAAGAGGAAATATTATGCTATCGTTGAATTTATACAGTCAGGAATGCAAAAGACTTCTGAGGAGATGGAAAGAATTATTGACAAACACCACTTACGTCAGTACTCAGGAGTTTACGATATGAAACGACTTACAAACTACATTCTGTCAAAACTTTCAAAATACCCCTTCAAAAAGTATCCATCAAACACTCTGCTCGTTTGTGACGACTTCGCCGGAAAAGGTTTAGTGTCAAAGCCTGACTCACCATTAGCTAACATCATAACTAAGTCAGACATTACCACTTAACTGTAGCAATACTTATGCAAACATGGCGTTTCCTTGCTTTAAACATAAAACGTCTCATAACTGACTTCGTTATCTTTCAAGGTTTCTCACGTTATGATATTGAACTCATTTGGAAACAGTCAGGTATAACATTACCTTTTGAAGAAATTTGGGAAGCATATAAGTCTCTCATCTCTCCTCGTTCATACCTTGAGATTCATATCATGACTAATACCATTAAAGTCAAAAATATTCCATGGGAACGACCAACATTGTTTTAAAGTTTAACCTTCAATTGACTGATGGTAAACAAATTCCATGCATCTCTGTCGCCATTTCTGTTAATATTTTTGCTGTCATTCATATCATCCACTTCCCCATCCGTTAACTTTTGAGGATATGCGTTAGAATAGCTGTTCTTAAATGAAGGCTTTTCACCTTTGAGAGCATAAACTCTATAACTTTCTGCATACTTTATGTTTGAACCTCCT